CAGTCGCACGTGGCTCGGAGTAGACCCATTGTGCTCCTCCCGCGTGGTGCCGGGAGCCCCCGTTGAGGCCTGACTCTGGGTGGAGTTGGTAGCCTCCGTTGGGGCCTGACCCTCAGTGGAGTTGGGAGCCCTCGTTGAGGCTTGACCCTCAGTGGAGTTGGGAGCCCCCGTTGAGGCCTGAACCTCAGTGGAGTTGGGAGCCCTCGTTGAGGCTTGACCCTCGGTGGAGTTGGGAGCGTTCGTTGGGGCCTGACTCTCAGTGCAGTTGGCAGCCTCCGTTGGGGCCTGATCCCCTCGATGGAGTTGGCAGCCCCCGTTGAGGCCTGGACCTCGTTGGGTTGAACCGCGGTCGGTGCGACGGCTGCGGTGACCGCACGCCGTCCTCCCGGCGAGCTCCGTGGTCTCTGCAGCGGCGAGTCTCCTTGATGTGACCGCACTCTTTTGTATTATTCGTAGTTTTTTAGATCAGAAGAAACACAAAAATGCTCGCTTGTTCGGCACTTTGTTTGTGTTCATCGTGTCGGTTTTTGTTTGTTTTAATACGATTTTTTTTTACATTGACACAATTTTTTCCCGTGCAACAGACCCCCATTGTGGACTGTGTTCACAGACACAACAACAAAAATACACCCTCAAATACTCATTGCTCCATCCCCTTCCCCTCCCTGGCCCCGCTTCTCTCTCATCTGCGCCGCGCTCGCATGCCGCGGCATCTTGCTTCTATTACAAAGAACACGTGGCCGGCAGAGGCTACGCAGGGCAAAGGCGCGAGATCGCACGCATGCCGCGAAGGATGATTTTCTTTGAGAAATTGGTTTATTTACTTACTTTGTACAACCACCCAAATTGCATCCTGATTGTGTTAACGGTGCCGTTTAATGAAACGGAAAATCCATTCAGAACTCTTGCCGAGCAGGGCTACCTCCCATGGTAGAGAATGGCACACGGAAGCGGATATATCAGAACGACTTCTGAAATACCAGATTTGAAGTGTTCGTGACTGCAAGGATTCATACTCTATGGGTTTTTCGGTAAAGTCACGTAGTTAAAAATTAAATAAATGAAGAACAACCAAATTAAATCACGACGTTTTGGAGGCAACACAAGCTTCCGTCTTCAGGTGGAACTAATTTTGCTGTGACGGTTCCACCTGAAGATGGAAGCTTGTGTTGCCTCCGAAACGTCGTGATTTAATTTAGTTGTTTTTGCATTGATTTGTGTTTTATTTTTAACTACGTGACTTTTCCGAAAAAACCATAGAGTTCTGAGATACCTACAAGCGAATCTCTTATCTGCACTGGGCGACATAATTTCCCCATACACCCTGTTAAAGTAACGTTTGGCGCCTGATCGTCAAATCAATTTCTATACGGCATGTATTTTATTCATTCTAAAAGATGGAATTTCTCCAAACTTAAGTGCAGAGACGTTTAACGCGATATGCTCTTTTTTGTATCGCAATTGGAGAGAGGGCTGAGACGGTCAACTCAACGCAGGCGGATAAAACTTGCATTGGGACCCAGCATCTCAGCAATGCCAGCTGATCGGCGCTCTGACCTCTGAGCCGCCCGGTGACCTCTCAAGACTAAACGTGCTTTTTTGTCCGATTGACTTGGTGTAAGTTGTTTAGATTCTCCAGCCGCTACATGCGGTGGCAAGATAACCCTGCAGGATGGCCATTATTTGTGCTTGGTTATATTTTAAAATATTATTTTACACAAGGCAAATATTTTTAAATGGCCTAAACACGTTGTTTTTTTTTGTCAATTTTCCACGTCGTTTTTGGTGGAACCATTCAAACCTTTTTTAGCAGAATATCAGGCGAAATGTCACATGCAGCTGACACAGGAATTGGGGCCAAAGCAATTCTCTGTGCTAAAGCAACCACAGGGCTGTACTTATCGCTGTTAAAAACCCAGTTAGTGGTGGAAGTTACACATTCATGTGGCTATAGTCATAAAATCATACTGTAGGTACACCACACTTGACTTCACACCAAGTTAAAGCTACCAAATGTCTTGCTTTGACCGGAACGGTCCTGGGTGGTTTCAAGAAGGTTATCCCGGTGTCCTAAAAGCATTTGAGAAAATTCTGGATGTTGTCCTCTGTTTAAATATTGTTGGCGTCGTGCTCCATTCACGTCACGGGCGAATCGTGGTGCTGATTGATTTGAAGCTTTCGTGACTGCAGGAATCCATACTCTTTGGTTCTTTCGGTAAAGTCACGGAGGTAGAAAAATAAAACAAAAAAAGAATAAATCACGACGTTTCGATCGCAAGACAAGCGGTCGTCCTCAGGGGGAAAAAATAATCCAGCAGTGGAACTGCTGAACCAGCTGGTTCAGCCCCTCCCACTACAGTAGTAGTGGGAGGAGCTACCTGAGTCGTGGGAGGGGCTACCTGAGTCGTGGGAGGGGCTACCTGGGTAGTGGGAGGAGCTACCTGAGTAGTGGGAGGAGCTTCCCGAGTAGTGGGAGGCGCTACCTGAGTCGTGGGAAGGGCTACCTGGGTAGTGGGAGGAGCTACCTGAGTAGTGGGAGGCGCTACCTGAGTCGTGGGAGGGGCTACCTGAGTAGTGGGAGGGGCTGGCAGATGAAGGAGCTGCCGTGCTCACCACGTGTTTCGCTTGAGCCTCCCAGACATGTCGCAACTTTACACAACGTGGAACTGATGTCATGGCCAGAACCAGCTGGATATCACTCTGTGCCTATCAGTGGATTGTAAAATAGTGCAACATTAACTCTGGTGTGAATGCATTCGTTTATCCCTCCCTGGGGTCTATTTGAGTCGGTCGGTCCGTCTCTCGGCGAAAATTGGGCGCATTCTGTGACATTTTTGCAAACTACAAAATCCACGCAACAGTGCACACGGTTTGCGTTATCTACAAATCTCAAGGCCGCCGAGTGAATTTATCGTCAACGCTGCCAGCCTGAGCCCGACTTGAAACAAAAACGAAAGCAGGGGCGCTGGTATTTCATTCCGTCCGAGTGAAGGGGAGCGGGGGGGGGGCTGCCCGCTCGGCTCAGGTGCTACCGCTGAGAATCAGCGGAACGAAGTCGAGTCATTGGAACGCCGCCGGAGCGTCCGGGCCGAACTGAAATGCGGTGGAGCCACCCGGCCCGCCGTAAGTGGAAGCAGCTGGCGTCGAAACTTCGTTCCTGTGCGCGGGAGACGCGCGCTTGCTGAGCGACTTCGCGATCGACTTTGGACTCGATGGCGATGAGTCGCTCGGCGAGAGCGAGTTCGTGTTCGCAGAGAGACGGGGAGTGGGATGATGGCGCTTTGCACGTGGGCAGGGGGGGGGGGGTTGCGGATCGCGCCTCCGCTCAGCACTCCGTACCTCCCTCCGATTAGTGCGGTTGGCTAAGTACGGTGTGAAAGAAGTTCAACTTACGTACTTACGTTGTGCTGGTAGTCTGGCGTTACGGCACTAGTATTGCGTAATGTTATCAATGCAGCCACAATTCATCAATTTAACACCGAGTTATAATCCAACCTCGGGTTTCTTTTATCCTTTCCCGTTCCAATGATGTACGTGTACGTCATCAGATTTTCTTCCGTACACATACGGCATCGGAACGGAACTGGAATAAAAATAACGGAGACTCCCACAAGGCATTGTGGGAGATCGTACGGCACAATTTGGCATCAACTATCGGAGAGTGCGGTCATGTCGCTACAGTTCTCTGCAGTGAGTACAACGTCTTTAAATACAACGGTGCTATGCCTCTCTAAATAAAATTGACGCTGAGCCACTCGCCCGTTCCGAGATCCAGCGGTGAACGGGACCCACCCTGCAACTTGCAGATGTCTTGGAACGGCAAAGTGTTCAGATCACACTCACCGTCTGCAAGATAGCTCTTGGACTGACTACTTGCTCCCATCTCACCCTACTTCCTCTCTCTCTCTTCACGCGAGTAAGCAGTGGGAGGTCGCTGGTTCTCCGAAGCTGCCAACATCGTCTAGAATTTGATTCCTCACCGGCCATCTGTGCCTTCTTATCTTATCTTAACGTAATTTATATAGCGCCTGAAGCAAGGCGCTTGACAGAGAATTAACAGCGGCACAACATAAGAATGTACTGGTGGAGGTGGGAGATGAATGAAATGGATGAGAGGAAGCAGTGGGTGGCGATTCTGCGACGCGTGAATTCGGCGAAAGCGAAACTGATGACAGTAAACGATGACGGACGAATGACCGAATGAACGGGGAATGAGTGATCGCGATATGATGAGACTATGAAGAGGGAAATAGTAACGGTGGCGGTTACGAGGGGGGGATTGAGGGGTTAGCAAAAAGTTAGTTTTTTGAGTGAGTTAGGGAAAACTGGTGAGCCAAGGTGACCGTTTAATGCGGAGGTGCAAGTTTGTTCCAGCCCAGGTTCAAGAGTTGCCATTCCTTCTCTGCCTCTAAGCAATTGCCTCTCTCTCTCTACAAAAGGGCGTTTAGATGTGGGAGCATTGCAGCACAGCAGTGGAGTTGTCAATGCATGGCTGTATCAGAGGCTAAACTAAATAAATACATCAATTACCAGGCACGGGTTGGGACAAAATCGTCAGAAAAGAGGATGGCGTAAAGCGTTGGGAACGATGTGATGGTGTTGACGTGTTGGTGTTGATGTTTGTGTCGATGTTTGTGTTGACGCGTTTGTGTTGACGCGTTGGTGTTGACGTGTTGATGTTTGTGTTGACGCGTTTGTGTTGACGCATTTGTGTTGACGTGTTTGTGTTGACGTGTTTGTTGTCCTTCCCCCACACCTCTAATTAGCACGGTTGGCTACGTATGGTGTGAAAGAAGTTCAACATACATACGTGTGTTAAACACCAAGGGTATATCCAGTTAAGGGAGATGAAAGCCACCATTCGGGCTATAACATAAATCCAATTAGCGTTCTAAGTTACCGCAAAGAAAACACAAACCCCTGGGGGCAACCGACCGACTGCTTTCCCCTCGGCGTTTTCTGCGCGGCGATGGCAGTGGACCTTGGCTCTTGTCCCGCAGCAGGACGTCGTGCCGAGGCGTCCGAGGTGACAGAAGCAAGCTGGTGGTGGTGGTGGGGGAAGAGTCATCATCCCCGGGGAGGCGATGGCTGCACGAGAGGGACGACGCCGAGTCCTCCCGGCGGCGCTGTGCCTGTGTCTGCTGCTCGTTCGGGCCGCGGGGCTCGTTCCGTCGGTGCAAGGTGAGCGGACGGACACGGTTGCCACGCGGTCGTCAGAAGCCGCGGCTCTTCGCAGAAGGAACTCATTCGCGACGTCGTTGATCGAGGAGCGGCGTCTCGTATTCGCCACGTGCGTGCGTTGCGCGGCGATTGAAATATTGAGTTGTGGTTTTTCTTTTTCTTCTTACGACAGCATTCCCCCCCCAAAAAATTGTCCCTTCTTGTTATTTTACTTTGCCGACTCATATGGGGAGAGCAATTCAATTACGTGGCTGTAAAAGGTAACCCTTGCGTGTTTAAAAACATAATAATATGGTAACAGTAAGAATGTGTTTTGAATTAAAAAAACAATGTTAAGGACAATTTCAGCTATTTTTGTTACATTCACGAATCATTACAATCGTGTCACGTGATGGCACGCGAGGCCACTTTTGTTGGGGTGTGAGGTCACGTGAGCAAAGTAAAATCCTGTTGCATCACATTCTGTATCTCGGCGCGGTGTATTTTAGATTTTCTGAATGAGTCTGAATCTCGGCGGCACATCGCTTGGCTCCAGCCATCCCCAATTGATGCTGGACTCGGTGAAAGCTCAAATTGGGGGTTTGTCCGCCAGGTTCCCTGAGAATTAAACAACAAACATACGTAAATAACGTGAAAAATATGACATTTGAAAAAAATCCAATTGAGACAAAAAACTTTTTTTAATGAAAAACTAAACTAAAATATTTGACCAAGTGAGGCTCACTGAGCTGTACAGCTCCTTTTCAGAAGCGACCTGGCTATCACAAATGATAGCCCAACGAAGTGGCCTATCACGTGGAAATGTAGAGCACGTTTCTATATGTGGAGGGAAAACCGGACGACCCGGATAAAAATCCACGCGACCACTGGGAGAGAGAGAGACACGCAAACTCCAAATATACAGCAGGCATCGTCAGAGTCGGGATCGAACCCACGACCTCCTGCATACCAGGCGAGGTAGTAAACATCTTCTAGCCACCGCGTCACCCTTACCGCGCTTGCCGCTACTTAGCGCCCGAAAAGCATTGGGCGAACGACGCGAAACGGCAGCAAGCCTCCGTCAAACTCGGCGCGTCTCCGCGCTCCGATCCGCCGCAGTGTGCAGGACGAACGCCCCCGCTGCGGGCCACGTGGCCTTCGTGCTCGACACCTCCAAGGGCGCCGCGCAGGGCGCCGCGCAGCTCCGCGCGCTCGTGGAGGCGCTAACGGTGGCCGTCGGCTGCGGCGTCCGAGCGGGAGAGGCGGGCGTGCGGTGCTCTCTGCTGCAGCCCAGCGCCGAGCACAGGTGCCGACCTCCACCTACCTCCGCCTACCGCCGCCACCACCTCCTGCGCGTGCGTGCGTTGGAGCGGCGCCGCGCTACGCCGCGCTACGAAACCCAGCGGCCCGCTCACGGCCGACAACAGCGGCGATAATCTGAACCGGTCCTGGGTTTCCCCTAGGTCGACCCAGCCGCAGATGTGTACCCGTGTGCGGTGTGTAAACCGGCGTCACTGGGGAGACAAAGGCGTCCGGGCGTGGTGCCGGCTACCCACCCCCTGGCGTGCCATTCCGGCCTTCATAGGTGCTCGCGAATAGCACTTGCCCCAAGAGTTTGTTAAGGCTATACGAGGGATCATTGTATTTGTGCGGGGAGCGGCAGCTAACCCGGCGAGCCGAGTTCGATCCCTACTCACGGACACCCAACACCGGTGACGATTATCTGAATCGGCCTCAGCACTCACCTAGGTCGACTCAGCCGCAAATGAGTACCCGGTGCGTTGTGTAAATGTCGCCACCGGGGAGACAAAAGCGGCCGGGTGTGCTGCCGGCCTACGCCCCCCCCCCCTCGTGTGCCGTCCCGACCTTCATAGGTGTTACTCGCGAACGGCACTTGCCCCAACAGCCTGTTAAAGGCTATATAGGGGGGATCTTTGTCTTTTGTGTGCGCGCGTCCCCGTGCCAACGCCCTCGAACGAAGGCGCACGGCTGAATTTTTTCACATCTCGGACACGTCGCATCGGAGGGAGTTAACCCAACAACAACACACAAAAACTGAAAGTATGCCGGGCCTAGCGAAGCGTGCCGTGCCAGGCACCCAGGGCGGCGAGTGTGTGCGTGTGTGTGTATGCGTGCGCGTGTGTGTGCGCGTGTGTGAGCGTGTGTGTGCGTGCCGAGCGAGCGCTGATCGTGCCAGTGGATGCGGTGAATGTGCGGGTGGTGTCTCGGTAAATGTGCGGGAGGTGCGTGGGGCGGTGGGGTAAAAGGTGTCGTGCTGTACGTGTGTGTTTGTGTGGCGTGAATGTGTTGAGTGTGGCGTGAGTGATGTGTGACGTGAGTGATGTGTGTGACGTGAGTGTTGTAAGCGATGGCTTACGAGTGGCATGAGATGTTACCAGTGCCGGATGAAGCTAGTGCGGGGCCTGTAGCATGATGTTATTAAGAGGCCCTAAATAAAAAAAAACACGTAAATGTTAAAACACAATTTTTTTACTTGCACAGTAATTGTATTTTTTTCATTTGCTATACAGCCAGATAATACGACAAATCGCTAACCTTAAACACCCAGTCGCTCATAAAATTTGAAGGCGGTAGAGTACTATAGTAATAGAGCAAGTGCAGAATCACTCAACCGGAGTTGATAGCTTGAAATAATTTAGCGCGGGGCCCTTGAAAGTGCGGGGCCCATAGCTACACGTGTAGCTACTTTTGCTACTAGGATAAAATATAATCCGGCACTGGATGTTACGGTACAGACGCGCAGGCTGGTGCTGTGAGCGGCGTGAGTGGTGCGTGAGTGGTGCGCAGTGTGTTGGGAAGCGGTGGTGCAGCGGTGAGTGCATCGGACGCTACGAACCCAGCTACCCGAGTTCGATTCTCCCTCCTGCCCGACACCGGTGACGAACGTCTGAACCGGTCAGCTCAGTCCTCAAAACGAGTACCCTGGTCGCGATGTGGAAACATCACCACCGAGGAGACAGCCGGGGCGTGGTGCTAACCACCCACCCCCTCGCGTGCCAGGGTCGGCTAACAGCACTTGCCCCAACAGCCCCTTAAATGCTATTGGGTGGGATCTTTGTCTTTGCTTGGAGTGACGCGGACAGCTTGCCCCGGGCCTGCCCGCCGCTCGTCTTCTCGCGTGCGCAGGTCCCGCCTGCGCCTGCTGGAGCTGCCGGACGGCGCGGGCGCCCGCGACGGGTCTCCGCCGGGCGCCCCGGGCTCCGTGTCGACGTCCAGGGCCCTCGCGTTCCTCCGCAACGCCCCCGAGTTCGCCCACAGAGGAGCCAAGAAGAGGCCCTCGAAGAAGACGACGCCCCCCAAGGCCGCGAGCGCCGGGAGGGTGAGTGATCCGCGCGCGCGCACGCGCCAAGAGCGGTTCGTTGTGGCACACGGGCTGCTGTTAAATACCTCGCCTGGTGTACGAGGTGGTGGGTTTGATCCCGACCCTGACGACGCCTGTATCTTTGGAGTTTGCGTGTTTCTCACTGTCATCATCATCACGGTGGCTAGGAGATGTTAAATACCTCGCCTGGTGTACAGGAGGTGGTGGGTTTGATCCCGACCCTGACGACGCCTGTATCTTTGGAGTTTGCATGCCTCTCACTGTCATCATCATCACGGTGGCTCGGAGATGTTAAATACCTCGCCTGGTGTACGGGAGGTCGTTGGTTTGATCCCGACCCTGATGCCTGCTGTATCTTTGGAGTTTGCGTGTTTCTCTCCCCGCGGTCGCGTGGATTTTTCTCCGGGGCCTCCGGGTTTTTTTCCTCCACATTTAGAATTGACGTGCGTTTAGAGTATTAGCCTGCGACAATAAATGTCCCAATGATAAGCCACTTTGTTGAGCTATCATTTGTGGCCAAGCCGCTTCTGAAATAGAGCTATACAGCTCAGTGGGCCTCACCTGGTAAATAGTTGAGTTGAGTAGTTTAGGTTATTCCAGCTGAGCCATCAGCGTCACTTCGCGGGGTGAAGAAGGGCCCGTTGGGAACTCTAGCCGTGCACCTGCTCATTAAAATAGATGAAAACATCTTTAAGGTAAAAACCCAATACAGGCCCCTCCTGCAAAAAACGAGTCCCATGACCCATTGTGGCCCTGCTGGATAAGTAGATGATTCTGATCGTTATGCCAAGCGACTTGGTCACATGGATACAGTACGTAGAGCCGCAACAGAAGACGTCCAGCACACGCGTGTGGCCGTGTCGTGAGTCAGCTGCTTTATTCACTCTCTCGTGGCCTCGTGTGCCCCGCACGGCAGCGTTCACCCGAATCTTCTCCCCTCCGTTGACCCAGGTTCACATCATCCTCCCGCCTTCTTTGGTTCGAATCCCACCACCACCACCACCACGTCCCACCAATCCCAGGGCCGCTCGCCGATCCGGCGACCCGAGTGTCACATCCTTTCAGTCTCCTTGGCTACTTCACTCGACCAGCCAGCTCGCCGCTGAGCCAATGAGTGTCTCCACCGCGCCGCGTTTGAAGGGCGGAGCCGGTGACCCACGCCGTGAGCGTCGACGTGAATTCATTAAATAATCGGCATCACCTCTCGGCGTCCTTTACGCGTTAAACGCACACACACACACACGTAACACACGTAACACGTGTAACACATTAGGCGATGCACCCAGGGCCAGATTCAGATTTTGTAGGCCCCTGAGCTACAGGTACTGTGAGGCCCCCGGGAATATTTTCAAAAAGGAAAAGCCTGCCAGCTGTGGTATCACGTGCGGAGCGGGCACGCGGTCGCTGGGAAGGTAAATGGAGCAAAGTAGCTGAAAAGTGCGCAAAGAAGCGTGCAGGGATGGATGGCTGGAACCGACGTTGCCGGACGTGAAGAGCAACGCGCTGATGTTTTTTTGGGCCCGTTGTTTTCGCAGGTGGTTGTCATGCTCACGGATGTGAAGCTCCGTGACGACGTGGCGGCCGTTGCCGGGCAACTGAAGGAGTCCGGAGTCGCCATCATCGCCGTAGGTAGGGAACGCTCCGTCGGTGTCCGTTACGCGGCCAGCGATGCGGTGGTGAGAGCGCTCTACCCGCAGCCGAAAGGTCAAAAGTTCAAACCCCGGTTGGGAGGTCGACAACTTCGGCCCATCGCTTCTTTTAACGGTCGATTGAAATGGGTACCGCTCTGCGGTCGCTATTCGTCGAGATCTCAGCGTGGGGTCGACTCGCTGTCTCTCCGCCGCCGTACCAAGCACACCGCACGGTTGCTCAATGGCCGTCCCGCGGTGGTCGCGCTGTGGCGAGACTCTCCCCTGCCGTGGCAACGGGGAATTTCCACCGCCGGCTCAAGGGGCTGCCAAACGAGTTGAGCAGCAGCGGCGTCAGCGTGGTGGGGCATGGGGCCCTGGTGCAAGGAATTAAATGGACCCCCACCATCCTTCCCACACTGCCTGTGTCCAATTACACACCCCCCCACCCCCACCCCTCCTTCATAGTCCGACGCCTCGGCCCATCCACTCTATGGGCCCCAGTGCAGTTGCACCGCCTGTGCACTCGATCGCGACGCCACTGGCCCCGCGCTCAGTTGGGCAGCAGGAGTATACTCGACTGGTTTGCGTTAAAGTTTGCTGCTCAGGTGCCTCTTTCCGTTCCTTGTGTTCTTGTTAACGGAGCTGGCAGGCCACTGAATGCACTTCCTAGGATATATTGTCAGCACCATCCAAGGTGCTACGTCGAGCGGAGTGCAGCAAACTCCGTTGTACTATACCATGCCCTCACGTCTATGCTGCCCGCCTTCACCACCCAGCGCTGACCAGCGTGATACAGTTCGAGTGGATAAAGCTCCACCACGCCGTGCGGGTCGGCGGCGGATCGACGACATGACTGTGCACATCCGTGCGGGGACACGTCACGCACCGCGGCGGCGAGACGTTAGCTACCTCGCCTGCTATGCAGGAAGTACGTGGGTTCGATCCCGACCCCGGCGCCTTGCGTATTTGGAGTTTGCGTGCTCTCCCTGTGGTCGCGTGGATTTTTCTCCGGGTCCTGCGGCTTCCCCTCCCCCCACCCACATATAGAATCAACGTCACGCGTTTGGAGTATTTCACTGCTATAATTGTCCACATGATAATCTATCATTTGTGGCCAGGTCGCTTCTGAAACAAAGATCTATATAGCTCAGTGGGCCTTACCTGGCTAAATAAAAAGTACTCGTTACTCCCCCAGTCCCTTGCTCTCGTGGCCTCGCCCCCCCCCACCCACCGCTGGTGGACGAGAGTGCGGTTCATGGGAACCAGGAGGTGATGTGGACGAGAGTGCGGTTCATGGGAACCAGGAGGTAGGTGGACGAGAGTGCGGTTCATGGGAACCCCGCGCGTCGCTGCGTCGGGTCAGAGAGGCCACGCCGGGGTCTGAAGCGCCGCGCGTGCCTCAAGCATCCCGGCGGGGTTCAAACCGTAGCACCCCCCCTACCACCCCTCACCCCCCACCTCTCACCCCCCCACCACCCCCACCACCCCTCACCCCCCCACCCCCACACCACCCCTCACTCCCCCACCCCACCACCCCTCACCCCCATCCTCACCCCCCCCCCACCACCCCCCACCACCCCCCCACCCCCTCACCCCCCACCACCCCTGAGAGCCTGGCCATTGAGTGGAAGTATCGGCGCTGTGGGTCACGAGGTGCTGCTCTCTCTCTCCTGCGGCCCTCTTGGCCGAGTCAGCGACAGGCAAACTTCATCCGGCCTTCATCGGTGGTTGCTAACAACACTTGTCCCCCAACACGTCTGTTCAGGCTACGGGGGGGGGGGGATAGATCTTCGTCTTTAGCGCGCAGTGGGGGAGTGGGGCCCAAAGGGATCCCTCGGCAGAAATGATTTTGGCTCCAACCACTCGCACTTTTAATTTCTCAGAGGAGATAAAGAGATGTAGTGAGATGACAGAGGAGATAAAGAGATGTAGTGAGATGAGAGATACAGACCGGACTAGGGGTGACAGAGATAAATAATATTTACATGTTAATTGCTTTGGTTTACTAGTGTAAGAGAATCATTGATTAGATTTTAATTTTGAACGAAATAATATTTGTATTCTTCTGCTTAATTGAACATTTGTTACATTTGTTTTAAGTTGTACATCCTGACATAATCTGTAATTGTTTATTGTGAGAGCGATAAGCCTCGCTGGCCGCTCTGCGTGAACAGGGAGCCGACATCCTTTTGCCGAATCCTCGCCAGCTCAAAAACACAACAACAAAAACAAACAGCCTCAGAATTCGAGCTGATATTTGGTGCGTCTCCTCTCTTTTTCATTAATCCAGGCCCCCTTGAGCTACTTGGGGGGGGGGGCGGTGTGGGGTGGATGGACCCAAGCTTTTGCTTCAATCGCTGTACGCGCAGCAGCGTCGATGCACGCAGGCGGTCCCCATTTGCGCTGCGTGCCTGCGCGTGCCGGTTTCATCTCCGCTTCAAAGCCGATGAGAACCACATGGGACATAAATTGTGCTCCACCCAAGGAGTCCCGCGCCCAATTTTTTTCCCCTCCGGTTTCTTTTCTTATTATCGTCTCCTCGTTCTCGATCCTGTCGTGCGGGGGCCAGAGTCATGATTGGCCACTCAGGACGGAAGGAGAGAGAGAGGGCGGGAGGGTGCTGCAAGGGCGAGGGATGAGAATTCCAAGGTGGATGATAGGGAATGCATCTCAGCGAGGAGGAGGACGAGGAATGAATCAGAGCAAGAGCCGGGGGTGCGAGTGTTCAAGGGAAGGTAAGGGAGGCGAGAATTAGAAGTGCCTGGCATGGGTTGAGAGGAGGGAAATAATATGCAGTTAAAGGAGCGGTGAAGATGATACCTGTGAAGGTCAGAAGGAGCAGTAGAGCGAGACCGAGGGTGTGAGATGGGAGGAACCATCGGAAGGAGGTTTTTGGAAAGCGATTGGACACAGAATAGCAGCGAGTGGAGAAATATCCTGCGAGCAGCCGACCCCGTCAAATGTTGGGACTTATTGGCTGGGAAGATGAAGAGTTCCTGTACGTGCGTACGTCCGTACGTTGAACTTCTCTTGCACTGTACGTAGCCAACCGTGCCTAATCGGAGGTGCGGGGATCTGACCCCGCTGCGAGCCGAGCAAGCGGTCGCTGTCGTGTGGTGACCGGCTTGGGGTTAATCGCCGTTGGGTTGGACATCTCCTCCCGCTCTCTCCGCCGTTATCCCTGCCTGCTGCGGCTCCACACGGTAAACTCACTGCAGTCTACGCTCCTTCAACGGAGGAGAAACAACAAACGACACTCCCTCTCCTGAAGTCCTCTCCTCGTGGCCAGCAGCAGCAGACCTCGACATCGGCATCGAGCTCCCGAAACGTATTGCTGCTGCTGCTGCTGCCATCACGCGCGAGAAGAGAGCAGAACGGGACACCGTGGGGTCGATCCGTGGCGCAGTGAGGACCCCGGGGGAGCCGCTGTGCTGCGGCGATGAGGGCACGCGCGTGGATTCGCTACCCAGAGCGGGCAAGCTCGGTTACCCATGTGGGAGGTTTTCTCCGTTGAGAATGAGAATGGTAGCGCGCGCCTGTGGCCTCACTCTGTGGGGTCAAAGGTCAGTGGATCACACAACAGAGATTGGAGGAAATCCCAAGACCTCTGCAAGGTGACCTGGAGATGGTGGTACAGCAAACGGGTTTGAAAAAGTGTCTTTGTGCACTGGAGACTCTACTCGCGTGTGAAGCGCGGCTCCTACGCCGTCGCCTTGCACCCTGATTATGGCGCGAAGTACCAAATGTCCTCACGGTCTGATTTGATGGAAGTCCAACGGCATCTGCCAATGACAAAGCTGAGAGCATCGATCACTCTACGTGGCGGTTACGTGACGCGCACGCAAGGCATGGCGTGTGTGCGTGCACGGGTTGCTGCTTTCGTGAAGGACGCTGCTACTGGGCAGGCGGAAGCAGTCGCCCTCCAACAACAACGGAGCGCAGAGGAGCAACGCTCACAACATCGAGCGGAGAGGACCGGGCGGCTAAAACACAGCAAGTTGGCACAGTGGGAGAGACAGATGGTGCATCTGCCAGTCGTCTCAGTCAGTCAACTCATGGCACCTGGATTTGTCCCGTGACCTACCAGCGAGCCTTCGACACTTCAAAGTGCAGCTGGCATGGCGCAAGCGCCGTTGTGACATCGCCGCCACTTATTGGCGAACGGCGGCTGTCGTTGTCGTTGCTGTTGTTGTTGTGGCGAGCGACCGTTGACGGTTGAGTGCGAGCGGGCGGTCGGCAAAATGACTCGGGTTCGCCACCACAGGAGCACGCAAGGCGCAGAAGGACGTCCTGGACTCGGTGGCATCGGGCCACAAGGACGCGTTCTACCGGAGGGACGCGGCGGCGCTGCAGGCCATCGTCCCGGCGCTGCTGCGGCGCGTCTGCATGCACCTCGGCGGGTCGCTGCACGCCGCCTTATCCGGTGAGTCAGCCGGTCCCCCGCCCCCCCCCTGCCCCCCCCTCTGCCGCCCACCCCCTGCCCCCAATGATCCTCCTACCCCGGCGAGTAGGGCAACACCCCAAACGCGTGCCCGCTCACAGAAACCGTGCACGGACGCACGGACACACGTGCACCACACAGACCGGATTGAAAGACGCATGCCCCCCCCCCCACCAATCCCACCGCCACCCCCATAAAAGTGCAACTTATAATCGGGGTACAACGGTAGCGAGCAAATAAGGGATTAGTGATAGGTTCTACCCTTTCAACTGGTACAAAAACTGACACCTTTATATTTGTACCAGTTGAAAGGGTAAAAACCTATCACTATATTTTGCCACTGGTAAAGGAGGTCTCATAGTGTAGAAGAGTGATTGTCGACAAAAGGAAAATATGAATTGGCCTGTTGATGGTAATTATCTTGCAATGTGATGTTGATGACAATTTTACTTCGAGATGATGTTTGATGCACCCTTATTTTGGTCATGAATCCGGCGGGGGGGGGGGGGGGGTGGGCCCTGCGCTCTTGCTCGGTTGAGCTCGTGCCGAGCGCAGCCACCGCGCCACCGCGCTCTGACCGCTTCCACCGCCGCCGGCTTCCCTTGCAGAGCAAAGCGACGGCGCTCGGGACGACGGAGCCACGGGGAGGATGGAGCGGCAGGGGGCCCACGTGGCCGACAGGGCCGAGGACCCCACGCAGAGCGACGTCCAGACGTTTGATGTCGGGGGATCGGGTAGGTGGTGCTGCTGGTGGTGGTGGTGCTGCTGGTGGTGGTGGTGCTGGTGGTGCTGGTGGTGATGGTGGTGATGGTGGTAATGATGGTATTGATGTTGCTGGTGGTGGTGGTGATGGCGGTGGTATAAATGGTGGTACTGGTGGTGGTGATGGTAGTGGTGGTGATGCTGGTAGTACTGGTGCTGGTGGTGGTGCTGGTTTTCGAGGGTTTCTGTCTGAGTGTTTGTCAACATCCTAATCAATCGTGTGTGTGCGGTGTGTTTCCGCCTGTGTGTCGGTGAGGGCGTTGGCAGGGTGGGGAGCGGTAGTGTAGTGGTCGGCGCTCTGCGCTACGAACCCGGTCACTCGAGGTCAATTCACGCTCATGAATAGCACCAGTGGCGAATATTTGAACCGGTCCAGGGCCTCCCCCTAAGTCGACTCAGCCTCAAATGAGCACCTGGGGTGGTGTGTAAACATCGCCACTGGGGAGACAAAGGCGGTCGGGCGTGGTGCTGGCCAACCACCCCCTCGTGTACCGTTCCGGCCTTCATAGGTGCTCGCGAATAGCACTTGCCCCAAGAGTTTGTTAAGGCTATACGGGGGATCATTGTATTTGTGCGGGGACAGGCAGCTAACCCGGCGAGCCGAGTTCGATCCCTACTCACGGACACCCAACACCGGTGACGATTATCTGAATCGGCCTCAGCACTCACCTAGGTCGACTCAGCCGCAAATGAGTACCCGGTGCATTGTGTAAATGTCGCCACCGGGGAGACAAAAGCGGCCGGGCGTGCTGCTAACAGCACTTGCCCCAACAGTCTGTTCAGGCTATACAGGGGAGTGTGCGCTTGTGTGGGCACAGTTAGGAGGACAGGTGGTCCATCCGTCAGTCATCTCAGGCGATCAACCAATAACACCTGGTTCTGTCCCGTGACCTCCTGACTACAGGGAGCCTTCGACATTTCACGTGGCATCGAAGTGCTCCCAGCTGTGGTGGTGATGTCGCCGGAACTTACGCGGCGAATGGCGGCCGTCGTTTTTGTTGTTGTTGTTTGTTGTGCGTGCGCGTGGGGCAGTGTCCTTGCGGGAGATTGCTCGTCTGCTGCTCTTCGACGCGACGGCCAGCAGCGTGCGCGTGTCCTGGAACGCGGTGCCAGGGGCTACGAGCTACAGACTCATCTGGGCACCCACGCCAGGTAACAAAGACAAAGATTCCCCCCCCGCCCCCCGTATAGCTTTCACAGACTTTTGGGGCAAGTGCTGTTAGTGAGCACCTATGTAATAAAAATTGTAATAAAAATAAAGTGAACAAAAACGTCGTGGTATTTCTATTCACTTCATTATTATTTTTTCTACCTACGTGACTTTACCGAAAGAACCAAAGAATAGGGTAAAGCCCAGTTTTTTTTTCATCGCCATCTGTTTGTGGAGAGGCTGAACGGGGGAATGTTTGTGTTTGCGCGCCCGCGTGCCGCAGAGTTCGAGGGCCGGGACCAGGCGCGCGAGGTGACGCTGGCACTGGGCACCACCTCGTACGAGATCACGAGCCTGGTGCACGACACGGAGTATGCCGTGTCGCTCTACCCCATCTACGACGGCTTCCAGGGCGTCTCAGTCACCAACATCGTCACCACCGGTGAGCTGGGGGCAGCGGGGGCGGGTGGGGAGCAGGGGGAGGGGGGGAGTGGGGAGAGGGGGGGAGGGTGAGGATGTGGGGGGGGAAGAGACAGACGACAATTCTGGCCATCGCCTGATGATGCTGGCAGATGACATCTCACCACCATGGAGCAAATGCCCGGTGGTCCGGTCCATTCCGAGGGCTGGTGGGCCGGTCCTTGTGGGGGAAATTGAAAATGTGATCAGTGTTAAAAAAAAAAAAATATTCATCCTCTCCAGCCCATTTGTTTTTTGGATCCAGCCCAAATGGGCCAATGAGATCACACGGCAAAAATCGCACTCACACGTCGTCACATCGCAACATCGAGCAGCTATTCCAGGTCACGACTTTGGGCCGGTGTGTTTACAAATGCCTTGGCCGATTTTTTTGGTCACAGTCGGTCACTGTTCAGAAAGATACATGGAGACACGGAGACCCATAGAGCTGCATTACACAAGCCACAGTAATGCTGCTGTGGCCATGCAACCTCGATTGTGGGCCACGGAGTAAAACCCTCTGTGGTCTGCGCGTCTTCAACGGCGGAGGAGGAGGAACAGCGACACTTCACCAACTCTCTTCCCTGAAGCCCTCACGGCGTGGCCAGCAGACCTCAACGCTGCCATCGAGCTCCTGAACAACATTGCTGCCATCATACCCAAGAATAGAAATTGAATTATAAAAAAAAAAATGTCACCCCATACGTCGCAGTTGGCTACGTACGGCGCGAAAGCAGTTCGACTTACACACTTGCGTACTCACTCAGGAGGGTAAAGCCGACGACAATCTCAACGTTGTATGCCAGGCATCTCGATGCCCGTGTTCGTATTCGAACCTCGTTGTCATCGTCGTCGTCGTCATTGTTGTCGTCGTCGTCGTCGTCATCATCGTCATCATTGTCGTCGTCATCATCGTCGTCGTCATTGTTGTCGTCATCGTCGTCATCATCGTCGTCATCACTATCGTCGTCGTTGTCGTCATCTTCGTCTTCGTTGCCGTCGCGTGTTCCCGGCAGCGGGGTTCCTGTACGTCCCGGACGTGCGCGTCGTGGACACCGCTCGCAACTCCATCGGCCTCGCCTGGAGCCGTGCTGCCGGGGTCACGGGGTACCGCCTCATCTGGGGACGCACAGGTACACGGGGGGGGGGGGGGGTGGGAAAAGGTACACGGGGGGGGCATAGGTACACGGGGGGGGGCACAGGTACACAGGGGGGGGGGGGTGGCAGCACCACGGGCGACGTGCATCTGGTGAGTGAGGAATGGTGAGTGTGGCCAGTGGCGTCTGCGTTGCGTCTTCTGGATGTGCCGCACACCACAATAATCATTGCGACATTGGTAATGATCACGGCACTGACCAATCATGGCATTCATCGCGGCAATATCGACGATCATCGATGATGACGACGATGATGACGATGATATTGGCGGTCCGTCCACTCCGCAGAGATGGGCCCAGAGGACAGTGTGCTGCTGGAGAGGAGTGCGACGTCGTTCCGGATCCCCGGCCTGCGGGAGGGCACGCTCTACACCATCAGCCTGCTGGGCATCTATGGCCGCCTGGACGGGCCCTCATTCGTCATCACTCAGTCCACCGGTGAGAATCCGGCTGGCCACGACGTGGGGTCCTTGAGCAGAGAGCGTGAGGGAGAGAGTTCGTATCGTCTCGCTTACTCCTCCGACTCCTCTGTTGTTGGAAGGAGCTCGATCAGGGGAGTCAGCAACGAAAATAACAAGGAGCAGAAATTTTTTGTTTCGAATTTGGTAAAATAAAAAAGTCTACGTTTCAAGAGCCGCAATGCACTGTGGGTGAATATGGTGAATACGAGACGGTGAATTCGGAGACAGTGAATGCGAGACAGTGAATACGGTACGGTGAATACGATACGGTGAATACGATACGGAGAATACGAGACGGTGAATACAATACGGTGAATATGATATGGTGAATACGAGACGGTGAATCCGAGACGGTGAATATGACACTATGGTCCTTCGTAAATAACGTCACGAGGCAGCCCTTAAAGAGCCAGCATGTGACCCCTGAGCCCCAGAGTGAGCCGTCCTCCCCGTGGCTTTACTTCTCGGGTCCACAGTTTGGGTTGCACGACCACGGTCGCACCGCCGTGGCTCACGTCTTCACTGTATCTCTATGAGTGCCTGCGTCAAAGCATCTCTACAAATAAAAATAACCCACTGGACGAGATAGGCTCGCGTGTGCGAGACAAACTGCGGCAATGTCGTGGGGTGGTCTTCATCCAGCAGTGTGTTTGTTACAGCTGCTGACGATGGTTATTGTAATGATGATGACTAAAACTATTAAAACGATTTGATTTTGAGAATAGGTTTTCCACTTCTTTTCTGGCGACAAAACAGCTGTGTTTAGATGTTAAAACACCAAACTGAAACCTTTTACAAGGATTCATGTCTGCATTAATCACAATACTTGTGGTCAAACAAAAAAACGTACTCTGATAATATATGCAGACATATTTCCTAGTAAAAGGTTTCAGTTTGGTGTTTTAACATCTTAACACCTGTTTTGTTGCCAGAAAAAGGGGAAAACCTATTCTTGGTACTGGCAAAGGAGGTCCCATGATGTTTTATTCTACCAAGTAATGCCCACTGAACTACTATATAGGTCTTTTTCAGAAGCAGCCTGGCCACAAATTAAAGCTCAATGAAGTGGCTTATCACGTGGAAATTTATAGCAGCCAGACACTCTAAAACGCCTGTTTCTAAATGTGGAGGGAATAATCGGAGGATCCGCAGACAAAAATCCACGCGACCACTGGTAGAGAGACACCCCAAACTCCAAATATACAGCTGGCGTCAGGGTCGGGATGGAACCCACGCCCGACCTCCTGCATGCCAGGCGAGGTAGTCAACATCTCGCCGCCGACGATGACCGACGTCCACTTTGGCAGCGTCGGGCTCGTTTGAGGGGGACGAGGAGGTGGTGCGGGACCTGCGCGTGTCGGACGTGTCGCGGGACAGCGCTCGCGTCACCTGGGCCGGCTCTCCCCGCGTCCGCGGCTACGCCGTCACCTGGGTGCCCGTCGCCGGTGAGAGGCCATGTTTATTTGTTGTTGTTGTTGTTGCCCGCACGCCGCGGTGTTCGTCATTTCTCGCAGCATGCACGTGCGTTGAAGTTATTTTCGCACCGTGCGTAGCCAACCGCGCGAATCGGAGGTGCGGGAGGGAGGTCAACAAGCTAAACACAAAAAAGCAGTTCCTAAAGAAATTCGTTTGTCAGTCATCGAAGGTGTTGAGTGGCAAAGCAGATTTAGTGTGACGATTCTGCGGCCGTCTGGAACGCTCTCTCTTACTTGCGATATTAGGAAGCCACTGGAGCTATGCGCTTTGAAATATAGGTCGACAAAGTAATTTCTGGAGAACTGCTTTAGTGTGTTTAGTTTGTTGCCCTTCGCCCCCGCACTTCAGCACGGTTGGCTACGTACGGCGCGAAAGAAGTTCAACGTACGTACGTTGTTGTTGCTGTGTGTGTAGTCATTGCTGACTGGGCTGAGACCATCAGCTCACGACGAAGCATGTGGTGGAAACTCGGCTCAATGCTCACGCTCGCGAGTTTAATTGTAGCCGCCCTAGTCTGGTCATCCAACCGTCATAACTGACAGATTTGTGGAGAGGCTTCCATCCAGCGGTGGATTGACAAAGGGCTATACGTTGTGCAAGTTTTAAGATCCGCGTGACGTGCCGTCAAGAAAATGTGGGTCAGTATATTCCAGGAGGAAAACGTTGCTCGCACAAGTTCATGACTGATGGGGCCTAAATGTCATTTTAATTTATGGTGATGAAACAAATCCTGCACCGACTTGTTACTGTTCCGTTACTCACAACCATCGTTCCACCCTTCCCTTTCTGTCCGTCTCTCCGCGTAACGAGTGAATGATCCGTGAGTCCGACTCGCATTTAAGGGGTGTGGTGTAACGCGGTGCGGTGTGGTGTCATAGAGCTTGGTGCGGAGCGTAGTGTGGTGTAACGCGGTGCGGTTTGGAGTGTGGTGTAGTGTGGTGTGGAGTGTGGTGTAATGCGGTGTGGAGTGTGATGTAACGCGGTGTAGTGTAGTGTGGTATGGTGTGGTGTGACGCCGTGTGGTGTGGTGCTGTGTGGAGCGTGGTGTGGTGCGGTGTGTGGTGCTGTTTTGCTTGTGGCGTGGTGCGGTGCGGGTTGAGCGTGTGAAGTAACGCGGTGCTGTGGCAGGCGGGGTGGAGATCACGCGTAACGTGCGTGCGGACGTGAGCACGTACGCCATCGAGGAGCTGCGCGAGAGCACCGACTACGTCGTCAAGGTGGCGGCGCTGCTCGAGGAGCGCGAGGGACGCGCCGCCAGCGTCACGCTGCGCACACGTGAGTCTCGAGCTCCCACTCCCCCTCGCCCCCCCCCCTCACGCTTCCCCTCACTCACTCCCACGCGTCTCACCCCCTGGCGTCCTCCCGTCGCAGTGGACCTGCCCAAGGTGCGCTTCCTGCAGACGTCGGACGTGACGGACGAGGCGGTGCGCGTCACGTGGAGCTCCCTGCCCGGGGCCACGGGCTACCTGCTCAGCTGGCGCCCCATGTCAGGTGACCGCCGCCCATGACGTCGTCGTTTTTTTCGCGTTTTAGCCCACGTTTTGTTCGCTTAGTCCGCTCTACTCTATCTCGTTGAATCTTATCCAACTTGGCGACAACCGCCGCCATTGACCGCCGCCACCGCCGCCACCGACCGTGCCGTTTGTAGTGAGCGCTGGCGTCAACGGGCAGAGGGAGGTTCGCTTGCCCCCCGAGGTGGAGTCGTACCAGGCGGGCTCCCTGCAGGCCGGCCGCGCCTACCTCTTCACCATCAAGCCCTTCTTTGGGCAGCGCCAAGGCCCAGCCACCGCCGTCACCGAGAGAACCGGTACGCCGGCGGAACCGCCGTCTCTCCGCCGCAACAACGCTGCCCACGTTTGGGCGACTCGAATTGTCAGCGCTCTCTCAAACTGAGGTTGACAGCGTTTGAATGCATTCGCTCGGTCGGTCTGTCCGTAATACAGGGGTCACGGTGGATTTCATGTGGAAGATTCGTGACGTACCAAACGTCAGAGTGAGGTTTTGCTTCGATCTTCAGGACCATCTCTGTAGAAAAGCTGGACAAATTGAGCAAAGGGGTTGTCCGACACCTGGGGGTGAAACCCAGTGCCAAAATTATTGAGAAAGGAATGGGCAACCCTTCCGTTACAATCTCCAGATGATGTCGATACGTAAGGACAAACGCACGTTGCGCAATCCAAGAAAACGCATGATTGTGATGATTGTACCATACATTTGTCCAGATGTATTATAGCCTTGGCTTGTCCGAGCTGGCACGTGACAAGTAGAGTTGCCACCTCCTGAGGTACAAAAAACGGGCACATTAAATGGGAAGGAGAATATAACACCGGAAGAGGAGAGAAATCCATGTAAATTCTGACCCACCCCTGCTGGACATCTATGATAAAAAATAACCCCAGCGTTCCATTTTTCCATTTATCCATTTGTCTGTTTGTCCATCAACTAAATTATGAGAGCCTTCTGAACCAGTATGATGAATCTAATTATTGTTCATCAATTGTTGTTCCATCCATTATCCAAAATACACAATTTTCCACTTCTTGAGAATTTATTTAGAGTTTTGATAGTTGCAGTCATGGATGGAGGGTGAAATAAAATATATCTAATGAACTTCGAGGTACAAGCCAGTAGTATCTGCACACATTCGGGGGTGGGGGGTGGGGGGAGAAGAGGATATCAGTGGTGGCGATGAGCATGGCACGAAGCGCTGAGAAGCCCTCTGCCGAATTCTCGTCTACGAAAAAAAGCTTCCGCAGGACAAATAAAACATTCTCAAATAAAGATTCTGAAACGCCGTTGCCTTGAGCGGCTGAATCATTATTGTGTAACTGAACGAAACAAATCTGGACTCTTAATGTCTGGGGAAGCCTCGAAAAGGGGACGACCCTGGGAAAACCAGACCGTGGTCACGTGCGATTTCCCTGCAGTGTGCAACCGCGCCCGGGCGGACATGGTGTTCCTCCTGGACGGGTCCGGGAGCATCGGCCGAAAGTTCAACCGCATCAAGGAGTTTGTGTTCCGCGTGGTGTCCTACTTTCCCCGCATTGGGCCAGACTCCACACAGGTGATGTGGTGTGACGGGGGGCAGGGAGGGGACGGGGTGGGGGGTGACACCGCATGGGACACCCAATACTCTCCGCTTGTTTTGGAACCCTCTGCGGAGGTGGCTCAGTGGTCAGAGCGGCTGAGGTCCTGGGGTCGTATCCAGACAGCCGCCTGTGATCACACCGGGTGTTCAAGTGCAGTGCATTTTGCTCACGCAAAATACCGTCACACGAAATAAATTTGGTTCCGCGCTGGAGTCGGCTAAATTCCAGCTCTGAGAATTCAAAGTATCGGTTTTACTGACGTGAACTGAACCTGACTCGTACATTGAGCGCGAGTGAAAAGAGCTGCCCTCTGCTGCGCGGACCAGAGGTCACTTGCAGGGATCTCAGAGGTAGCTCTGTGATATCCGCTTCGGTGGGCCGTCCTCTGACAAGACGGGTTGCATTGCTCTACGAGGGATGTGAAAGAATGCTTCGTCTTGTGAGACGCCGTCGATAGCACAATCGCGATAAAAATGAGGAGGGGGGCGGAAACATGTTTTTTTTTTTAAAGACCATCTCTTGTTTGTGTGCGCGTGCAGATGGCGGTGGTGAAATACAGCGACAGCCCACAGACGGAGATTCCACTGACGCGTTTCAGGGACCGCAACTCCCTGCTGCAGACGCTGAGAGCCATCCCGTTCCTTGGTGGAAACACTTACACAGGTACGCGCATGCGTGTGCCTGTGAGTGTGTGTGCGTGCGTATGGGGAGCGCTGGTGAATCCGGCGACCCGAGTTCGATTCCCGCTCATGGCCAACACCGGTGACAATTATCTCAACTGGTCCTGGGCCTCCCCCTAGGTTGATTCAGCTTCAAATGAGTACCTGGTGTGGTGTGTAAACATCGCCACTAGGGAGACAAAGGCAGCCTTCATAGGTGCTCGCTAACAGCACATGCCCCCAATAGTCTGTTAAGGCTAAATGGGGGATTTTTTTCTTAGACTTTTGGGGTCAGTGCACTGCGCTAGGAACCTGGTGACCTGAGTTCGATTCTCACACATGACCAATAACAGTGACAAATATTTGAAACCGGTCCTCGGGCTCCCCTAGGTCAACTCGACCTTAAAAAGAGCATCCTGGTGCGGTGTTTTTACCACCCGTTCCCTGTCGTGTGCCGTGCCGGTCTTCGTAGGTGCTCGCTAACAGCACTTGTCCCAAGCTGCCTGGTCGAAGGCTGCCCGGGGTATCTTTGTCTCTGTGCGATGTCCAGGCCGCGCCATCCAGTACGCGCTGCAGTCGGTGCTGCAACCGGGGGGCGGCACCCGTGCCGGCGTGCCACGCATCCTCGTCGTCATCACCGACGGGCGCTCGCAGGACGACCTCTCGGGCCCAGCCGCCTACGCCGTCGCGCAGGGTTCGACTCCCAGTCACGGCCTTGGCTCCAGCCGGGGAATTAGCCACAGCCTGAGATGTAGCCCAAGCTATAGCCCTAGCCCTTGCTATAGCCCTAACCCTAGCTATACCCAAAGCCTTAGTCATAGAACATAATAAAGGTTTTTTTCGGGTTAGATTGCGCGATTATAAATCTGTTGTTAAACCCGCCACCACCCGACACAGCCAATTAGTGAGGTTTGTGACGTAAACAAAGCGTGCCAATTAGTTACCTCTTCAGCACACCAGTGTGTTGGAGAGTAAAACCCACAACATTTACAACAATTCGAGCACGACGTTTCAGGCTATTATGGGAAATATTGGTCGCGAAAGCCTGCGTGTTAAACTTAGTCCTAGTCTTCTTAACCCATTCGCCCTAGGCCTCGCTATAGTCCAAACCTTAGCCATAGCTCTCGCATTAATCCGAGCTTCAGCCTGGGCTAACCACCACCAGTATCACCGCGCACCATGCAGCGGATCGATCGTAGCGACTGATGATGACGATGATGCCGATGATGATGACAATGACGACGATGATGACGACGATGACATTGACGACGACGATGATGACAATGACGATGACATTGACGACGACGATGACGACGTTAACGACGACGATGACGACGACAGGCGTGCAGGTGTTCGCGGTGGGCACGGCGGACGCCGACCGCCGGCAGCTGGAGCTCATCGCCGGCAGGCAGCCCAGCACGGAGCCAGGCCGCAGCCGCATCTTCTACCTCGACACGCTGGAGGCCTTCCGCTCCATCGAGGAGGACCTGGTGGACACCATGTGCGCCGTCGCCACCGTCGGGCCGGGCCCTGTCGACCCCCCGCAGGTGGGGCGCCACGGTGGCTAGGAGATGTTAACTACCGCACCTGGTATGCAGGAGGTCTTGGGTTCGATCCCGACCCTGACGCCTGTTGTATATTTGGAGTTTGCGTGGCTCTCTCGCTCATCATCATCACATTGGCTAGGATATGTTAACTACCGCACCTGGTATGCAGGAGGACGTGGGTTCGATCCTGACCCTGATGCCTGCTGTATATTTGGAGCTTGCGCGTTCTGTCTCTCTTACTCACCGTGGTCGCATGGATTTTTCTCCGGGTCCTCCTGTTTGTTTGTCTGCTATAATTTCCACGTGATGATAAGCCACTTCGTTGAGCGATCATATGTGGCTGCCAGGTCGCTTCTGACAAAGAGCTAAAGAGGTCAGTGGGCCTTACCTGGTAAAATAAAGAATTATTTAGTTTGAGTTTTTACTTTAGATGCCCCCACTGTTGTCCTGCACCCGGCCGTAAATCGGCAGCTCGTTGCCATTGCTCCGATGCCCGGTTGTAGTTTTTCTGCCGAGGGGGAACCCCCGTGTCAACTGGTCACCTTCATAGTTGCTGCTGTTTACGTGACAAACCTTACTAATTTGGCTGCGTCGGGTGGTGATGGGTAAACGACACATTTATATTTACGCGATCGAATAAAAAAAAAACCCGTTATGGATAATATTGGTCGGGAAAGCCTGTGTGTTCAACTGCTGCTATAAGTCAGTCATATTTGCTCAGATATTTGCTGATGGTGGCCTTAGACGAAAGGACCACAATGCACTACTTCTGGAAATGCTGATGGATTTTCACGAGCACACTTGTGCCCTTTACGCATTTTTGTGCGGCATTTGAGACTTGCCAAAGAAGTCGGAGGTAATGTGTCACTGGTGATGCATTACCTGCACCTGAGAGCCCAGTTTAATTTGAGGCGGCCACCTGGATTTGAATCTGGGATTATCAGCAGCGCCAACTCAGCGCTGTGACCTCTCAGCCACCGGGCCACCCCCAATGCCCCAGCGCTTTCGGTTCACCACGCGGTCGGCTAATTACATCACTTAAGCAAAGCACTTTTGAGGCCCGTGAGTGTGAAGGTGCCGTATCAAAACGGCAATACCGTATTCTCTCCGGTGTACAAGACGCTCCGGAGAAGTGAGACTCATCCCAAACCTTGTGCCTGGTGGCAATAAGCTTATACAAATCCGGTCTCGCGCACCATCACACACACACCTAGCACATTACAAGATGCAGCCCCAACTCTTGCTGAAAAATATGAGTGAGGGGGGGCATGGAGAGGGGAGGGAAAGTACGTCTTATAACCCAGAAAGCACGCTATTTACAATAATTGCATTGCGTTTGTTGTTGTTGTTTTGAAGCCTCCTGTGAACCCAGACCCGGGCGAGTGCGCCGCCTGCTTGCCGGTAAGACCGCCGCTCAGCGACGTGAATCCATCACCCATCCCGCATCGGCAGTGGCAACAGGCGATGATGTTCATAACAAAGGCTCACCCCTCTTAAGCCTCACCTTACCATATGAATAAAAAGTGTGCTGCACTTGCCCCTTCCCCCCTCTCCAACCATTATATAAACGGAGTGGTAGCTCCTGAAATCTCATATTTACTTGATACAGCTGTCGTGGCTGTGACGGTTCCACCTGAAGACGGAGGCTTGTGTTGCCTCCGAAACGTCGTGATTTTTATTTTATTTTACTTTTATTAGTTTTAATGTTTTACCTACGTGACTTTACCGAAAAAAACCTAAGAATATGTTCAGTGAGCGCCTGTGAAGCCACACGAGAAGGGGGTGGTGTCGCCAGTGACAGTGACACTGCAGCCCGGCTGCCTTTTGTCTCCCCCATTGCCGATGTTGGGCTCGTCGCCCAGGGTGCGCGTTTTGGGCCGAGTTGACCTAGGGGACGCGTACACAGACTCATCGATCGCATTGCGGCTGACGTGAAATATAAGCGAGCCGCGGACTCGCTTTTAGGGGTACCCGCATTTTATTTGGAGTCTTCTTGCCAATTGCATCTGGTAATCCATAAATGTTTGGTTTAACAAGCTGGACTCTGCTGATGAGATCCACAAGTTAATTAAAATGGGTCAAGAATTTGTTTTCTTAAGCAAATGCTGCTTGACAGTATGTCTGGCATAGCCAATAGGCTGATGGACTAAAACTAGGTTTTATTTATATGTGAAGACACAGAACAGAGGTACTACTTGTCCTACTATGTATGTATGTTGAACTTCTTTCGCACCATACGTAGCCAACCAGGTGCCTGGAAAGAACAACAAACCATACACAAAAGCAGTTTTGAAGAAAGGACTTTGGCAATATAGATGATTTAAAATTGCATAGCTCCACTGGCTTCCTAATATCGGAAGGAAGATCATTCCAGACGGCCACTGAAGCACATCTGAAAGCGCGCGATGCGGTGACCCTCTTTATCCGATGACTATCCAAAAGCTGCTGCTGCGAAGGATGACCGGAGTTCGAGGTCATCCTCAGCAGGATATTGTGGTTCATCTGTGGCAAGCACTTTGTGTGTCATGAGTGCGATTCAGACAACCTGCTGCATCTGGTATCGTGAATTATCGGGAATTATACCCCTTGGTTGGTAGCTGGGCTTTATTGCAATTCACTAACCAATAAGGCAACTTTTTAAACACACGCGCATGCACGCATACGCACGTGCGCACACGCCAGCATGCGCACACACAGGCGCACACACAGGTGCACACACAGGCACACACACAGGCACACACACAGGCACACACACAGGTGCACACACAGGCACACACACAGGCACACACACAGGTGCACACACAGGCACACACACAGGCGTACACACAGGCGCACCACACATGCACACTATGCGTGCACCTGTGTAAATCACCACAGGTGCATGCACAGGCACACACACAGGCACACACACAGGCGCACACACAGGCACACTATGCGTGCACCTGTGTAAATTACCACAGGCGCACACACACAGGCGCACACACAGGCGCACACACAGGCACACTATGCGTGCACCTGTGTAAATCACCACAGGTGCACGCACACGCGCTTGTCTGCTCGCACACACGAACGCTCCTTCAACTCGTACAAATGTCTATATCCTGAGCCATTCATACATCTCAATTCCCCTTTTTCCTTTGCAGGGAGAGGAGGGAGATCCTGTAAGTACCGAAACAGTGACGCAGCAGTTAAGCCACAGCTAACGTTAAGGCGAAACGTACATTCAACAGGAAATGCTCGATAACCGCGTTCCTTAAATTGTCCTACTTACAAACTTTATTCTGTTGTGCAGTGTTCATGTGCAATGAAATGGCTTACTTATGCATCGATTAAAATCGATTTTGAGGTCAGCAACGCTTGCAAACGTTACCTTTGGAACTCCCTGCCCGTGTTTCAAGTTTAGGCCCAAGACCTCCCTTGTTACCTGTGCCTGTGATATGTCTATGTGTGTATGTCTATGTGTGTATGTCTATGTGTGTATGTCTATGTGTGTATGTCTATGTGTGTATGTCTATGTGTGTATGTGTGTATGTCTATGTGTTTATGTCTATGTGTGTATGTCTATGTGTGTATGTCTATGCTGTGTATGTGTGTATGCTATGTGTGTATGTCTATGTGTGTATGTCTATGTGTGTATGTCTATGTGTGTATGTGTGTATGTTTATGTGTGTATGTCTATGTGTGTATGTCTATGTGTGTATGTCTATGTGTGTATGTGTGTATGTTTATGTGTGTATGTCTATGTGTGTATGTCTATGTGTGTATGTGTGTATGTCTATGTGTGTATGTGTGTATGTCTATGTGTGTATGTGTGTATGTCTATGTGTGTATGTGTGCATGTCTATGTGTGTATGTGTGTATGTCTATGTGTGTATGTGTGTATGTCTATGTGTGTTTGTGTGTATGTAAGTTGAACTTCTGCTGCACCGTACGTAGCCAACCGTGCTTATCGGAGGTGCGGGGCCAAGGACAACAAACTAAACACAAAAATAAAGTTAAAAAGAAATGAGTTTTCAATCTTGATTGATTGACCATCTCTCTCTCTCTTTCTCAAAATAAACAACGTCCACAGTTTCGGCACAGCTGAGAGATGATGCGATTGCGAATCCACATCGTGTTGCATTGCATTATATCGTATCGTATCATCTGTCACGGTACCACGTGGTCGGATAGCGACGACTCGCGCAGATATTAAACCCCTTCCTCTCTCTGCCACAGGGTCCGCCAGGATACCCGGGAGACAAGGGAGAGCAGGGGCCGCAGGTCGGTCTCCCCTGTGTGACTCAAGGGACTTGGTTGTTATCTCCCCAGGACAGTAATAGGCATTGCAGTGATTGTAGACGATCACGGCTCGATGGATGAGAAATGTTCCTTCAGGAGAGCCGTGGGGAGAGCCGCCACTCTCTCCTTCGCGACGTGGAGGCATCTTCAGGCTGCTACTGCCTGCCACGACAGTAGCTCTCAAGAGCACGGCTCAGTGACGCTCGTTGTCTTCACAGGGCAGTAATTTCACGGGGCTTTGTCACTTGCGGGATAATACATCGCTCGACTTGATGCTTTCGTGTGGAGTTCTCCCCTGGTGTTGTGGGATACCCTTCTTCTCCCCCCCCCCCCCTTCATGATGTGTCTCTTATTTGTACCTCAGAGGTGGCAACTATGCTTGTCACGTGTCAGCTCAGACAGGTGAAGGCCACGGATAGGATTAGCACTCTTTGACGGCGATCGCCATGTGCTTCGCCGACTTAACCCAAACGGAGCGGGATACGCTGGCCGTCTGTGTCCAGGCAAAGAATTACATGCGGTGCATTTGCTGGAATCTTTTTTTTTTTAAGCCGAAGCTACAAGAAGATTTCGGGATTAAACGTCCATATGTTTGTCAGTTGTGTCACAATAAATAACAGTTGCAAATGTATCATGCGCATTCCATTCCAGGATTCCAATGCGCAATGCATGAAAAGCAGTGAAACAAAAACAGAACTAGGGGGCGAGCGACCAAACGAGAGAGTGAAGGCCACTTACAAGAGATGGGGTTTCGAAACAGACTTAAATCTATCTACTGACTCCGATTTCCTGATTTCAAGTGGCAAGGCGTTCCATAGCGTGGGTGCCATGCTAACAAAAGCCCAATCGCCAAAAGAGCGCAACCTAGACCTGGGGAGTGCTGGACAATTAGAGGTCAGAAGATTTTAAGGACCTTGATGGAATATATGCATGTATTAGTTCCTGCAAGTAATGTGGGGTGAGCCCTTTTAAAGCCTTATAGGTTAATAGCAGCATAAGAGGACTGGTGTAATGTTGCTCACGTAACGGTGTACGCGGTGTAAGCACTCTAGCAGATGCATTCTGAACAAGCTGGAGTCTACCCAGGACTTTGCTCGGAATCCCAACCAGTGAGGCGTTGCGGTAGTGGAGTCGAGATTACACAATGGACCAGTCTCTCCAAGTCAGCAGGTGACAGGAAGCGATGCATTCTGCCAATATTTCTTCGGTGGAAAAAGGAAATTGTAACCACCTTGGATATATGTGCCTCAAAGGTGACGAAAATATCTTGGAGTTCTCCTCTCATCTGGGATTCATCATCTTCTTCTTCTTCTGTCCATGATATGCTGCTGGTGTTGTTGAGCCTCAGAAGGTGGCCACCCTGTCTGTCCCCTGTGTGACGCTCGCCTCGTGCCTTGCCAGGGCCCGCCCGGCAACCCCGGGGCCTCTGTGGATGGGAGGTTTGTGGTCGTCGAGAAAGGAGCAAGAGGCGACAAGGTGAGTCCACGCTGCGGGCGCATTAACCAGTGGATCGTGCACGTTAAAGATCCCGTGACGCTACTCGCAAAAAAAAATAGGCCCGCTTTAGTATTGTCATTTTCCCTAATTTAAGACATTTCCCTAATTAAAAAAAAACTTGTCGTACAAATTTCCCAATTGGGAAAAACATCGCAATCGTTGCCGCCGCTACAGACAATGTCCTAAAAAACGTAGCGCGTTCACCACACAAAGCCTATGAGAATCACGCAAATACCGAATGTGTGAATGATTTGACGGTGATTATCACGTGACGATGATGTTCGTGGTGGTGGTGGTGGTGGCGATGATGTCGCTGCTGGTACCCGCTTGTGATTTCAGGGCTTCTCTGGGCGGGACGGCATCCCAGGCTCACCGGGGCAGCCCGGACAGCCTGGCCAGCCCGGTCCCCGTGGCCCTCCCGTAAGTGCAGCCTCACTCGCCCTAGCCACCGCTGTCCATGCTGACGAGCCGGTGCTGGGGAGGCGCTGCAGGGCGCGATGCCGCCCAACACAATCGATGTCGCAGGCTAAACAGGAGTTTGAGCCGGCTTCCGTGCTATAATTGGGTGGGAGAGTTCCGAATTTCGGTGCTCGCTCACAGCGCCCGACCCCACAGTTGAAGAGGCTCAACGGATAATCTTTGTCTTCGTCCTTTTTTTAGGGCCTTGAAGGCTTAACGGGACCCCCAGGACAGCCTGTAAGTAAATCAGCATTCACTTCACGACACAGAACACCTATAGCATGTGGATATCTATTTATAGCCGACCGTGCTAATTGCACCTCCGATTAGCACAGTTGGCTACGTATGGCGCGAAAGAAGTTCAACATACAAATTAATAATAATGGAATGAAATAAAAATTAATAAAAATAAAAGAACAAAAATCACGACGTTTCGGAGGCAACACAAGCTTCCGTCTTCAGGTGGAACCGTCACAGCACGATAGCTGTATCAAGTGAGAGAAATTCCAAGAACACAGTATTTGTATATATACTGGTTGAGGGTGGGAGGAGCCAAGGTAGGCCCTGAATATTATTGTTGTGAGGTTCGGTGCGGCTGAAGCACGCTGTTAGGAATGAGCCTTTGTTCTTGTAATTTTTCTCACTTGATACAGCAATCGTGCTGTGACGGTTCCACCTGAAGACGGAAGCTTGTGTTGCCTCCGAAATGTCGTGATTTTTATTTTATTTTTATGTTACTTTCTTAATTTAAATTTTTTTACCCACGTGACTTTACCGAAAAAACTAAGAGTATGAATCCTTGCAGTCACGAAAGCTTCAAATCTAGAAACAATAATGGGCTTGTGTGCAGGTTCCGTTTGGATTGTTACATCACGGAGATTGTGAGAGATGGTGGCAGCACCTTTGTGGCAGTTGGCCTTCATCCAGCAGTAGGTTGAGCATGGCTGATGCTGATGAAGTCTGCGATTCTCTGCATTGGAAACGTGTCTCTGCGTGTTCCCGCAGGGGTTCCCCGGGAGAGACGGTGGCCCTGGGATGAGAGGCGACAGGGTACGTCGCCTGCACCTCGCCACAGAACCGCCGCAGTCGGCGATTAGCAGAGCGCACGCAGAGTTGGGCCCTGCAAGCGGCCGGCAGGCGTGGCGCTAGGGGCGGCGTGGTGGTCGCACGCCTGAGATAATCCGGTCACGTGGAGCTGGGGTGGGTGGGTCACATAGAGATGGAGAACGCCGCAGGGAGCGGGGCGCCCACCGGTTGGGAAATGAGGTGGTGCCGGCAAGAGGCAGGAGAGCAAGTAGGTTGCCGGGAGGCTTTCGGGTGTGGTGTGAGTTTTCTCTCCACCATGAGTGTGAGGGTTTTTTTCTTTCTTGGGTTTGTTAAAAGTCAGATTTAGCGGTAGCCACGTGGACGAAACTGTAAACATCCAGCGACCAGCTTGCCGCATATGAAGATCAATAAGCATGACATCGTTACCTTTGAAGCTGAGACACAAAGGCAACTGCCGTCGTGCAATGGTGAGCCCCCTGGACTTGCAATCGAGAGGTTAAGGGGATCGATTCCCCCTCCTGGTACGGTGTTGTATTAGCAGGCTGTGTTTGCTAAACGCGGGGTATTTTTTGTTTTTGTTTTCAGGGGGAGCCCGGTTACATCACGGATGGTCTCGGCTTGCCTGGGCAGTCCGGGGAGCGTGGGAGATCGGTAAGAGACATGACTGCCTGTGAACAAATTACCCAGAATACACCCAACCTCATCAGACCTCCGTAACTAAGCCGGGTTGAGCCCTGGATAATGCTCAGATGGGCGATCACCGCACATACAACACGTGTTGTAGGCTGCTGCCGATGTTCGCACACTGCACCGGTTGCTCATTTGAGGCTGAGTCGGCCTAGGAGACGCCCGGGACCGGGTTCAGATAATCGTCACGGGTGTGTTGATGGCCGTGAGTATAACTCGAACTCGAGTCGCTGGGTCTCTGCGCTGCGTCCAACCGTCGCCAAGCACCGGTTTGGTGCCATCCCAGAATTGTCGCCTGTGGTTTTCGGTGGATTCAGTGGAATTTTTTGTTCACCTGTTTTCCCATTGCTGTGTAAATACCTGGTGAAAAAAAACCGTAGAAATAACATTTACGATCTATAAATTGACTACATTTGTTCTTACAGACATAATGAGGTTTTGTTGAGGGAACGGATGCACCAAAGTAACCCAGCCCCATTTTTAGGGTACAGATTCGCGTTTACAGGGCACGTATATCCCTCAGCCACTCCGATGCCCCTGCTGCAGTCTTAGCCAAAGGAGATCCCAGTGGCAGCTGTCCCTGCGTGGTGGTACAGGCTGTACGCAGCACCGGCCTGCAAGTGGACCCCCGTATTTTGAGGACGCACTTCAGGAGGACATTGTTCTCCAGTCTACCATTGCGATGCCGAGATTCTTTCTAATCTTCCGTTTCTCAGGGTCTACAAGGGGCCATGGGGCCCAAGGGTTTTGCGGGCGACATGGGTCCTCGCGGACGCCCAGGGTTGCCCGGACTTCCCGGCATTGCCATCAAGGTGAGGCCGACAACCCCTCCTTCCACTTTCCAGGTCCTCTTGCCACTTTTCCCCCCGTCCCTCCTTCCACCGCATGCCTCCTCCCATTTCTCCTTGAGCTCTGCACTTCCTGTGGAGGATTATGGGTGATAAAATCCACATGGTAGGAAACGTTCTGTATTTTACTTTCTGCGGGTCAATCTGTCAGTCACAGGACTCACTCGAGAAATTCCCACTGGACAGAGTTTATTGAGGCTTCATTCCGACCATAAGGAAGAAGACCCCAATGGCATTTAGACATTATGAGCTATGTACAACCTCTCACCTTTCACCTGGATAAAAAACACACAACTGAAGTTGTTCATGATGCTAATATTATGGGGATTTAAAATATTAAACATTTTTCCTCCCCTTTCCTATTTTTGTTTTGAGTGGACGCTTGGAAATAGTTTTGTAAAATTAGCAAAAATGCGGGAAGTGTGAGGGTCAAATTGAGTCCTTGGAAGGGGGGGAGATTTAAATCTTGAACATTCTTCGGATATACTTGAAATCTGGCAACTGCGTGATGATGCTGGTTGGGACTACCAGCGAAACTTGAAATGTTGCGAGATTGCTGTCCAGCACAAGGGTGGTGCTGAAACCGCAGCAGCAATAAACTGGCACGTGTGTTCATCACGTGACACATTTATGAACTCGTTGTGTCGGGTGGAGGAGGGTATACGACGCAACATTTTACGTACGCAATCTGACACGGCATCCAATTGTGAATCAGAATATTGGTCGCGAAGGCCTTGCTCGACGTTATATTTCTTTCGTGGACATTTTCTAAAATATAAATAAGCGGAAAAAAGTCCGTCTCTTTAACGTTCAATTCCACTTCCTGGCTCGGCAGGTGAAACAGTGGAGGCAAAATTCTCAAATCACCTCCTCCTCATCCTCCTCCACTGTCGCCTCTGCCTTGTGATGTTGTTTACACACTGATCCGTCTCTCTCTCTCTCCTGTGTTAATTTGTCTCTGCGTGCGGCGACTGCAGGGAGACAAGGGAGACCGTGGACTTCGAGTGAGTGAACTCGTTGTTAATTGATTTATCTTTTTCTCTTTTCCTAAATCACGAGGCCTAAAGGCCCAAAATGCCAAACGGCCAGCAACAGACAGCACGATTGTAGGTGTAATGGATGAGAGAGTCACGTTTTTGTTGAACTGAACAAGGTTATTGTATTGTCAGAGTCATATTATCATAATTATAAGAAAGAGGTAATGGGAGGGAATTCCGAAGTGGAGCAGTGCGAGGGAAGAAGCAGCAAGAGCTGTGAGGTGACCTGCGGTGTGGTGAGTGGGTGAATAGGTGAGAAGGTGAGTGTTGTTGTCATCTGCAGTGTGGTGAGTGGGAGAGGGGGTGGGTGAGTGGGTGGGTGTGTGTTGTAATCTGCAGTGTGGTGAGTGCGTGGGTGAGTGTTGTTGTGATCTGCAGTGTGGTGAGTGGGTGGGTGAGTGATCTGCAGTGTGGTGAGTGGGTGGGTGAGTGTTATTATGATTTGCAGTGTGGTGAGAGTGGTGAGTGGAAGGGTGATTATTGTTGTGATCTGCAGTGTGGTGAGTGGGTGGGTGGGTGAGTGTTGTTGTGATCTGCAGTGTGGTGAGTGGGAGGGTGAGTGTTTTTGTGATCTGCAGTGTGGTGAGTGGGTGGGTGAGTGTTGTTTTTACCTGCGATGGATGTCGTTGTTGAACAGTATGGATGAGTATTTACACATACTGTACTGTATACATAATATTCTGCAGCACTTATAAAATGATTGACAAAGCAAACAAATTGTGACATTGACAAAGCAAACAAACTGTGATCAAATATTACGTCCATTGGTTGATTCACTTCAATATCAATTAATGAATGCGTGACAAAATACTTAATGATTACTTGGTCCAAATTGTTGAGATATTGAGATGTTAATGCGTCATCTTGTCTCCTGTACGGGTCAGAGTCAATAAATTCACGGAGTGACCAACGAGCCTCGATGCAGTTGTGACGTTGTGCGTCTTCTGTGTCAGGGAGTTTCAGGGTCCGGTGGAGGAGAGGCACAGAGAGGAGAACCTGGAGATACGGTGAGTGACCGGGAGGGTCAGTTAGTTATTGAATAAGTGAGTGGGTGAGTGAGAGAGTGAGTGAGTGGGAGGGTGAATTAGTAATTGAGTAAGTTGGTGGGAGAGTGAGTGGGAGGGTGAGTTTGTAATTTAGTAAATGGGTGGATGAGTGAGTGGGAGGGTAAGTTAGTAATTAAGTGAGTGAGTGGGTCGATGGATGGGCAAGTGATTGAGCAATGAGCGAGTGAGTGATTAGATGAGCGAGCGAGCGGGTGAGTTTGTTGACGAGGTGCGTTCTCATTGCAGGGATTGCAAGGCCCGATCGGCCCTCGGGGCCCAGCCGGGGATCCTGGGCCGCCAGGAACGAGGGGCGAGAGGGTGAGTGTCCGCCATCGAGGTCGATTTACAACCCTGAGCGAGCAGTTGAAATTCCATGTTAGCATGGCGGGGGAGCATTAATTCCACCGTACAACCTGTTCATCGCCAAGTAACGTTCACGAACACCGTTAGTTTTCTTCCCCGCTGACCATGTGCCTTTGCCCATATGCAGGGCGACTCGGTACGTGGCAAAGCCGGGCAATCGGGGAAGCCGGGGATTCCGGGAGACCAGGTAATCGTTGTTGATGCCACCTTCAGCTGAATCCCACTGTCGCATCCGCCTGGGAATCGCATTCGGTTTGTCCCAAAGTTCTGTATGCCGGGTTTGGTGGCTCACATGTGCGGTAAGGTGCTCTGTGTATTTCGAGTCTGCGTGTTCTCTCTCTCTGTCACCTCGTGGCCGCGTGTTTTTTTTTCCTCCGGGACCTCCGGTGCTTCCCTCCACATTTGGAATCGACGTCACGCGTTTAGAGTATTTGGCTGCTATACATTTCTACATTGCGATAAGCCACTTCGTTGGCCTCTAGTTTGTGGCCAGGTCGCTTCTGAAAAAAGAGCTAGAAAGCTCAGTGCGATTTAACTAGTAGAATAAAAAAATTGTTCAATCGTTTAGTTCAGTGGTTCTTAGCCTGGGGTGCACGCACTCCCAGGGGGTGCGGGATGCCCTTTCTGGGAGCGCGAGACGTGGCCAGATTTTTTTAGAAGGTCAATCATCGAAACACAAATTAAGCACGGGCACATGAGTACAACTACTTTGTTTCATCAAACCCCAATGTATTTATTAACATAAAACATTTTTTGAACGATTGAGAACCAAAAGGGTTGCAAGGCTGCAGTAAAGGTTAAGAACCACTTGTTTAGTTTAATAGTTTGTGTACGTGCGGACTTTCTTTCGCTGGTGCGCGAGCTTCCTCCCGCATTCAAAAACAATCACTGGTGAAAGTGGCGAACTTATTGCACTGCCGCCGCTCCTCCCGCGACGCGACTCCCCGTCGCACAACCAGTATAACATCGCGAGGGACGGACGGATTTAAAATAACGCCGAAGCAATGTCTGTGTGCACGTGCGCTGAACTCCTTTCGCGCCGTACGTAGCCAACCGACCGACGTGTGCTGCGTTTCGCAGGGGGAGAGGGGCCCCTCTGGGGAGACTGGCCTGCACGTAAGTACACCGCACGCATCGCCTGTGAACGGCACTCTCGGTCGGATGACTCGCCACCAGTGTCTGGTTATTTATCCTGGAGAAATCCAATGAGCTTATGAGACTCTTTTTCCACAATATAGGATTTTTTGAGTTAGATCGCGTAAATGTATAAATGCGTCGTTAAAACCCGCCACCACCCGACACAGCCAACTAGTAAGGGTTGTCACGCAAGCAGAACGTGCCAATTTTTCACAGATGTCCAGTAGGAGCACGGGGTCAGTAAGTTACAACATCAAACAATACAAAACAACGATAGGAGTGCAAAGTATAGGGACCTCGATTTTAGCTCTTCTTGCTTCGTGTTTTTCGCGGTTCGCGTGCAAAGTGTTCCCTCGTTAATCGCGAGCGACACGCTCCTGAGATGCTCGTGAACAGCAGATTTCGCGGATAATGATATTGGCCTTTGAAAATGAATTCCGTAAATAAAGGCATAATTAAGCTATTCAATACATGAAAACTATCATATTACAAAAAATTGAATTGGCTATAATAAAAAAAGAGTAAATAATAATAAACATTAATGTATTAAAGAATAGTTTACAAATTAACTTCCCTTAAATTATGCTGCTGCTAATTATCACTTTATCTCTCTGTCTTGATGCAGTCGTGCAGAGTTCTAGATGCAATTTGCGGGATAGCCAAAATCACAGATAGCAAGTTCGCGAAGAAGGAGGGAATACTGTACTTGTTAATGACACTTAACAGGTATGCAGTCGATATTCGTGTGTTGTGCAAATACTCTCTGTGCATTTGTGGACAGGGTGACAGAGGAGTTCCGGGAAAACCAGGAACCAAGGGAGAGGCGGTAAGGCATTGACAACACAATTGCAGTACTGCAGTAGTCGTAGTTATAATGATGATGATAAAACACAACAAGTGGGTGGGAGAGTGAGTGGGAGGGTGAGTTAGTAATTGAGTAAGTGGTTTGATGGTTCGATGGATGGGCAAGTGAGCGAGTGAATGAGTTGGTGAGTAAGTGAGTAAGCGAGCAGGAGAGTGAGTGGGAGGGTAGATCTTGGCAAAATAAAATTAGAAAGTAAAATATGGCTGCATTGACAGTGGTGCACAAATAACGAAAACGCAACGCGTTCGTCAATAACACTGTGGCCCGCAAGTAACAAAATGGCCTTACCCTGCGTAGCACAGAGGCCTCTCCTGACAGTGTCTTTTAAGCGACGTTTCTACAACCACTAGAATGCCGACGCAAGCCGTGCTGGACCATCGCAAGAATGGCCATGACAAGCTCACCGTTTGGCCCCAGTGCTTTCAAGAGCCGCATGGCTCCTGTGGGCTCTGCCCCTCCAATTCCGCACCTCCACACCCAACGTAAACGCTCTGAGGTCAATCGATGGCTTTTCCGTACTTAATCAAATACCGCTGCGAGACGCTGTTTGTAGCATTTGTCAAGCAGGAAAACTCTGCGCTGGCTTTGACCTCTTGGGTGTCGTCAGCAGAGCGTGCCCCGTTTGCCAGGCCACACCTTGTGACGTTACACGAGCCAGACCCTGGCAGTTGGACTGAAGAATATGGCTCCTTGAAGCAGCGCTACTCAGCCTGTGGGGCGTGCCCTACAGGATTGGTGGGTAGGGGGCAGTGGGAGGTAGCCGTGAAATCCTCACGGGGTGAGGCACAGGCTGCTGCGTGGCTACCGTGCAGGAGTAATGTTGCACGAGCGACGTTGCGGCGACAAAAACAAAACACGCCAATAACTCTCTCACTCTAGCGCATGGCAAGTATGTGTGCAAATCACACGTCCAAGTTTAAGTCTGTGTGCCACGCGATAGCTTCGGGAGTAGCACGACTAATGCTGCTCAGTCCGCCGGAGAGCGGTGTAGGATGCGGTTGTTTGCGATGTGGTGCATCGTGTGGTTCGCGTGGCCGCAGTCGCACCGTGGGTTGTCTTTAATTCTCCACTTGCAGAGGAGGAGGTGTGCGCAAAAAATAAACAAACGCCAATATGCAACAATAAAAATAAATTCCTCACCAACACCGCTTCGAGGTGTGGAGGGGTCTTTACTCTGTATCGTGGCCTGAGTAGCCTTCGTTGTGTTTTTGGGTGGGAGGGTGTTTGGTACCGGTGGTCTTGATCAAGGGAGGGCGGGGGGGGGGGAGCTGGGGGGCACTATCTCAGAAGGGATGAGAACCCCTCACTTGCCTTAAACGAACGCTGCGATGAAACAGGCCCTTCACTCATTCATCAATTCTCCCGCGTGCTTTGTGTTGCAGGGCGAGAGAGGATCGAGCGGCTACCCAGGCCCAAATGTAACGAGCTCACACGCGCGCACACACTGCTCACAGTTCCACGTCACGCGACCGTTGAATCGTGTTGTTGCGTTCCCCCGGTCCTTCCCGGCAGCGTCTCGTAGAGCCCCAGTCAACGCTGTGCACATAACGCGACGCTCCCCATACGTTTTGTCTTCACGCAGGGAAGCCCGGGTGCGTCCGGAACGCCAGGGCTTCAGGGCGTGCCGGTGAGTGGCGTCAGCGACCGTTCCGCACTGCTCCGACCTCCTTCTCGGTGCCATCCCCTGCCTACTCCGCACGGGACTACTCGCTCGTGCATTTTCTGCCACCAGCTTCAACCTTCTGCAGCTCCCTTACAAACGCACGCCCCCTCGCTCCCCCTCGCTACGAACGTGCCTTCCCACCCCCCTCCGCACCTCCGATTGGCACGGTTAGCTACGTGCGGTGCGAAGGAAGGTCAACGTACGTACGTACGTCACACTCGTCGGGGGGGGGAGGGCCCGTCAGGATTCAGCGGCTCGCTGTGCGGCCCGCACACACTTCACTCCCACAGCGCGCACCTGCCCACCGTACACACGCGTCATGTGGTGACGCTGCCCCGCTGCGTTGGCAATGGTGCACGAGCGCCAGTAGCAACAAAAACATAAGAGAAATAACTAAAACATATGTCAACACATTCGTCAATGACACCGTGGCCGTAATAAGGAAAGTATATCATAGGCGTTGGTCCTGGGGGCAGTGGCCCCTCTGTATCGTACTTGATTAGAGAGGCCAGACAGAGTGGACTATCAGAGTTGGAGTCTGCACTTTACACATTGGGGCCTGATGAGAATGAAAAATTCTGCAGACAAAAGACAGTCGCTTATACCACAGACGATATATTTCAATGACGTGCGCTTCTTGTCTCTTCCAGGGGACTGTTGGACCAATTGGCCCCAGAGGTCAAAGGGTAAGAACACATGCATCGCTATTTGTGCCACGTGATGCCTGTAAACAAGACAGCAACTGTGGCACTTCGTTGCTGTGTATTTGTACGTGCAGGCCCAGCCTTAACATTAACGGCACCCTGGGGAAGCCTATCAATGTATCGCCCCTTAAAAATAAGTCTCTGCTAAATTAGTCCTAACATTTGTTGTAATTTCTTGATCAATTGTGCGACCCATATGTGTGCTATTCGGTATGTCGGGAGTGGCGGTGCGGTGGTTAAAGCGTTGAACTTTGAACCCAGCCACCCGAGTTCTTTCTCGGCCAACATTGGTGACGAATAGCTAAACCGGTCCTGGGCCGCCCCTAGGAGGTCAACTCAGCCTCAAATGAGTACCTGGTGCAGTGTGTCAACATCAGCACTGGAGAAAAAAAGGCGGCCGGCCGTGGTGTTGTCCACCCACCCTCTCGTGTGCCGTTGCCGGCCTTCATAGCTGCTGCTCGCGAACAGCACTTGCCCCAACAGTCTGTTAAGGCTATCCGGGGGATATTTGTCATTTTGCCCACATACGTAAAATGTGTTAGAAGCGGTCCCATTCGCAGTTCTTGTACATTTCGGCGCCCCTTTCAGCTTTGCATCCTGGGCGGCTGCCTTGACTGCCCACCGCTAAAGCTGGACCCGTGTGTGTGGTGGAGTGGTGAATGCTGCGTTTTTAACATCGCACTGCTGGGATTCTGGTGTCGTGTCCCCTAGGGAGATGCTGGACCCCCCGGCGGGACTCTGCCTTCGGTAGGGAGACGCGACGCGCGGTCGCGCGTTAGAGCACACGCCTTGAGTCCATTGATCAACTTCGTCTGCTGTGATGGATCCATTGTTTGATGAAGGTCTCCCCAAGCCGTCAATACCATCTCCTCACAGTCCTGCGACCGCGAGCAGTCCGTCTTATCGGCTGCACGCGGGCCCGATTTCGTCGCTCCATCTCCGCGGTGGAACGCGCTCGCCCGGGGCGCGATCCGCTCTCGTCAAATAATTGCCAAGCTCGCAATGCACGATTCGACGTCGTGCGTACAATTCCGCGATATATATACCCTGGGAAAACTTACAGCATTCTATTTTTCTACCCCCCGACGCGAATGACTTTGATTTTTTGTCGTTGTCGATTGCGATGCAGAGTCCCGGGGAGCCAGGATACCGCGGCGAGGCGGTGAGTACCAACCATCAGCGTCACTCCGAAACTCGCGCTGCGTTCGAGCGTTCACGATGCGTGCACGTGCGTGCGGGGAAACCCTCACAACGCAACTGGTATTGCTCACACATCCCAATGCTGTAAGATTATCTGAAAATTACTCATTGGGGTTTATGCACAGCAACATCGCCGCCACCGCCCCCCACCCTCCTCTTGCGGAAATCTTGGCAGGACGCTTCTGAAAAAAATATAGTTTTGAGACTCGGGCAGAGGTTATTTGGGCCAGAAAAATGTATAATAATAATGATGATATGACGCACACACCTCGCTCTGGGAGCTTCTTCAGGAAGGGGGGTGGGGGGGGGGCTTACGAGTGAAACGTCGGACAAACAACTCCACACGGCACGACCCAAACGCGCGTCGGAGAGCTTCTAGCGTGAACGCCCACGCAGTCCGAGTGGAGGTCTTGCTGGGTGCGCAATCGGTGTCCTTGTTCAAGTGACGAACGCACGTGTCACAATCAGAATCTTTCAATTTAAAGCTTTCGTGACTGCAGGGATTCATCTTCTTGGTTCTTTCAGTAACGTCACGTTGAATGGAAATAAAATAATAATAAAATAATAAAATGAAACATAATAAAATTCTCACGACGTTTCGGCCACAACACAAGCAGCCGTCCTCAGGAGCGATGTCTTTCAGACAGCTCTGTCTTCACCTGAGGACGGCTGCTTGTGTTGTGGCCGAAACGTCGTGATAATTGTATTTTATTATGTTTTATTTTTTTATTATTTCCCTTCAACGTGACTTTACCGAAAGAACCAAAAAGATGAATCAGAATCTTTATTCGGACTGGAGGAGGAATCCGATGGGCTACAAAGCTCTTCTTCACACGTGTCAGATGTGCCGTTTGTCCACCCGCAGGGCGATGCTGGGTACCGTGGCCTGGCCGGGAAGAAGGGTGACAGAGGTAGCGCTGGCGAGAAGGGCATCAAGGTGAGAGTCGATCCAGCCCGCTAAACGCTCACCTGACGGGGACCTGCATCACGCCAAACTCTTGCTTCCCCAAGCTCCCTCTCCGTAAACCTCCGGGTGATTCGGGTTTCTCCCGTGAGAATCCAGCACACGTGAACAGGATTGTATCGCTCTGATCCTCAGGTCTCAACATGTGACCCTTCATCCAGTTGAAGATCATTTCCTTCCGCTTTTCCTTTCGGTTTCCCCCCCCCCCCTCCACATTTACCCTGATGGTGCTGTCGGCATCATGGAATGAGACGAGGTGTCCATTCGGATCTCACGAAGAAGCAGTGTAACCCTCTGCGTATTGGAGAAAGGCCCAGGGAGGTGGATATTGCAGAGCTACATCTGAGCAAGCCGTGTTCCCCACAGTAGAGGGCAGCACTCTTCCCACTGATCCTGCGACAGAGAGCAACGTTCGTCTGTGTGACAGCCAAACCAAGGGCTTTCGTTCCCACAACCGTCAATTGTGCAACTTGTGCAGTATCACATCTCTAATGTGATGGTTTTGTGCTCGGTCATTGGTGGCTGCATGTTTATTGAAAACTTCTTTCGCACCGCACGTAGCCAACGGTGCTGATCGGAGGTGCGAATGGGCTGACTCCCATCGTCTCGCTGCGCTTGAGAGCACGGTTTGATCGTGGGTGGCTGAAGCCTCGATTCAAACCCAGGATCTCAGCTGTGCCAGCCCGGCACCGTGACCCCTGAGTCGCCCGGCCACCGCATCCTCGCCGTAATTAGGATCACGGTCTTCCTCCAGCCTCCCCCCTCCCGCCCCCCTAATTCACTCTCCCCCCTTATAGAGGCCCCCTGACTCCATCGACCAGTGCCTCCCGATGAACTCACTTGTCGAGCGCAGCTCACGAGGGGATCGCTCCTTCTCATCTGCTGACCCCAGTTGCCTCAAATATCCTCTCCTTGTCTGCATCCCTGCCTCCAAACCTCTGTTTAAGTCAACGTTTAGACGCTGCTTAAATCCAAGCCGAATTATAGATAAAGCCGTAGACTCATCAGTCAAATCACTGCTTGAGAAATGCAAAGTCGGCAAAAATAAGAGCGATTGAATTGCGTCGCCACGCAAACCGCACTTGCCTTTTGCAATTTACGCGGTGCTCAGATCACGCTCGCGTTCCGTCATCGCGGATTCTTTCGTCGATCAAATCCAGGGCCCTCTCAGACTGCAAACCGACCCGGGCACCATTGTGTCCTCGTAATGCCCCCCTACCCCCCACCCCACTCTGCCCCCCACCCACCCCCTCCTCCCCACGTCCCCCCACTTCTCTCACCCCACTCCGCCCCCCACCCACCCCCTCCCACCCACGTCCCCCCACCCCACTCTGCCCCCTACCCACTCCCTCCCCCCCACGTCCCCCCACTCCCCCCCCACTCCGCCCCCACCGACCCCCTCAGGGATCCCCGGGGATGGGACCTCCTGGGCCTCCAGGACCACGAGGCGACTCTGGGCCAAAGGTGACCTTAGAACTCTACACTGGTGCTGCCCCACTCGTTTAACGCAATATGCGTTATGGTTGCTTTTAGAGTTGCATTGCGAATTTTGCTGTCGTTTATGAAAGTAACCCAAGAATCGCTTCAACTATGGAGTGTGATTTCAGAATATATAATTATGTCAAGAAATTATTTCCAATGTTTTGAACTCATGAGCATAGAAGAAAAGAGGTATTATGATTTTTGTGGCTACATATTTTTTGCAGATGTTTCAATTAATAAGACGAAAGTGATGATTTAACTTCCTGAACATGTTTTCCGAGTTAAAAGAACTTGGTTGGTTATTTGTTTGCATGTATCTACAGGGAGCCGTGGGGGCCGTCGGAAACCAGGGAGACAGGGTAAGGAGAAATAACGCAGATTAACAACTAAATTGCCCCTGCAATTTACTGCTGCTTGACAGTGACAGCATTGCGTTTCCCTTACAGAGGAGGCGTTACCGAGTCTTGAGTTGCCCTTGCTGTGCTTTCCAGGGAGACTCAGGGCGACGCGGGGACCGCGGGAACGACGGGCCACCAGGATTGGCGGGTCCACAAGGTCCCACCGGAGATAACGTAAGCAGCGCGCTTCGGCGCAAGTCACCGCACGCCCCCGGTCCGAACTCGACGTGGTGGCAACGGCACGGCCAGGAGCGGCCTAAGCGCCGTCGCCGTGGGCCCTGTGGTGCACGGGCTGAAACGGGGCCTTACCTACCCGCTGTCCAAATTCCACCCTTCTCCTTGGTGGCCCGGAACCTGGGTCACTGCATTGTATGCTTTCAGAATCGCTTCTGTGGCCGTCTGGAACGCTCTTCTGATATTAGGAAGCCATTGGAGCTATGGACTTTTAAATCAAAATTGAAAACATATGTCTTTAGAACAGTTTTTTGCGTTTAAGTTTGTTGTTCTATCCCCGCACCTCCAATTAGCATGGTTGGCTACGTACGGTGCGAAAGAAGTTCATACATACATGGTCCCCGGTTTCAGTTTGCACCGTCTGCACTCCCAGTAGCCAAGCCACTGGCCACACAAATCCATGGAGCCCCCTGCTGCACTGCCGCAGGCGTGCGTAGCTATCCTAGGATAAGCGATGTGAACGGGCATGTAAGTATGTACGTTGAACTTCTTTTGCACCGTACGTAATCGGAGGTGCAGGGGGAAAACACCAAACACAAAAAGCAGTTCTAGAGAAATTCGTTTTTCAATCTATATTTAAAAGTGCATAGCTCCGGTGGCTTCCAAAAAGCGACCGTCTCGACCATCACGTAACGTTCGCGATCCAGCACAGTGGAGGTGAGGGTTGTGGGATATCCTAAACTCCGTAACCTACTGGGCTGCACGGCCGTATGTTGAACTTCTTTCGCACCGTACGTAGCCAACCACGCGAGCCGGAGGTTGGCAGGAGACGAGCGCACTGAACGGCAGTGGGCGTGATATACGGACGTGGTCGTGGTCACAATGCTGTTGTGTGCTCACGGCAGGGCATCCGAGGCAGCAGAGGAAGGATTGGACCCCTGGTGAGTCCCCCGCCTTCGAAACACCCCCTGGACAAGTCGAGTATGCCCCCTCTCGCTGCACACACGCGAGACGCCACGGTCCTGTCAACGGCGTTCATCATCACTGGCCATCATCTATCCACTGCTGGATGAAGGCCTGCCCTTCACTAGCTCGCAAACTAACGATCCATCTGGCTCCTCGACACGAGATAATTGCATTGCTCCATCTCCACGCTTATGTGCGCTCCCTCCTTGTGGCTGCCACTCAGCCATTTGTCTGTGCCACCGGCCATCGTCCATTTGAGTGACGTCGTTCTGCTTCACGCCACTCACCTCTCTTCGACGGTCAACATCTTGCGTCCAAACTTTCTCACGTTCGCAAACCCTTGCGTTCATGTTCCCGTCACTCAGTGTAATTACTCGCATTCAGCTCTTCGTGCTTCGTGGCATGCGTTAGGCGCTGGGAATTGTCTGCACATAAGGGTGGGGAGGGGGGGGGGCATGGGGGAACTTTGTAGACATTTGCCCTTTTGGTGAAGTTTAAATTTCATCCGTGGATTTTTTTCCATTTGCACGTCTTGGCCATTGGACTCGACGATACATTCCCCACGCGTCACCCCCCCCCCCCCCGTGGTCACGTGGCCACGGGCGGTGACGTAGTCTCGCCGTCGCGCGTTCAAAATCCAGCGGCCGCCCCGGTTATTACTGCGCGGTGTGTACTAACCACGACAACACCGATACGCCGACGGCCTCACAGCGGATGTTAAAGTTCCCATGCCGTCATTCGCGGGAGTGGGTCATCGTATGCCGGCATCAGGGTCCAAATTTTGACAAGCTCGAACAATCACACCGCAAATGACACAATTGTGATTATACACACGGCGGTAATCATGGCCCCTTCACTGGCAGCGGGCGAAGGATCCAGGGTCACTCTCGAAAAAGTGAGACTCACCCAGGCCTCCTGAGTCCTCAGCTGGTTCCACAAAAATCGACTTGGAACTTGCCAACTCGAACGCGCCTGGAGAAAGAGTCTGCACGCCCATTTAGGGTTCCGTAGACATTAATATGAAAAGCCGGCGACGCGGTCCGAAGTTGAAGTGTGTCGGCGCCCTCCATCAACATCAACATCAAAGAGGGTAAGAAACATTCCACTGCAGTCACGAGGTCAAGGTGCTCCCCGGGAAACCTCCCACGCACGCCGCAGCTGGGGCAAGGGCCTCCACTTGTTTATTGAGCGATTGCTTTTACACAGAGCACCAGATACACAATCAAAAATATAGATATAAGAATGAAATTAACACTCATGTATATCGATGTTACATATGAGTGGACGTCACGTGGCCACAGAGCCAAGTGACCTCCAGCACGTGCAGGGCATCCAGTCGGCCCGGCACGCCCTGACGGACCTCGCAGCCGGAGACGATGTGCGGCCGCGGTCTCCTGGCTCCCCGCACTCACCCAGCGGGGCTGTCGCGCAGTAGCTACGATGCCCTGTCGATGTTCGCAAGCGGGCACGCCGCCCTGCCCCGGTCACACCGGGGGCGATTCGAACAGAACCCCACCGGCGCCGCGAGGGAGCCCTAGAGAGCCACCCCTAGAGTGAACAGCGTGACGAGAGTAATGATGATCGCAACAGAACGTGGCGAATGAATGGCCTCCCTGCGTGGTGGCTGAGCGTGCTGGGTTTTCTCGCTGCCGTGCCAACGTGAGCCCGCACTCGTCGCGAGCGCTGACCGCGTTGACCGGAGTGTCTGAGCGTCGTTCCTCTGTGCTCCTCGTGTCACCAGGGGGAGCCAGGGACTCCGGGCGCTGCCGGCGAGCGAGGAGCATCGGTAAACGTTGCGCCACGATCGTTTTACGCACCACCCCCCTCCCACCCTGGTGTTATTTTAATCGGCAATTTTTTTTTGCGAGAAAAAAAAAAAACTTCGCCACCGACAAACGTCGTTGGCAACAGGCGTTGTTAGCAAACCGCCCGCCAGCACACCCACACGCCTGCCAGCACACACACCCGCACGTCAGCACACCAACACATCAGCACGCCTGCCGCGTGTTTTTAACGGCGGTCGGCTGCGATGCCTTTTTTTCTTGCAGGGTCCGTCGGGAATGGACGGGGACCGCGGTGACCCCGGCGACAGGGGAAACTCCGGCAGATCTGGGAAACAGGTGCCGCTTGGATCGTTTCACCAAATACACAAACCAAACGCCCCCCCCCTGCCGCCACCCCGACCCGCCTTACGTTACTGACATTGTAAGGATAATTAATCTGCAATTCTAGGGCGCTTAAATACCCCGGCAGCAAAGAGCGATTTGCATCACATCTCCTAGAAACCATAATCCGAATCATCCCTGAGCCCTGCTGCAGTGCAGCCAAGGGGACCCGCAGTGGCAGCTGTCCCTGCTCCCTGCATCGTTGACGTTTGGTTTATCGATGTTCACTGTGCTGGCTAAATGGGATCGTCTGTGCGACAAATTAAAATTAGCTTCAAACCGTGGGTGTGTCACGCACCGGCCTGCAAGTGGGGGCATTGGTCTGCCATCAGGGGGGGGGGGGGGGGCGATCGATGTTGCTCTGTGGATTTCCCCAATTAAGTGATCTTGAGGCCATTCATTAAATGTGATAATCTTAACAAACTGTGAACCATGGTACACTGGTTAAACAATGATGCGCCCATTGAAATTGATTCTTATGCTCAGAATTCACGCGTCGTATGTGCACAAATATGCATATTAATGTCATAAATTACACAGTGGCACACAAATGCATTTGTCGAACTGATTTAGAGTGTCCGCATTATTAGATGCCGTGAGGGTGACAGCTTGGGGAGTGGATTGATCATGGCTGATGATGACATTCACCTCTTAGGCTACAACCACAGTTAACCGTTTACCGTTACAAGACGTCTGCAAGTTGCAGGGTGGGTGTCCCGTTCATTGCTGAATCTCTGAACACGCTTGCCGCTCAGCGTTAATTTCATTCAGAGAGGCGTAGGCGCCGCTGTTTTTTTAAAAACATTGTACTCACCGCAGAGAAGTGTAGCGACACGACCACGCTCTACGATAGCTGGCGCCAAACTGTGCCACACGCCCTCCCGCATGGCCTTGTGGGAGCCTCAGTACCGATGCAGTTTTATTTTTTTCTGAATGGGAAAGGGTAAAAATGGGTCGGAGAAATTGACGAACGAAACCATTTTTGTAATGAGTCGTGACTCTGAACTGTGAACATTCACACAGAGCCATTCGGGGGGTAATCATTAGCCGGCCTGCGGTGGCGCACGCCTGTAATCCGTGATTTATGTATGCATGTTGAATTTCTTTCGAACCGTACGCATCCAACCATGCTAATCGGAGGTGCGGGGGAAGGACAACAAACTAAAGACAAAAAGCAGTTCTAAAGAAAAGGGTTTTCAATCTATAATTAAAAGTGCATAGCTAATATCGCGTTAGAGACGGCCGCAGAAGCGCATCTGAAAGCGCGCGATGCGGTGACCGCCTTTGTTCAACGACGACCCAAAATCCGCTGCTGCTGCTGTGAGGGTGACCAGAGTTTGCGTGGTCATGGTTTACGCTTCGTGGGTGCTCGCCCTGACGGTGCACGTGACCCGTGGGCGATCTTTGTGTTTGCATCCAGGGAACACCGGGCGTGCCTGGGCCGAGGGGTTCCAAGGGAGACACGGTAAGGGAGTGCGAAGCCGCCCACAATCCCGCCGGGCCAAGTGTTCTCACGTCCCAGGGATACACCGCCCTGGCACGGTGTCGCGGCATTTCATCTCACAACCTCACGGCTGCCCTTCGACACTTAAAACAAATTCGACAATTATTGCAAAACAGTTGCCAACTAAACACACGATTATTTTTTTATTATTATTATGAGGCTAAACTTTTTTGGTTTACTAGGTAAGTCCCACTGAATGCCATTTAAGTGTGGACGTGGAGGGTTTTTAATGGTGGAAATTTGGCCAGATCGATATGTGACCCTAACCCACCAATCAATCATGAATCGTAACATTCACTGCAAAGACACGCGTGTCACGTGACTATTAAAGGCGTTGCGTACAAATTGCCGTGCACTGTGTGTTTGTCTGCTCTGTGACATAACGTGACGTAATGAGGACATGATGCTGGGTTCTTTCAGGGCCCACCAGGATCCCCCGGTCGTCCCGCCCAATACGTGAGTGCAGCTGCACCGTACAAGCCACAGCCTGCACCTCACTCGGCAGCCACTGCTGCTGCAACAGAGCGTGGGTGGGCCCGTGAGCGCCGTTGTTAGTCGGCGTGCAATCGCGGTCACTCTCGACGATGTGCCCCCACTCCCCTCCCTTCACCTGCAGGTGCCCGATACGGACAGAGGGACTCTGCGCAGAGGAGTCAAGGCAAGGCCTCTACGCACAAGCACGAACTGCCGACATCGTGCGGGGGGGGGCCCCCGTTATGCACCGCCGCCGCTGCCGCTGTCGTTTTGTCGATGACCGTCGTCGCCCCTCTTTCCTTCTCGGCCACGTAGGGGGCAAAGGGGCGCGCCGGCACGAACGGAAAACCCGGGTCGACCGGGGAAGTCGGAGTCCCTGGTCTCATCGGAGTACGGGTGAGTGGTCGCCACCACGGCACCCGCCACCACGGCACCCGCCACCACGGCACGTCACCTCGGGGCCGTACCGCGTGCGCACGCATCCCTCCGTCTTGCCCGGCCTAACGGTCGCCGCGTGCGCCCGTGGGGGGTGCGGCGGGGGCCTCGTCGAGTCGTCTGGCCGGTGGCGTGGCGATTTTGCGAGCGCAGGCGGCGCAGCTGCAACCGGGGACCGTGGCTCCTGGGAGCGGCCCCGACGTTCCCGGGCCGCGAGGGAGAGGGCTGAACTTGGGCAAGGGGGGGGGGGCGGGGGGGTAGTTTAAGGCCCCACGTTTCATTCCTCGCACAGCGCTGGGCCCGTGGAGGCGGCGCTGGGCCGCTGCGTGCGGCGGTACACGCTCCTGGCCGGTGGCGTCGAGTGCGCGGGTGGTGCAAGTGTGGCACTTACACAATGTAGAGCGTATGTCCAGTTCGGTGGCTGCACGTTAGTTGTTTGAAAATAGAGAAAATCTGTGAATTCTGATGTCAACGGGAGCACACCAATGCACGTGGAGACTTCTTGCAGGTGGGTTTCATTTAATCTGGGACTCCAGCTCGAACCCTGAGCTCCTGTACACGAGAAGTAGGACTTTCTAATTAAGCCCATTTCTCACTGCCTCACTGCCTTAGCAACATCGCTGCTGTGAATCGTGATGTTGGTTTCTTGCCCAAAATCAGGGGTGAGAGGGCAGGAGGGATTGTGCCTGAGCGTTATCCTGATCAGCCAATAGCATCCTGGTGAGTATTTTATCAGGGGGCTTTCTTCTGACTCCTAACTGACACCACGTGCCACACAAGTGCACCGGGGGGTGCGTGACCTCGCACAGCTTGCCCAGCTGCACGTCCGTCTGCGGCGTACTCCACCCGTCGTGTTGTGGCGTGCCATTCTTCCGCCCGGCGATAAACGCGCCGGATCGTGCGTCTTAAGCGTCGATTGTTGATGTCTTTCGACGCGCTCATTTTTTGTTGAGGCTAATGAGAAACAAAAAGAGAGACCGTATACGTGAGATTGAAAAATAAAATGAACGGTACAAAGTGAGACCGCGAATACGGACAAAGAACAGACGATAGACTAAAGTGACGGCCCCGGATTGTGATAAACTCGTCGAGTGATTATGGAGGGGCATGTGAAGGGCAAGGCTGGGTCGTGAATGGTCACACGCATATTTATATATTTATACAAATATATTTCTATATAAATGCTACAACATATATATTGGCAGTCAAGGATTTATGATGATGGCGCACAAAAATCTAAAATTTCGTTCGATAACGGTTGACGCCTCCTCGCGAAATGCTCCACTTGAGATTTGTCGTTTTTCTCTCTGCTTTAGGGGACTGTGGGCGCACCCGGCTCATACGGCCAGCGAGTGAGTACTGTGTACATTTTTTTTTATAGATTTAAAGCTTTCGTGACTGCAAGCATTCATATTCTTAGGTTTTTTCGGTAAAGTCACGTAGGTAAAACATTTTAATTAAAGTAAAATAAAAATAAAATAAAATTATTTTATTTTTATTTTACTTTTATTGATTTTAATTTTTTACCTACTGTGTACGTGTAGCAACACCACCCCCTACTGGCAGACGTGCCGCCTTTGCAGCCCGGGCACTGCGTAGGCCTGAGGGACAGCTACCCCTGGGCGGTGGGAGGGGGAGTCCCGTTGGCTCGCCCGCAGCAGTGCATTGGAATGGTTGAGATGAGAGGGAATGTGAGGTGCTCTGGACTTTGCTGAGGCATTTCAGTGGCTTTGAGTGTCTCTTTGTTCAACTCGGTGAGAACTCACGAGACCAAGGCAGAGTGCAGAGGTCACTTGGCTCACCAAAACGACAAAGAGGAATAAAATAAGATAGAGGGAGAAAAAAGTTAGCAAAATTGCACCCCTATAAATGCTAAGTTTGTTTCTGCACAGCTACAGCTCCACAATTTCCCATGTGTGTACAATATCTCTGTATCTCTCTAAGACTCAATGAGAGTCCTGATCTAGTTGTCAGCTGAAGTCCTGCTTGAACATTTCAGCAATTGCTGGAGAAATGCCACGGAACTCGATGGGATTATGCAAAAATGTTACATTTTCTTATTTTTTCCCCCCTAGGGAAACCCAGGAGTCAAGGGTACTGCAGGGCCGAAGGTAGGTTTCCTGAAATCTGTTGTAGCAGTGATGTGATTCACATCCATTTTGTGAGTTTGTGTGTCTTTTATTTACGTGCATTATAGGCATTTATTTCATAGCATTGACCGTAATTATGTGATTTATGTATCTATATATCTATCTAACGCCTTCCTTCGTCTAAAGACTCTCTTTCACGAGGGCCTCGCACTGGTTAGTGTCTGTGGCCGATTTAATTATGAACGAGCGTTTAGTTTTGTGTGAGAGGAGACCGGGGAACGCAGAGAAAACCCACACACAGAGCCCTCCCTAGGAGCACACGGCGAATCGGGGCGACCGCCCCGGGCCCCGTGCATTGGGGGGAGCCCTTCTGCCAGCAGTGGTGTGACCAAGCAATTGCAGGGCTGAACCTTTACACTCTTCCCAAAACTCTTTATACATCACTCAATTCATGAACGCGTTCGCGCTTATCGATTACAACTTTCATAAGTGCTTTTTGTTGCTGACCGCTTGGTGTTTTTAGACCTTTGTGTCCTGTGAGCTTTGCAACTGTGTGCAACTGTGGGCGCCACGGTGGCTAGGGGATGTTAACTACTTCACCTGGTATACAGGAGGTTGTGGGTTCAATCCCGACCCTGACGCCTGCTACTGTATATTTGGAGTTTGCGTGTCTCTCTTTCCCCGTGGTCGCGTGGATTTTTCTCTGGGTTTCCCTCGACATTGATAAATATGCGTTTACAGTATTTGGCTGCTATAAATGTCCACGTGATGAGCCACTTCGTTGAGCTGTCATTTGTGGCCACAGTCGCATCTGAAAAAGAGCGACGGAGCTCAGTGCGCCTTACTTGGCAAAGTAAAAAGTTTAGTTTTTAGTAAAAAACAACAAAACGTAGTGAAATGAGTGCGGGGAGTGAGCCACGTGAACTGGTGGCCAGCCCACTCGAAGAAGATTGCCGCCTTCTCCCGAGAGGTTTCCGGTGAGCTCTGTTGCCCTTCATTCCACCGGAGTCTGTTCACGCAAGGCCCACGCCAGATTCCGGTCGGATGAAGTCCACCAGGCACCGTGCACGCTGCGCTGGAGTGTCGACACGATGCTCGTCGAGACACCGGGGAGGGAGAGGCGGGGGAGGCTGTCGTGGCACGAGCTCGTTAATGTTGATACTGTAGAGTTAAATCCGAAGAAAGAAACACGCACGTGAAGTTGCATGTGTCTGGGACACACGGAGAGGTGGATGCCCCTCTCTCGAGCAGCCCCACCTACTTTTATATAGCCATGCCCACTCATCCAACATTTCCGTCCGCCTGTACAGCGAATTGCCTCTTTCTTATGCCGGGCCCCACCCACTGATGATTGGCCCCACCCACTCCACAGGTAGCCCCACCCACTCCACAGGTAGCCCCACCCACTGATCATAGACCCCACCCACTCCACAGGTAGCCCCACCCACTGTTCAGGTAGCCCCACCCACTGATGTTTGGCCCCACCCACTCCACAGGTAGCCCCACCCACTGTTCAGGTAGCCCCACCCACTGATCATAGACCCCACCCACCCCACAGGTAGCCCCACCTACTGATCACAGACCCCACCCACTCCACAGGTAGCCCCACCCACTGATCACAGACCCCACCCACTCCACAGGTAGGCCCACCCACTCCACAGGTAGCCCCACCCACTGATCATGGACCCCACCCACTCCACAGGTAGGCCCACCCCTCCACAGGTAGCCCCACCCCTCCACAGGTAGCCCCACCCACTGATCATGGACCCCACCCACTCCACAGGTAGCCCCACCCACTGTTCAGGTAGCCCCACCCACTGTTCAGGTAGCCCCACCCACTGATCATAGACCCCACCCACTCCACAGGTAGCCCCACCCACTGTTCAGGTAGCCCCACCCACTGATCATAGACCCCACCCACTCCACAGGTAGCCCCACCCACTGATCATAGACCCCACCCACTCAACAGGTAGGCCCACCCACTCCACAGGTAGCCCCACCCATTGTTCAGGTAGCCCCACCCACTGATCATAGACCCCACCCACTCCACAGGTAGCCCCACCCACTGTTCAGGTAGCCCCATCCACTCCACAGGTAGCCCCACCCACTGATCATAGGCCCCACCCACTCCACAGGTAGCCCCACCCACTGATCATAGACCCCACCCACTCCACAGGTAGCCCCACCCACTGATCATAGACCCCACCCACTCCACAGGTAGCCCCACCCACTGATCATAGACCCCACCCACTTCACAGGTAGCCCCACCCACTGATCATAGACCCCACCCACTCCACAGGTAGCCCCACCCACTGATCATAGGCCCCACCCACTCCACAGGTAGCCCCACCCACTGATCATAGACCCCACCCACTCCACAGGTAGCCCCACCCACTGATCATAGGCCCCACCCACTCCACAGGTAGCCCCACCCACTGATCATAGGCCCCACCCACTCCACAGGTAGCCCCACCCACTGATCATAGGCCCCACCCACTCCACAGGTAGCCCCACCCACTGATCATAGGCCCCACCCACTCCACAGGTAGACCGCCCTTTGCCCGCATGATCCGGTTGATGAAATGCAGATTTGTACAAATGCTTTGGGGGGGACACTGGGACAGACATTCTGAAGCAGAGACTAATCCCACCAGATCAGGACATCTGGTAGCTTTATTCACAATCTATTTGTTACAAAGATATGCTTAAGACTGTAAACATTACGAAATGTAGCACTCCCATCATTAAATGATATTTCCAAAAGGTATTGTGCGTGACATTGATGGCGACGACTTTGATCGCAATGAGCTCACGCGGATGTCCATGGGTGGTGGTGCCTGCAGGGAGATCGAGGTTACGCAGGGAGAGACGGAGTCAACGGGAAGGATGGAAAGATGGGATTATCCGGCAGCCCAGGAGCCCGGGTCTGACACCATGCGAACACCGCCCATCTTAGGGCCACAACTACATTGTGTCTACATGACATCCACACCTCCCATGCCACTGTCACTCACACCCAGACCATGTACACGTCACCCATACCACCCATCTCTCCATCACTCACACCCACACCATGTTCACGTCACCCACACCACCCATCTCTCCATCACTCACACCCACACCAGAAACACGTCACTCACACCACCCATCTCTCCATCACTCACACCCACACCATGTACACGTCACCCACCCATCTCTCCATCACTCACACCACGTACACGTCACCCACACCACCCATCTCTCCATCACTCACACCCACACCATGTTCACGTCACCCACACCACCCATCTCTCCATCACTCACACCCACATCATGTACACGTCACCCACCCCACCCATCTCTCCATCACTCACACCCACACCATGTTCACGTCACCCACACCACCCATCTCTCCATCACTCACACCCACACCATGTACATGTCACCCACACCACCCATCTCTCCATCACTCACACCCACACCATGTAGACATGTCACCCACACCACCCATCTCTCCATCACTCACACCCACACCATGTAGACATGTCACCCACACCACCCATCTCTCCATCACTCACACCCACACCATGTAAACGTGTCACTCACACCACCCATCTCTCCATCACTCACACCCACACCATCAACACGTGTCACCCACACCACCCATCTCTCCATCACTCACACCCACACCATGTACACGTCACCCACACCACCCATCTCTCCATCACTCACACCCACACCATGTAGACATGTCACCCACACCACCCATCTCTCCATCACTCACACCCACACCATGTACATGTCACCCACACCACCCATCTCTCCATCACTCACACCCACACCATGTAGACATGTCACCCACACCACCCATCTCTCCATCACTCACACCCACACCATGTAGACATGTCACCCACACCACCCATCTCTCCATCACTCACACCCACACCATGTAAACGTGTCACTCACACCACCCATCTCTCCATCACTCACACCCACACCATCAACACGTGTCACCCACACCACCCATCTCTCCATCACTCACACCCACACCATGTACACGTCACCCACACCACCCATCTCTCCATCACTCACACCCACACCATTCACACATTTCATCCACATCACCCATCACTATTTGCGACTTAATTTCGTCGCTTTTGTTTCCGGCTCGTTTCAGGGTGAAGCGGGAAAGGCCGGCGAACCAGGAAGAGACGTAAGTGTTCTTTTGTTTCACGTACAATGATTTTTAGAAATACAACTGCGGCCTGATTCGACAGATGACTGGGCCAGGACTTTTTCAACAAATGAACAAAGTGACCGAGACGTGCTTTTGAGGCCATGCTTGAGAGTAAAATGTGGAAGTTGTGACTTGTCTAAATGTGAGTTAATGTCAAGGAAATTAACAAGTGCACAGGCCCTTTGAGAAGAGGGCTTGGCAGGGAGAATTTTTTTATGTTACCATTGGCTTTTCAATGTTTTTACCCACTAATTACCAGATGTTGCAATTGACTTTTTTCGTTCAAATATCTGTCATGTATTTAACATGAAATCGTTTTTTAACGTAAATCTAGAGGATGGACAATAATATAAACTTTCTCCCTGATTATGCGTCCCACATGGTGGCGAGATGTTAACTGCCTTGCCTGGTGTACAGGAGGTCGTGGGTTCGACCCCGACCCTGACGCCTGCTGTATATTTGGAGTGTGCGTGTCTCTCTCCCCGTAGTTGCATGGATTTTTCTCCGGGTCCCCCGGTTTTTGCCCTCCACATTTAGAATCAACATCACGCGTTTAAGAGTCTTATGGCTGCTATAAATTTCCACGTGATAAGCCACTTCGTTGAGGTATCATCTGTGGCCAGGTCGCTTCTGAAAAAAAGCTCTAGAGCTCAGTGGGCCTTACCTGGTAAAATAAAAAAATGTTTTAATAGAACTTCCCTTATACTCTGGTGAAAAAATACATTTAGGGTGCAGTGAATACATTTTGAGCTGCGAATAATCTACACGTGAAAGACTCGATCCGATGACGGGACTGTTCTAATCGGAATGTCGCTGTAAGAGCGATGCATCAACTACAGCACACGAGCCCATGAGCTGCCATTATGTAGAAACGATTCTGTTTAGGGTAACGGTACGTGGCTCGACACGTCGGTTTTTAATAGATGTTTAGGTTAGGCCGTAACAATGATCCGGTTGAATTTCAGTCGTAAGGCCATCCACCGCCGGACATAGCCAAACGTATTAAACTGTCACGTGCGCACATCATGCGTATCCACAGCACGGCAATCGCTGAATGTGGTTGTGAGAATTATTTTTCGGCTCACCGTTGAGCGGAAACAACGGTAGCTGGCGCATCGTTAAACTCGTGCGAACCAAGACGCTTTCATCCGTTTGGCTGTGTCGAGTGATGGTGGGGAGGGTCTTACGATGGAAAATTTGGCCCAGATCGTTACTCCCGTGGTTCTAACCCAAAACTCAACCGTGAGTGATGAGTTACTCGACTCGCGCAAATAACATTTCCATTTTTAATCATCTTGAGTTACTGCTCTGACATCTATTATCAATGCAGTGATAGTCACTTCACTCTTGCCACCCGTTTTGTCGATGACGCTTGTTGTTTTCGTTCTTGTGGTTGTTGTTGTTGTCGTTGTTGTGACGCGCTCTGTGCGTGATTCTGGCCTCGTCTCATTCCTCTAGGCCAAGGCAGGAGCACGCGGAGACTCGGGCCTCAGGGGTCCCGTTGGGCCACCCGGAAACCCCGGCACCCCGGTAGAACACACGCTCGTAAACGTGACATTTGACCTTTCATCGTTTTGACCGTGAGTCGCGCGCTATTGGCCGATGTGCTACCTGGCCGGACCGCTCTGGGCCTCGCTATTCATGGGCTGTGAAAAAAGGCCATTGCCTGAAACATCACCTATCATATACTTTTCGAGTCAAGGCCACAAAGTGTTATTTACTGGAAGCGTGTTGAGTTTTTGTTGTTGTTGACGGTGCTTTCGCACCACTGCCAATGCAACAGCAACGTCACCACCGACAGAATATGGTCAGATAGGCAAACGTGTGCTTGATACCCATACGAGCAGAGTCTTTAAATATAATAATACAATTGAAAGTATTAATTATTAATGTGAACGCTGTGAATGCTTAAATGAATGTAAATAATATAGAAAGACTATTTTAAAAATTTTGCAGCCAATTCTTAATCCACTGCTGGATAATGGTCGTGGGGTTGTTTGACCATACTTCACCACGCCTGTCAGTGCAGGCTGGGGGAATGGGGAAGGGGGATATTGTTCACCGCTCATTTCAGCTGTGGCCGGGAATCGAACTCGAGTTGCCGGGTTCATCGCTTCTTCGCGCACTAACCGTCGCGCCAGCTGATCAAACCGTGTCAACGATGTGTGATTTGCGTAAATATATGGACGAATAAATGAGCAAAAAATTGACACTGACGCACTCCGAGATAGTGCTGCAGATGCAGATATAGTCGTCTTATTGTTTTAATTTTCAGTTATTTTATAATTCAAAAAATTACAATAAAAATGTGTAATTTTCACATCCATCATCAGTAATCGTTGTGGAGTGTAACACTTTTGCGCGTTTGTGTGTTCGCAGGGCAAGCCAGGCACAGATGGAAAACCAGGCCTTTCAGGAAGAAAGGTTTGTCCGTAAACTTCACCGGCACTGTCATTCTTTTCCGAGATATTTTTTTGTTACACAACGTGAAAACGGATCAACAGCTCACACGCCGCTCATCGTTACCCCAAGATAATTCCGTTGCATCAAGCGGGAGGATGTGAAGCCATTCCGGTGGTGATGGCACTTGGTAAAGAGCAGACCTTCCAGGCTGCGTGTTGACGGTGTGGCAGCAATGGTGGTTATCAGAAGTCGGTGGTAGAGAGGAGCGTGGATAACCAACACCATTGGCTGCCGCGACCCTGGGCTGCCCGACACCACAGCCAGGTTTTTTTATTGCGAGCTCGCCGTTGATTTATTTTGTTCCGCCATACGAGTCGCGGCGTCTAAAGCGCCCTCCTCTGTCGGTGGCGTTCAGGGCGAGACCGGAGTGCCGGGAGAAGACGGCATCAAGGTGCGGCCACAGGCACAACCACGGCCCACCCACGTGGCCACGTCGCCTGGCACACCCCCCCTCCCCCCCATAGGCGCTGTTTGACTGAATGGTTGTGTGCGGGGGCCGGGTGACTAAGGGGTCAGAGAGTCGGCACTGGTGAAACCCTGGGATAACAAACAACGATTGAATTCAGGTCCTCCAGTGTATGTGTGTATGTATGTTGCACTTCTTCTGCACCGTATGTAGCCGACCGTGCTAATCAGAGGTGTGAAGTTGTCGCGAGTTGATGATCTCAACCCAGTGACAAATCGCTGCAATGGCTAAACCATCAAGGGAAATATTGTTTTCACTGCCATGCAGTGAACATTTCTAGGCCGTGGACACAATGTTCGCAGGTTTTGTAAACCCTCCCAGCCTCTGTCCGCACGACAGCAGTTCGTCAATCAGAAGGTGGATGATCCCCAACCTCTCTCCAAGACATTTGGCCACCGTGGAAGAGTGAATCAGCCACTAAACCAAAGCTCCCTTTCGAGGGGCTCTCCAGAGCTCGCTTGAGTGCAGACCCTTCCGCCAGCAGTGGCCTAAGCAAGCAATTGCAGGGCTGCGCCTTTTCCACATAAAAAAAAATATTGTTATTATTTGTAAATGTTGCTCGTTTTGGTGGCGTGTTGGTCAGGCTGCGTCGTGCCGTTCGGTGCTGATGAGCGACGTTGCCTTTTGCGATCTCGTGCAGGGTTCAGCCGGGGACCCGGGCCGGTCCGGTCGAGATGTGAGTACGACCCATGACAGCCGCACGCGTCACGAGCTCCGCTTGGGAAAGCAGAGGCTGCTCATGAGGCCCATGGCAGGCCTTTAACAGAGATTCTTATCCTTATAGAAATGTGGACGACATAGACCCGTAGTGAGATGAAGAGACGACAGATGCTGACAAGATCGAGATGAGAGAGATGAATTGGCTTGCTGTGTTGACTCACTCATTGTATGTATGTTGAACTTCTTTCGCACCGTACGTAGCCAACTGTGCTATTTGGAGGTGCGGGTGAAGAACAACAAACTAAGCACAAAAAGCAGTTCTCAAGAAATTAGTTTTCAATCTAGACGACGATGTTTTAAAAGTGCGTAGCTCTCAGCGGCTTCCTAACATCAGAAGGAAGAGGCGTGCTCCGGACGGCAGCAGAAGAGCGCCTGAAAGTGTGCGACGCGGTGACCTGAACTCGAGCTGAGATTTAGTGCACCCCTATTACTGGTAGGAACCACCTGGTTCCACCAGCCCACAGGGGATTATTGTGTCCGTCCGTCCGTCGTGCATCAAAAAATGGGAGGGGTGGGGCTGGATGGAGAGGGGAGGGGAGGGGCTGGGTGGGGAGGGTGGGGCCGGGTGGGAGGGGTGGGGCTGGGTGGGAAGGGGCTGGGTGGGGAGGGGCTGCTCACCCCGTGGTGCCCTTATAAAACTCAACGTTTAACCTACTCACGCCGGCTTGTGCCCGCCCTCACAGTCGGCCATATTTGCGGAACACACCACGCCGCCGTTGACCCTGGCCATTGACCGAGCAACCCAACGTTCCTACCAGCTCCCTCCGCAGGAATGTGTATTGTTCATTCATTCGAGGCCCATCTGGCTGCTCGTGGCCCCCAGGCTCTTGCTTGGTGTGTTTATGCCTTGCGCAACCACTGCCTGAGTCTCCACAAGGTGGCAGCAGGCTCCTTGGCTAAAGCCGGCACTGAGGTTGTCCCGTCAACACATGGAGTCGAGAGGTGCTTAATGACCGGTTAGCAAGGTGCGAACCACGCATTGTCGGCACATCCAGCACTACATGGCTGCCTATGGCTGTGTGGCAGCAGACATTGGACTGGGTGCTACAAAAGTCACAAACCACAGCGGTTTAGTGGGCACGGTGTAGACTCTAAACCCATCGTTGTTTGTTGAAAATGCTGAGTACAACTGAGATCAACGTGGACGTGTTCAGTCAACGTCCTTGCATCATCCTGTGCGAAACAGATTGAGATGCTGGACATCTGTGGGAAGAAAGGAGCATTATCGCTCAGCGGATTTCTCCAGTAAAACCAAATATTCCGATTTTTGACCCCTCTCTCTAATTGACCGCACAGACGTGGTGCTCCCTGACCTTGCCACGGGGGCTCCGGTGCTGCACTTTGATTCTTCCCAAGTGACGATGGGGCGATGTTATTGCTCGTGTCGATGGCAGGGCAGGGACGGAGCCAAGGGAGACCGGGGGGAGCACGGCTTGCCCGGGAAGCAAGGCTCCCTGGGAGCTCGAGGCCCCGCCGGAGCAGTGAGTATGGCCGCAGTTTTGTTGTTTGAACACGCGGCAGGCTTTCGCGACCAATATCATCCATAATACAGGGGGTGTGGGTTAGATCGCGTAAATGTTTAAATTTGTCGTTAAACCTGCCACCACCCTGCGATGCTGAAGAGTAAGCATTGTCCAGCTCCATAATGTGCATCTCGCTCTCTTTACGTTGAACCTCTTTCGCGCCGTACGTAGCCAACCGTGCTAATCGGAGGTGCTAATCAATCTTCGGTCGCATAAAAATTGTAACTGCAGCGTATCATTCGTGCAATTTTGAAAGTCGAAATGTTTTTTAGTATAATTGGTAGTTTTTGCTAAGAATACAAATATAAAACAATGCAAAATTCACGTCTGAATATATCTTGGAAAAAAATCCAGTTTTTAGTCTTATAAGCGACAGTCATCGCTATGTCGGAAATAAGTACGAGCAGGAGAAAGTGGTGAGTATAAACTACGTAAATAGCGCATTACATAATGATGCCTTCTGCGCATGCACACGAGAATTATGAGTCTGGCTTGAGGCAAGGATTGGGAATTACGGTAAATAAATGTGGGCGTTAGTACAGGTCAAAGGTCAGCGTTTTGCTTGAAAATGAAAGTGACTTTTGATGTATCGCACAGCAATATTGCTTTCATGAAACTCGCAGAGCCTTTTCATGATTAGGCCTTGAGAAACACGATCTCCATCGCATTTCAAATACCCTGTGGGAGAAAAAATATTGATATATTTTTTTAATTAAAACGATACGTGCAAAGAGTGTTGTATATGAATGAAGGTGAGTGTGTGTGTGTTTAGGTTACGATGATATTTTGTAATGACCTTTTTTTAATGAGAGTTTTTCTTGCTGGACAGGTGGTTCTGAGCTGACAACGCTCACAACCTGGGTTCAAATCCGGGTTTCCCATTAATAAGCCGGGTTCTCGAGTGCATGCGAGTTGATAGCATCAGCCCAATCAACAATAACTCCACCAAATAAACCTGACCACATTAAATTTAGTTTCTCACGTAATTTGGTTAAATCCCAGCTCTGAGAATTAAAACTAAAATCAGTTTCATTGCCATGCGGTGAATATTTCTACGCAGCACGGCGTGGCAAAGCGCGCTTTGTAATGCGGATAAAAGAAGCCCATTTGAACAGATATCAGAAGTAGTTCTATGAAGTATGTTTCTACAGGCCATTCTCTAAGACACAGTGCAATGTTCTGCGACACTTCTTTGTCATGGCAATGCTTAGAAGCACAACTGACACGAGATTGTGAAAAGTGAAAACAAAATAATTGTGCTTTGACACTGAAGAATGGGTGGCACCGTGAATGTTTTCCATAATTGTACTGAAATTGTAAACGTTATGGGTTCACTCTCCAACACACTACTGAATTAGCAACGAATTGGCATGTTTTGTTTATGTCACAAACCTAACTAATTGGCTTTGTCGGGTGGTGGCGGGTTTAACGACACATTTCTATTTACGCGATCTAACCCATAAAAACATCTCTCAGTGATTGTTGTTGTTGTTTTGGCAGCCGGCTGAATATCAACCGACCGGCGGTGGACGGATCACCGGAATTCCTGGCCCCTCCGGTCTGCCGGTAACTTCCTCGCGGTGTCGTCACGGTGAAACCGACAATCTCGTTGGTTGAATTGGGCACTGTTTGGTGATTAAACTTGGGGCCGCTTGACGAGCGGTGGCAATGGACGTGGCAGCAGACGAACTTCATGTTGAAGCGTAACGGACAACCTGCTTTGACACCGGGGGTCAGAAACACCGAGGTCATTCATGACAAATAAAAACTTTTTCACATAAAAGTTACAAACTTGCGAAGAGGAATGCGTGGCTTTCGAGAGCACACGCTCAGGTTAATGACCTCATCGAAACTATGAAGAAAGGTCAGCGTGGGCTTGGGCAGGACATGTAGCTCGAAGGGACGATGGACAATGCTCAAGAGCAGCCGAGGAATGCAACGCGTTCGATAGTGAACGTCCATTGAGGAGATGGAGCGATGGAATCAGTTCGTGTGCGGGTGCTGGGCGGATTGTTGCATCGCAGGACCGTGAGAGATGGTGACGGCTTGGGGAGGCCTTCATCCAGCAGTGGATTGATCATGGCTGATGACGACGACAGTGTGATGGTGACACCCACAAAGCATTTAGATGTAGCTAAGAGACACCAACAACTTCAGAATCCGAATGTTTATTTATACTGGATGGTTTGTACGTACGGCACAGAGCGGGGCAACAGTAAGTAACGGGAGCACGAGCAAGTAAGAGGCACTGCGCGTCTGTAATTTAACCGATAACCACTGGGAGCTGTTCCCTCTCAGGGCACCCACTCCTCCAACTTCCACAGTGCGGCTGGACCCCTGGGGCTGAGCGATAACTACTTACCCAGGTCTTTAAGCATTCTATTCTGAGTAGAAACCCCCCTGCAGCCTTAATAAGACTGTGTTTATTTCCGAAAGCCATCGATGTGGTTTAATTGCGAAGGGAAGGCAGATGGCGGTTCGTTTTTTCTTTTTCTTCCTCCGCAAGTGGAAGTGGCGCGCAGGAAGCACGGACGGATGCTTGCTTAGAATTAGTCGCGAGGAGCCGCGGAGAGAGGAACGCGCGCGGACGGAGGGACCGTAGCGCAGGGGTTTTAATGTTGGGAAAGATACGGGGAGCTCAGGCAGGGCGCGTCGTGGCCAGAGGGGCAACGGCGGGGCTGACGCTCGAGCAGAGAGATGGAGCGGAAGCCAAAGGAGGGATTGGGCCATGTCCACCGCAGGGGCGGAGCGGCGGGATCAGTGGCCGCGTGGTAGCGAGGCGGGTCGCGGCGTCACGCGGCCGTGACGGCACGGAGAGGCCTTCGCCCAGCAGTGGGTAGACCACGACTCTCAGACGGTGACTGACGGACCCAAACGTGCGGTGCTGGACATATCATCATCGTGGGCGGAGTTTGTGGGGGGGGGGGGGGGGCAACAGGGGGCGGGGGGAAGCCCCTCCCAAACTGGACACCTTTATTAATTTATTATCAGTAGTTTATCATTAAGATAAAAAAACAACTATTGATTAATTATATGCACCTCACGAATCCTAATCGAACCCCCCCCCACCGCACAAATAGAGAAGTGAAACTCCGCCTATGTTCATCATCATAATCAAGATTCACCCCTCCGCCCCCCCCCTCGCCCAGATGTCAAACCACATTAACGAGGTTGCAGGTCTCACAGTGATCTCACCCCCGTAGGAGCTCGTTGCCGTGGTTTGCTCTGACCAGAGAAGTGAGTTGCGCCAGCTTTGTCTTTGCAGGGGCTGCCCGGAGTTCCCGGTCCGATGGGGGAGCAGGTACACGGCGCACGCAATTTGCAGTTTCGTCGGCGCCAGATACACAGAGAGATGGGATGACCCCGGGGGGGGGGGGTGCGCAACCCACCGGCGTTCAACCAACAGAGAGAGCCCGGCCGTGGCGGTGACATCCATACAAAGCCCTCGCTGACCCTACTGACCTTAACACCGGGGGAAGGGGGGGGCTGACCTATCGTCGTCGGCGTGTAAAGATGACCCGTCGCATCGAGCACCAGAATAGAAATGGCCCCGGGGTGACTCAGCTGAGCGCTAATACTGGCCCAGCGTCACCGAGACCTCGGATTGCAATCGGCGCGACACCGTTGATTAAACCTGGAGCTCGGGCACGATAAGCTGACGCTCTCGGCCTGGGAACTTCACGTGGAGGTGGTCGAGCCAGACAATTGCGTCGGCAGTAAGCGGAGTGGCAGTGGTGTGTCGCTGCAGTGATGATGCCTCCATTGGACTGGGCAAAAAAAAAAACCCACTTCCGTTATGTTCCGATTTGATATATTCACACCTTTGAAGCCGTAAAATGAATGTTTGATTCGATTGCCATGCGACGAACTCCTCTGCAGCAGGACGAAGTGACATTGAGTCGAGGTGGAGAGGTGATTTGGCAGGCATTGCCCGATGACCGCTGTTCGCCTGTGTTGCTGGTGGCGATCCAGCGCTGCCTGGCGTGGTCGAGCGTGCGTTTTAAACTCGTTGCATTTCGAGCAATTGGAGCCCCCAGCGGCCGCCCTGGTTAACACTGCGTCACGTCACAGTGGACGTTCAGAGATGAAGAAAGAGTGGGCCACCCTGGTGTCACGGTCAAAATCTGTTGGATGTGAAATTACTCGCAAGTTACCCAACTGGGTGAAGCCGCGTCCTGGACTCGACTCGTCTGCGAAGCATCGCGCCTTCGTGATGCCCTCGCGCTGGAAGGTCGGCGTGAACGCCACACCGTTGCCGATGCATCGACCTTTACTCTCGCGATGTGCCCCCCCCCCCCCGTTTGTGTCTCGCGCAGGGACTGAAGGGTGGCACGGGATACAAGGGCGCCAGGGTGAGTGAGTGATCGGTCGAGGGCTTTGAGCCGCGTGCAGACCCTCGTCGGAGTAAAAGTCGCGCCTCCGCCGACGTGTGAAAGACGTTTCCAAGAGGCACCTACGGCAGGGGAATTCGCCCCGGAGTCAAAAGTCGCCGCCTCTGACTCGGCATCGGCGCTCGAGTCAACTGCCGAGTCGTTTGTTGCCCGGCGAATTTGCTCGTGCCGATTGCGTCACGGCCTGGCGCTAGGCTCCTCGTCAGGAGTTAACTGCTGGGTCAGCACGCTGATAGGCTGGGCCCTACCAGAGGAATGTGGAACTCACCCCCCTGCCTATCTCTCCATCGTCCTAATCCAGTCCCCTCCACGCACTCTGCTAACCTCTCACGTCGCTCCACTCCTCGGCGAATTGGTTCAACGTTGGTCGTGTCGTGCTCCACTTTATTGACCCCCCTCCACTTTAGACGAAGTCGCGCTTGAGTGCGTTGGAGTTCCTCATCGTCATCGAGAGGGAAGGAATGTCTCAATGTTTTGTCCAGAACAGGATTTCTTCAGACATCGATGCCTAGATAGTGTTTCCCCACAGCGACAGTCGAGTACCTGTGATTATGTTAAAGTACCCTGGTGTGATCGGGCTTTTGCCAGTGCAGCCCACACGCTTTGCAATGCTTTGCCTTCGCTAATAAGGCATTCAGAACCGTGAGATATATTTAAGTCCCATCTTGAAAACTCATCTCTTCTTTACCCCCAACTAGTTCTGGCCATTTAACCCACAGGTTCTGTGGTTTATTTCCTGCGCATTGGGGATCTACGGATGAAATGCGCCTTACAAACGTGAATCATTGTTGTTATTATGTACGCCGTTTCCTGTCCGAGACTAACATTTCTTTGTGGCCGTTTTGGTTCTGATCTCAGGGGTTTGCGGGGGATTCTGGGAAGCCCGGAGACCCTGGAGCCAAAGTGGTGAGAAACAATAAACCAGAGACACGGAGGCAGTGGCGCAGAATTCCTGGGTGTGAGTCCGGGTTTCAGTCGGTGGTTATTCCGTGTCCACAAGTAGGGCGAGTTCAGAGTCTCAGTCCGGTCTCCAATGGCTGCACAAACTTAAATCGCGTGCAATGTGTTGGAATTCCAGCTCTGAGGATGATCAATTGAAACATCAATTTAATTGGCACGTGATGAACAATTCTTGCAAGGCACTAAGAGGTCTGTTGAAGTGCCTCACAAGTAGTTTTGCGACATCATCTTCTGGGGCAGTGCTTTTACGCAGGGCAGCACACTGATAAGTTGAAAATTCCAAGTGGATTTTTTTTATTTTCATGGCACAAAGACAATTGCCATATGGTATGTATAACAGAAAACAAAGACACGTTTAGAGCAAAAAATACCCCAAGAGATTGATCAAACATTCCCAACAGGATCCTCTCAATAACGAGTCTTGAGACTCGCTGAGAGCCATTCCTACTTGAACTCTGTATGTATTTGATTAATTTTATTTTCCTGCTGATAAAATTCTATTATTACTTATAAATGGTGATGCAGGAGTAGCGGTATTCATCCTATTCGATTAACACTGTTCGCTACTTATGGTGCGAAAGAAGTTCAACGTACATACATGAATCCTGCAGCGCACATTCACTGCCGTATGGCCAAGTAAATACCCAGGAGGAAAACATCGGTACCGCCCGAGGAAGCACGGCTTTAAGTGGCACCAATTTATATACGTGGCCAACCAGAGTGAATCAAATTTCGATTTAAAGCTTTCGTGACTGCAGGGATTCATCTTCTTGGTTCTTTCGGTAAAGTCACGTAGAAGGTTCCAAAGAACACAGGATGAGATGTTACTATCCTTTGTGCAAGCACTTCCAAGAGTTAATGAACAGTGAGCCTGGTGAAATTTGGGGAGCGCATCGTCAGTAGTGACCTTTTGGTTCCTAGGGTGTTTCGGCCTTTCATACTATACACCCTCCTCAAAGGCGGCCAGCGACAGGGTGATCAATCCTACGCTTGCGTCCCATTCCCAATTAGTCATAGGAGTTGCCTTGTTGTTGGTAGCCAACATCCCATGGGACTAAGCATGGCAGGGGCGTCCTCCTCCCTGAGTCAAGCATTGTTGACTGCATACCTCCTGGCCCTCTCACTTTGGGGCCCAGCTGGGGTCTTTCCTCTTCATCCAGAGCCACTGACTGCTGCCTTCTGCCGCCTCCGATACAGCTTTGATTGCCGAACGCTGGCTCTGGCCCTTAATTCCCAGGTCTCTAAGCAGTCTGGTTGTAGATGTTGCCACAAAACCTCTGCAGCCCACCTCCACTGGTCGGACTTCTGTGTTCCAGCCATGATGCCGTGCTTCGGCAGCTAGATCGGCATAGCGCAGATGTTTTTGCTCATAAGCCTCATCTACTGAGTCCTCCCAGGGTACTGTGAGCTCAATGATGAAGACCTTCTTGAGCGAACGGGACCAGAGCACCACGTCAGGTCTTAGGGTGGTGGTTGCGATCTCCGGAGGAAACACAAGTTGCCGGCCAATGTCAGCTAGCATTTTCCAGTCGCGGGCCAAGCGCAGCTGGTCTCGCTCTATTGGTGTAGAGCCGCTCTTCGGTGGTTTAGCCCCTTCGCGGACAAAGGTCGTCCGTAAGGGGTGTGATGCTGCTGGGGGTGGTAGGGAGTTGGTGGCAGCTCGCTTGTCCTCCAGGGCGGACGCAAGGTTTTTAAGGACTTGGTTGTGACGCCAAGTGTAGCGTCCTTGGGTGAGGCTTGTTTTACACCCTGTGAGAATGTGCCTGAGGTTGGCTGGCATGGAACAGAGGGCACAGTCCGGATCTTCACCATACCATTGGTGAAGATTAACTGGTGTTGGAAGGATGTCATATGTTGCTCTGATGGAGAAGCTCAACCGCCTCGCTTCCGTGGCCCACAGATCCTTCCAGCTGATCTTCCTCTTCTCCACACTGTCCCATCGAGTCCACTGTCCTTGTTTGGCAAGAGAGACTGCCTTGGCCCACCTTGCAGCCTCCTCCTGATGGCGTACTTCCTGCACTACCATCTTCCGCCGCTCTGGTGCAGTGGCCTTACTCCAAGCAGCACGGCTAGTTAGCCCAAGGCCTCCTCTCCCTTGCTGAACATGACCCACAATGTCAGCATGTCTGAGGGCTGCTGTTGCCTCCTGGACTGCTTTTCCCGGCCTCCATTTGCGCCCAGTTGCCAAGGTCGGCGCGTTGTTGCTCACCACTGGGTCTCGAGATTCATTCAGTGTCATCTGGAGCCTGGTTTTTGCACACTTGAATTCCTCGGTTAGACTGGTGAGGGGCAGCTTGAGGACACCATCTCCATAGAGGCCTATGGTGGTAAGGCATCGTGGAACTCCGAGCCACTTCTTTAAGTAGCTCGTGGCTCCTCTTTCCATCTTCTCCACTGTTGAGATTGGAACCTCATACACTGCTAGGGGCCACAACACCCGGGGTAGGAGACCAAACTGCAGACACCAGGCCTTTAACTTTCCAGGTAGCTGGGTGTTGTCGATGGACTGTAGGCTACTACTGATGTCTTTGCGCAGCTGTTGCACCTGGTCTTTGTCCTTCAGGCTTGCATCATACCACCTTCCAAGGGAAATAATACAAATAAAAGACAGCTGTCTTTCTGACAGCCCTGTTCTTCACCTGAGGACGGTTGCTTGCATTGTGGCCGAAACGTCGTGAGAATTGTATTCTATTATGTTTTATTTTTATTATTTTATCATTTCCCTTCTACGTGACTTTACCGAAAGAACCAAGAAGACAGAGTGAATTACTTGATGCCACTCATTTCAAGTGCTTATCGGATGAATCGCTCATCAGAATCAGAATTTGTATTCGTACCGGAAGAATCCCACGAGCTATAAAGCTCGTTTTCACAGATGTCCAGTCGGGGCTCGCGGTCAGAACGTTACAACAACAAACAGTGCACACAACAACAAACAGTGCACACAACAACAAACTGTACACAACAACAACAACGACGGCCACATCGAGACATTGGACCGGCCCAAGAGATGCCACCTGAGTTGGTGCCGACAGGTGAGGTGTCTACTCTGGGCCCGTGGCCCATTTAGGTGTCGACCGCTACGAGACGTGCCGCTACGTAGTGTTGGTGTGGCTGCTTCACCAGCGCTACATCGGCCCATTTCTTAACCCCCTGGTTTTATTACAAGTTATATTTATTCGTGTTTGTCAATGTGACGTTTTTCTCTTGCGAATTTGAATGATTCGTGTGTGTTTGTGTGTGTTTGTTTGTTTCTTCTCACGGTGCAGAATATGTTGAAAATCCTCGACCAGTACGGGATCCGGGTGAGATTTAGTAACTAATTTTCCTGTATCTACGTAAAACATACAAACCTGCTTGGTTCACTTGTTGCTTGTTGTGTGTGTGTGTGTGTGTCGCGGTAGTGTAGCGGGTAGCCGCAGTGTAGCGATTAGCGCGCCGCGCTACGAACCTGGCGACCCGGGTTTGATTCCCGCTCATGGCTAACACCGGTGACGATTATCTGAACCGGTCCTCGGCCTCCCCTACGTTGACTCAGCCTCAAATGGTGCAGTGTATAAACATCGCCACAAGGGATATTAAAGCGGCACGGGCGTGGTGCTGGCCACCCACCCCCTCGTGTGCTGTGCCGGGCTTCATAGGTGCTCACAAACAGCAAACAGTCTGTTCAGGCTATACGACGGATCTTTTTCTTTGGTTAGCGCATTATGTTGTGAACCCGGCTACCCGAGTTCCATTCGCAGCCACGGTCAACGTCGGCGGTGATTTTCCTGAATGGGTCCTGTACTGAGCGACTGTGATATTTATATTTTTGCATCTAGTGCCCCCCACTGACAGCGAGATAGGTGGTGTCTAAATCACACGTACTTGATATTGTTGTAACTTCACTACATTTTGTAAATTGGTATCTCAGTGACACACCTCAAAGTAACTGGTAATTTTCGATTTAAAGCTTTCGTGACAGCAGGGATTCATCTTCTTGGTTCTTTCGGGAAAGTCACGTAGAAGGGAAATAATGAAATAATAATAAATAATAAAATAAAATTATAAAAATTCTACATAATAAAATACAATTCTCACGACGTTTCGGCCACAACGCAAGCAGCCGTCCTCAGGTGAAGAACGGGTCTGTCGGAAAGACAGACCTGTTTCATTCAGACGCTGCCTTTCTGACAGACCTGTTCTTCACCTGAGGATGGCTGCTTGCGTTGTGGCCGAAACGTCGTGAGAATTGTATTTTATTATGGTTTATTTTTATTATTTTATTATTTCCCTTCTACGTGACTTTACCGAAAGAACCAAGAAGGTAACTGGTAATCTTCGTCTAAGTTACACGCCGCGCGCTTAACTGGCAACTTGTGACCGACCTACGTGATGCTGGTGGCGGTCGGTAATGCGAGCGCATTCTGCCCCGTCGCTACCGCCACCCCCCGCGCCAGATCGGCGCCCTGCGGCGTCTCATCGAGCAGAGCTTCGTCGGCACCGGCGACGGGGGGCGGCCGCTCACCGGGAGACGAGGCCCCAAGGGCATCGGCGGAGACCGCGGACTCCCTGGCGAAGTCGGAACTCCCGGCAGGGAGGTACGCGGTCCACCCTACCCCCTCCCCCCTCTCTCCCGGCCCACACCACCGATCAGCGCGGTTGGCTACGTACGGTGCGAAAGAAGTTCAACGGACGCACCGGACGTACGGGGGCGAAGGTGCAGGCCCCGCAACTTCGCTTGCTTGCGCCGCCGTCGCCCGCCAAAGGGCCTCCGCTTCAGCGAGTGGCTTGGGAGAGCCCCGCCGGAGGGGATGTTTGGCCTACTCTTCCACGCTGGCCAGGAATCTTGGAAGAGGTGGTAGTGCCCACACTTTACCCCATCATGTACGACCTCCCGGTCGTTAAATGGTGTCTTATTATGGTAAGAGAAATATTTTGGTTATTAGTATGTTTTTTTTTTGTATAACACACACCTTGATTGCTAATGTAAAAGCCCCTATAACCCCACTGTCTTACCACCTATCTTGTAATTAATCAATGTGAAGTCTTACCACTTTGGGGAGGAGAGAGGGAGGTAGACTCATTCATTTTTTGTGTAGGTGAGAGAGAACCCCATTACCTCTGATCAAGTCCCCTAGAATGCACCCGATGTCATTAGAGCTCAGAAGCTAAGCAGGATGGATCGTCAATAGAGGGGTGCCCACCGTTCGTAAAACAGGTGTCATAGGCAACTGCAGGGCTATGTACAATATTTGGCTGCTTTACATTTCCACGTGATGAGCTGTTTCGTTGAGCTATCATTTGTGGCCACAGTCGCTTCTACAAAAAGAAGCTAATAGCTCAGTGGGCCTTGCCTGGTAAAATTCAAATTGTTAAAAGTTTTTTGTTAGTGATTTGCTTACATTTCCTATACTTTGCACTCGTGCCGTGTTTTTGTATCGTTTGTTGTTGTAACTTTCTGACCTGCCCCTACTGGACATCTGTGAAAAAAGAGCTTGATAGTTCATCGGATTCCCCCAGTATATATATATAAAGATTCTGTTTCTGTGCAGTTTTCCCATCCTGCTCTTGCACGTCTACGCTCCCCGCATTCACCAGGCCCGAGTAATCCATCGCAAACAAAAAAAATTCGATTACAATTTTTAGTTGATGGGCCAACTTTATGGAAGTCGTCGCGGCTTTCATCATCAAACTATTTGTGAACTTCGTGGCTTCTTCCCCCACCGGTCTCAGATCTTTCTTTCAGTTCCGCACTTGTGCCTTTCTCTAGGGGGTCCAGGGCCTTCCTGGGCCACGGGGCGACAAGGGGGAGCTTGGAATGGTGGGGGAGACGGGCCCCCCAGGGATCCCGGGTCCTGTCCGGGTGGTTCGAGGCCCACGTGGGCCCAGGGGGAAGAGCGGCGACGCCGGAGAGGCGGGCAAGCTCGGCGTGTCCGGCCGGGACGGCGAGCAAGGCGAGAGGGGCAGCCCGGGAGGGAAGGTGAGGCCCTGGCTGCTTCAAGCCCCGCGACCGCCCCGGTTAATACTGCGGCGGGCGTAGTGGCCGTAACGCGTTACTCGCCGTCTGCTTCGGCACAATGGGGATTAGTTCGTTGTCCTTACCATGCACCTCCGATTAGCACGGTTGGCTACGTACGGTGCGAAAGAAGTGCAACATACATATATTGTGGATAAATGGCGTAAGAAACAACACAAATAATTTCGTGTTGTTTTTAATTCCCAGCTTGCAAAGCTTCTCATTTTTATTCCCCTCTCGTTTGTAAAGATTTGTTTCGTTAGCCCACTCATACTGTCAACATAATTTGCACTGAATGTTTGTGTATTATTTTTAGTAACAGACGCAATCGTCGTGAGCGTATGAATGCGTCATTCAGCACCGCTAATGAACCGCTTTAACTAAAGTTAAGAAGCTCAAACTGCAACAAAAATGAATCACCGTGTGTTCAACTAAACTGTTTCTTTTAAAGTGAACGCTTAATACAAGTTTAAAAGTTGTGACTTTGTAGAAAATAAAATCGCTGGAACTTGTTTTTAAAGTAATGCTAAAAGAGTGACTCACGGCTACTAAGAGTGGAATCCTTCACCAAAGCAATTTAGTCAATGTCGAATGCCATACTCCGTGCGACGTTGGTGCGCAAAATGTATTTTGGTCAAAATTAAACTCGCAATCACAGTCGTTTGCTAAACGTTCCAAGAATGGCTCCCCCCCCGAAAATTACTGTGGATTCTCAGCGATGCTAAATCATCAAAAAGAAACTTTCTAATTGTGTTTTTTTTTCATTGCGCAGGGTGATCAAGGCGTCAGAGGAGCCAAAGGCTTCGCCGTGAGTAAATCGTCAACGAGCGGTTTCGCTCCGCGCCGTCTCTGCAGTACCAAATCGGTTGCGATTTATCGCGATGGCCGGGATTTGTTGAACTCTGGTTAGTAACGCCGTCGTGTGTGGGTAGTGTCAGAGGGCAGGGGGCAATGTCCTTGTTTCTGAGGACGGCTGCAGGCGACTTGGTCGGCGTAGCAGAATACGCGTGCTGCGTACTCGGTAATGAAGGCCTCCCCAGACCACTACCACCTCTCACGCTCCTGCAATGTGATAATCTACCGAGCACCTGCATGCAAACTGATTTCGTTGCTCAGTCTGCTGAGTGGACGGACGGACGTCCTATCGGGTGCATTCAACTCCTTGGCTGCCACTTCGTTGTTACAATCGTTGCATCGTGAGAAATGGCGGTGGCTTGGGAAGGCCATCATCCAGCAGTGGAATGATCATGGCTATTGATTAATTATTCACCTCTGGCAATTCGATGCATTTTCTCAATTCGTTTGTTTGTTTTTTCAACATTGTGGCCTCTAGTGGCTGCAAGGGGTCATCTGAACTCATCACATCCAATACAATATCGTATGTTTTGACACAAGCAACGCGATGCATGCACCCGTGAGCTTAAGGAACATTTGCTATCAATGAGGGAACCCGATGCGTTGGTTCACCTTTGCTGTGCACCGAGCTGCTTCTTTCCGCTGCTGGCATCTCTGTCTCGCGGTCAAGGCCTCTCTCCGCTCTGTGCGCTCAGGGCAGGAACGGAATTCCTGGGCCCATTGGGTCACCAGGACCACCAGGACCCCGTGGGACATCCGGCCGAAAGGTGAGGGCGTCCGAAGAACTCCCTGCAACAATGGTTGTGTTTACGCTACGTATGTGTAGTGGGCTCAAACAGAGACTCAGACGTACTGTTTGGAGGCAACGCATTTATTAATACCAACGCACTAACACAAAGGGGTAGCTGCCCCTTTACCATATAATAACCTATGGTGGTGGTCCACCAGGCTAACTACACTAACTACACTGGGAGTAGCTACGATGGACGGGACCCCAGCTTGGGTCCGGGTCCCATGTTGGTCTTGTCTTCGGACGTAGGGCATAGAACGTAGGTTATTGAGGATCACAACAGCAGCCGGTCCCACTGGGGACCCGGCTTTTTATTCTGTGTGGCGGGGCTTGCTCCGCCCCTAGCCACAACCACCTTCTCGAATTCTTGAGGAGGATCTCCAAACTACACACGTGGTGCCCCCAGCCCCCCTTTGGGGATCCCCGGCTAGACACCTCCGGTCACGTGACCTCCGGGGTCAACCAGAGTGCCATGGCCCCTTGAAACCCCGTTCCAGGGCCGGCACCCCCCGTACCTTATCCTGTAGGGCTGGTACTGCACAAAGCGCGTGGTGCCACTGGTTACCGTCAGTCCGTGCTCCACGCCGTTCAAGTTGTCTTGCGCAGCGCCGGCGTCTCGAGAGAGTGTCTCAAGAGCGGCGCTGGCGGCGTGTCGTCCCTCCAGGGCACGGTCGACCCCGGAGGCGCCAAGGGGGGAGAGGTTGGACCGCCGGGACGACCTGGCGTGCGGGTGAGACACCCCTCGGCCCGCCGGACGCTTGCGGTTGCCGCCCGAGGAGCCGCTCGGCCGGCTCTTTAATCGCCGTGTCGTCAGAGCCAGACGCGATTCGCTCCATGAACTCGATTGTCTTTTTCTCTCAGTCTGTATCGAAGCTTGCCTTTTTTTCTGCCCACCGCTTCAGAGGGGCTCTCCAGAGCTCACTCTGGTGGAGGCCCTTCTAGTCATCAGTGGCACGAGCGAGACATTCACCTTGACCTCCTCTGTCTCGTTTTGCACAGTTGCATTTGCTTCACGAGCCTGGATGTAGCGTTATGTCATTTTGAATAACATTATAACAGCCAGTTCTCTTGCACGAGATTTTGTGGATGTGTGGCGAGCTTGAGTGTGAAAATGTGTTTTCATCCGTGAATGGTTGCATTGTTAGTTTAATATGTAGGCTTTCACTACCAATATTATCCATAATGTTATCCATAATAGAAACAGGAAGATATATTCACAATTCTGGCTGTCGCCTGATGAGGCTGGTTGTAATTACCGGCGAAACGCCGTATTCTTAATTGTAAATGTCGTGGGTTTACTCCAACACACGGGTGTGCTGAACTAGTAACTAATTGGCATGTTTTGTTTACATGAAAAACAGTACGACTTGTCGGGTGTTGATGGGTATAACGACACATTTATATTTACGCGATTTAACCCCAAAAAAACCTTCATTATGTTGCATCGTTGCCTGCCTACCAACAGCTTAGGATGGCTGGATTCAAATCTGGAGTTCAGTAGCACATGATTAAGTTTTCCGAGTGGATGGTGTTAGCCTGGTCACCAATGATGGAACACAAAAATAATTAAAAATCCACGTTCAATTACTTCACTTGACTTGCCAAATCTCTGGTTCTTAGTAATTCGGACTTTCAGTTTGGCCGCCATGCGACAAACACGTACACAGCAGGGCACGTGAGAGAGTGAGTGTGGATAGAGATCACTTTGAAGCAATCTCAGAAGTGTATCGGGTAATATCACTTTCTTGCAGGCCATTCTTTAACACGGAGCGATGAGTGATGCTTATAGGACAAATTGTATTGAAATTGTAAAAAAAATCCGTGACATCACGTTGCAAGGGGGCTGTTTCTTGAGACACCGTGATACACTGCTGATCGTTAGGGTTCTTGTGGCATGGCGCCAATCGCGCAAGCAGAAATACAATTGGAGATTAACAAAATCATTGCCTTTGGTGCGGTGGAAACGTCACTTTGCCTTGCTGCCGGTCAGCACGTCCGTTTCTCCGGATGCCGGCACCTCAAATCCCGCGAGGCTCGGCCGAGATAACGACCGCATTTCAGGGCCCCGTGCCTAACGGGCATCGTTACAGACGTGGGGCTCGTTTAATTTAAATTCCTGTTTCGTCCGTGCACAGTGCGTGCGTCCGCGCGCTAAGAAATAACTCCGAGCCAGTCGGTCGCTGCCCAGCGTAACAACAACAAGAAGGAAAGTTTCCCATCTGCTCTGCAGAGTCAAAACTTAACGCGACCCTGCACGCGACCCGGTGCAAATGAGGGGGCGACTTCGCAAAGTGAGTGCCCAGCGAAGTGTGAACGGTAACCACGCGCTCGACTGACGCCCACCCCCCACCTCCCCCCCCCCTTTTGTGTCTCTTTGCCCAGGGAGATCGTGGTCGCACTGGGGACTACGGGCCGAGAGGAGACAAGGTACGGTCGAATTCGCATTTGAAACCCTGGCTGCTGGCTATAATAAGGGAATGCCACCATTACGGGTTTACAGATTCCGCGCTCCGTGCCCCGAAAGACTCCATTGACAAACATGTACCCGTTAACTTGATTAGATTCCGGGCGGGTTTTTAATGTGGGCGCTCCGAGTTCGATTCCCGCTCACGGCAAACGCCAGCGATGATTATCTGAAACGGTTCTGGGCCTCCCTTAGGTCGGTCGACCCAGCCTAAAAATGAGTGCCTGGGGAAGTGTATCAACATCAGCACTGGGCAGACAAAGGCGGTCAGGCGTGGCGATGGCCACCCCTGTCGTGCGGCGGTCGTAGCGGCTCGCGAACGGCACATCGCCCCAACAGCCTGTTCACAGGCCACGCGGCGGCATCGTTGCGTTTGTCTCCCGCTCTGTGTTGGCCACAGGGAGACGCAGGCGCGAAGGGAGACAGAGGGGAGAGAGGCGACCCGGGAACACGAGGACGCAACGGCCAGGCAGTGAGTGTGGGTGCCCCGGTGCTCCACGCGTGCTGGTGGTTGGTGGTGCGGTGATGGTGCGGTGGTGAGCACGTCGTGCCACGAACCCGGTCAACTGAGTTCGATTCCCGGCCATGGCTAATATTGGTGGCTGCGTGATATCTGAACCAATCCTGGTAACTCCCCTAGGTGGACTCAGCCTTAAATGAGTGTGCGTTGTGTGAATGTCAGCGCTTGGGGAGATGAAGGAGACCAGGTGTTATTTTCAGAATCAGAATATTTATTCATACTGGGGGAATCCGATGAACTATAAAGCTCTTTTCACAGATGTCTATCCCTTGCCCACCATTCTCACATTAATCGGTGCTCCCTTAACATAACTTATAGAGTGGTGGCGCAGCGGTTAGCACACTGACCAAATCACCTGAAATGCGCTCGACCTCCTGCCTTCGATTGGCAATGCTGACAAAATCCCTCGTTGTACTGTAGTTCTATGCTGCCACATCTGTGCTTCTCACCTTAATCGTCACCTCTGAACGATCGCATTTTTGTGCTTTCAGGGGAGCCCAGGAGCCCCGGGAACCCCAGGGAAGGATGGAGCCCCGGTGAGCCACCGCGGGACACTCACCTCAGATCAAATTCATTCGTGTGCCGCTCGTGCCATCCTTACGCCCGTTCTCATAGCCACGGCTCGGCTCACGCTTGGCTCCGGCTCCGGCTCAAGTGAGCTGGACGAACGGCCGCTTGTTCCCGCCTGCGCTTGACGACGGTCCCGCGGGCCGTGGGTCAGGTCGCAGCCTGCCCGTGGTGTGGACTGGCGCACCGCCGCCGCCGCCCTCGCTTCGAAAGAGCCGCAGCCGACGTTTGGCGCTGTTCAGTGTATTTGCTGTGATCCCACATTTTCTCCGTGTGTGTGTATATGATGATAGCCGTAGTGTAGTGGTTCCGCGTACTGCGTTACGGACCCGGCGACCCGAGTTCTGCTCCCGCTCAAGACCAATAATGGTGGCGGATATTTTAGCTGGTCCCGGGCCTCCCGGATGTTGACTCGTGCGGTGATGGTTGACTACCCATCCCCTCGTGTGCCCTGCCGGCCTTCATAGTTACTTGCTATAACAACACTTGCCCCAACAGTCCGTTACAGGCCACACGGGGAGTGCACGTGACCTCGTGTGCGAGTGTGTATGTGTACATTTGATGTTTGTGTTCCGTGTTCATTCCCTCAGGAGCTTTCATTAATTCGACCGTTCATCGTTCATTATGAATTCACCTCGCACGCTGCTTGCTGATTCCCTTGCTTGCATCCGCCTGGGCACGGGGCAGCCTCGCCACCGCACTGGCACAGGAGTTGAACCTCGCCCACGTAGATCACTACAGCGACGAGCGTCTCGGAGCGCAGGGACACACGGGAGCGAACCGAGCGAGAGAAGGAGTGAAACGGAGAGGTTTCAGGGCGTCCGATCGCAACGTGGATGACATCGAAAGTTTGGAGGAGGAACTTGAAAGCAGAGAGAGAGAGAGGGGCGGGCTGGGGGGTGGATCGGTGAGAGTTAAATTATGAACTAAACTATTTTTTATTTTACCAGCTAAGGCCCACTGAGCTGCATAGCTCTTTTTTCAGAAGCGTCCTGGCCACAAATGATAGCTCAACGAAGTGGCTTATCGCGTGTAAATCTATAGCAGCAATACCCTCGCAACGCACGTTGATTCTACACGTGGAGGGACAAACTGGAAGGACCCGGAGAAAAATCCACGCGACCACGGGGAGAGAGAACACGTCAACTCCAACTATACAGCAGGCGTCAGGGTTGGGATCAAACCACGACCTCGTGCATTCCAGGCGAGGCGGTAAACATCTCGCTTTCTCGCCTTCTCTGCTCTTCGGCGCTGCGAGTGAGCGATGAGCATTGCGCCTCGGCTCATCGTTCGCAGCTTCGCACCAACAAACACCTGCTGATGCTGCTGCTACTGCTGCGAGCGGCTGGGAGATTAATTATTTATAAAATTGTAAAATCATCGTCCGAGTTGGTGCCCGCCTCCCCCCCTTGCCTCCCCCCCCCCCTCCGTCCCCTTGCGTCACGGCGGCCCCTGTGGGTGTCGCGTCAGGCGCGGGGCGACGGGGATAATTGCAGCCTCGTCGACGCGCCGCTCCGTAATTGTTATTTTGTAAAATCGCTACCGTCTGTTGTCTTCGCGACGACACGCGACAATTGGGAAATTGGATCAAATTTTCACAAACGCTGATGTGATCTAATTGAGCCATTTCATTTGATGCAGTTGAAATGTTTGGTGCAAATGCGCGTGCGGGTGTGCGTGCGGCGCGAATGGGGAGCGGCGGTGCAGCGGTTAGCGCGTTGCGCTACGAAACCGGCGACCCGAGTTCGATTCCCGCACGCGGGCAGCACCGGTGACGGTTATCTGAACCAATCCTGGGCCTCTCCTAGGTCGACTCAGACTTAAATGAGTACCTGATGCGGTGTGTAGTAAACATCGCCACTGGTGAGACGAAGGCGGTCGGGCGTGGTGCTGGCCACCCACCCCCTCGTGTGCCGTGCCGGCCTTCATAGGTGCTACTCGCTAACAGCACTTGCCCCAACAGTCTGTTAAGGCTATACGGGGGAGATCTTTGTCTTTGTGCATCCGTATATGTGCGTCTGCGCGTGTGTGCTTTTTGTTGTTCTGATTTCTCATTTTACTCCACAAACCCCAGGGTGCACGCGGGGAAAGGGGCCTGCAAGGAATTGCCGTGAGTACCGCTCCCTCCTCCCAGCCGATCTGTGGCAAAGAGAAGTATGCAGCGTTTGAATCGTGAGAGTGGACACTCGTGAGGCGAGTGGGCCAGCTGCATCCCAAACTTTTTGACACACACAGGGGTCGAGCCGTATGCTGTCTGCTTCTGTTAATAACAAACAACTTCACAAGGATGCCCCCTTCTCCGTTCAACACGGGGACCCCCTGCGGCTACTTGCCTACCTCGAGCCTAAACAATCCCAAAAAAGCCATTAAACATTCCTTCCCAGCTGCCGCTGAAATTGTAGTATACAACCTCGCAGCTTCGCACCAGGTGGATCGGCTTGAAGCGAGGAGCGCAACTGGGTCGCGGTGCCACGGTGCGTGGAAGGGAGCAGCCAACCACAGGAGTGGCATTTGATTCCCGGTTTCCCCGACCCTCCCCCCCCCACTTCGCCACCGCCCGAGCAAAGTGTCAGAAGGCATCAAGCAGAAGCAGGTGAACGGTATGCGCCCTTGGGGGGTCTCCTGCCAGCCTGCCGGGCCATCCAGCAAGGCTCTGTCTGCCAATATCCTCGGAGAATAGCTCTAGTCGTCCCCTTCCTCTTAACCACCAAACACATCCCCCCCACCTCCCTCCCTGCTGGGAATCATGATTATTTATGGATCGCACGCTCAACGAAAGCGACGGACCTCTAAAAAAAACTACCGCTTGGCTCACCGGGCCACGGGTGATCTCCGTGGAATGGGCTGGGCGTCCGACGTGAGAACGCCGCCCGCCTCCCCACACAGAGAGGGATTGTTGTGGGCACAAACATCCAAAGGAGGCTGCCTCCTCACCTCCCTGCGTCGCTCGTCGGATTTCCGTCTTCAAATCAGCCGCTGCGGCCTGCAGCCCCAGAGGTCTTTAGAGCCGCAGTCGCGAGCAATGCGAGGCTTCGTGGGCGTCAGGAAATAGGATGAGGTGGAACGGAAGCAATTGGTCTCCCGTGGACGCTAAGGGCTTGCAGGACAAAGCTTATTAGGGCCAACTTTAACGGAAATGGGAAGAGTGTTTTGCGATTTTTTTTTTTGCTCATAGTGCATTGCTGTTGCTGAGTCGTCTCGGGTGGGTTTTGCGTTTTTCTTTCTGGCGTTGTGCTCTTTCCGTAATTGTGTAAACAAATTATCCAGAAGTTTGCGGTGACAGTAGTGGCTTTGTATTCTTCGAAATTAGTTTTTTTATTAAAGTATTTCTGAGAGTAGTTAAATACATTCGCATAAATTAATGAGGCATAATTCCAACTTTAGGTTGTTGTGGCTTTTCAGAAGCCGGTTGCTACAACTTGTCGACAGAGCAGGTAATATAACCTGATTAAACACGTTCTTGTCGCACGCAAATTGTTACAACGCTTCCCAATAGCAAAGCTCAGTTTTTCCCCCAAGGCATTTCAGACCTGCTGTCAGCCAGCTCAAGCCGATTAAAAGTTACCAAAGATGTGTGGGGACGTAGCGTACGTGCAATTTTTACTTGGAGACGGAAATATGGGCACGTGGATTCGAGAACAAACACGGATGTGGAGACATCGTATTCAGTTGTTGAGGAAACTAAAAGGATTTGGCCAGGACATGGTCAATAATTATAGGAGGGATTCTGGACGAAGGATAGGACTTGCAAATGAGTGGCAGCCCAAGGAAGGGAACGCGCCGGAGAGGATGTCCGAGGCGGAGATGCAGCGAGATGTTGGGTCGACAACTTGTGGGGTGGTGTGGGGTGTTGTGGGCCCTCATCCAGCAGTGGCTACATCAGAGACACCAATGCCTCGGTGACGCACTGCATTGTGGGCGGGCCATGTCTAGAGAATTGTGGGGGTCCTGCTACGTAACTTTAATTGGGGGGGAGGGGGAGGCCATCCCCAAATAAATAGCATTGAACTTTCTTTGTTATTTTTACCCTTTCCTCTGAGCTTAGGGCCCAGTAAAGTTTTATCCCCCTCCCTCCTCATCCTCTCGTCTGGCCTGGCTCTGTGCGCGCACGCACGCACCCACCCACCCACGAGTTGGATTCTCAGTGACGCCGGTGCTCGCGCTTGAGTGGGCGGATGGGCCGGAATGGGTGTCCTTTAACGCGCGTGATTTGCGGTCGGTGTTTGTTCGCAGGGAGCCCAGGGAGATCCCGGAGCCTCGGGCATCCCGGTACGAGCAAAACACGCGTCAATTGTACCTGCCGCTGATTAATACATTTACACCGTAATGTGGAAGCATTGATTTTCCGTTCCACTACGCCTACCGCTGGAGATGTATGCGCTCTACAGGGCTATTACTGGCACCATGCAAAGGCAGGAATAACGTGGCTTTTAATTTATATACGCGCGAAAAAACCTCACCAAGTCTCGCAAGGCTTTTTTTTTCACGAGGTGTCCCGCTACCATGACGATTTTTTTCGCCAATTCCTTAAACTTATCTTAAAACTAAACAACTTTTTAGGGCCCACTCAGCTGCATAGCTTTTTTTCAGAAGCGAGCGACCTTTGGTCACGAATGATAGCTCAACGAAGTGGCTTATCACGTAGACATTTTTAGCGGCTAAATACTCTAAACGCACATCGATTCTAAATGGGGAGGGGAAAACTGGCGGACCTGGAAAAATATCCACGCGACCACGGGGAGAGACAGAACATGCAAACTCCAAATAAATTAGCGGCCTGGCTTCATGTGGGAAAGAAAAGGCTTGTGCTCAGGTGGGGGGGGGGGGGGGATTGGCCTAGCAGTCTAAAGAGTAGGGCCTCTTCGTTGGATAATTAGATAGCAATTCTTATTTTCATTGCCGATAACTAAAACGCCCGGAGTGTGCCGATTTTGTCGCATCTCCAATCGCTAAGCAGCCTGACAAGTGCTGGCTTGGGCGACCACCGTGCTTGATAGGGCTTGTGGAGGCTGCTGCATAGCTAGGGGGCAAGGCAGTAGAGAAATCAATTGTCGTGCTGTACTTTGCTCCGTGCCTTCACCAGCATGGTGAAGTATGCTCAAATAACCGACCAAGACCCACACGGCTAGGGGTGGCAGCAGACCGGCAAAAGGGCTGTCTGTGTACAATTTTCATATTTGAATAACATTTCTTATGTTTTGTTTTCAGGGCCCCCAAGGAACTAAAGGACCTCAGGGACCTCCTGGAGCAAAGGTGATGAACTGGAACCCTGCATGCTTTGCCCTCTGAAGAGGGACCACGGCACAAACGGTGGAGATTTTGGGTCCAAACTCAGGCCTAGGGTTTCATCCCAGAGCCGTGGCTACTACACGTTTTGCCACGGTTACGGCACCAAAGCCTTCGAGCCAACGGCCGCCACTGTTTGCTTCATTCCAAATAATTCGGCTTCACATTCAGGCAGCAGCGCCTCTGCTACGGCAGTGTTACAGCCACGCACGAATAAAGTGCGTTCTCAATCATCGCGGATTAATGGCCTCGGCTCTGATGGGTAGACATCGCCATGCGACAGATGCTCTTTGCAGGGCATTTAAAGTGCTTGCCCTCATTGTGGCAAAGATGCCTTTAGGTATGGGCTTTGCAACTCTAGCTTTCAGAGCTATTTTCCTGAAAGAAATTTGAATGGAAATAGCTTCATCGCATAACATTGATTGCCAGTGGCCTCTCTTCAGACCAGGAAGAAGGGCTATTGCCCAGAACATTACATGAGCCTATGAATGTTCTTGTTCTAAGGCGGTGGTTCTTAACCTGGGGTGCACACACCCCCTGGGGGTGCGAGAGGCCCTATCTGAGAACCAAAGGGGTTCAGGCTGCAGTGAAGGTTAAGAGCCACTGTTCTAAGGTAACGTGAATGATAACAGTAACGTTTGCCCCCCAACCCGGTGGATTAGCCACTGGCACCGCTACAATCTTGGGTTCAACCCTGGGTAGTGGCCAGTGACTGCACACAAATACCATACGGTTTTATTTGAGTTTTCAGTTTCATTTGGCAGAAATTCTGGTTTTGAGAAATCGACCTTTTTCCGACTGCCATGCGACAGACATCTCTACTGCATGCAGGAAGTCGTGGGTTCGATCCAGACCCTGACGCCTGCTGTATATTTGGAGTTTGCACGTTCTCCCTGTGGTCGTGTGGATTTTTCTGTGGGTCCTTCGGGTTTTCCCTCCGCATTTAGAAGCAACTTCACCCGATGTCGTCAGATCTCAGAAGCTAAGCAGGCTTGATCGTCGTTGAATGGGTGCCCACCGTTAATGAAACAGGTGTTACAGGCAACTGCAGGGCCATGTAGATTATTTGGCTGATTTACATTTCTACGTGATGAGCCGTTTCGTTGAGCTATCATTTGTGGCCACAGTCGCTTCTGAAAGAAGCTAATAGCTCAGTGGGTTTTACCTGGTAAAATAAAAAGTTTAGTTTTACGTGGGAAGGTGCCATGGCCTCTTTCGTATACGAGCCAATTCTAGGCAACTCAGATGGAGATGTGTAATAATATCTCTTTCCGCAGGCCGTTCTCAAACACACGGTGGGGTGAGTGGGGTGGTGGTGGGGGGGGGAGGCGGATGCACTGCTCTGCAAGAGTTTCCGACTGGACACTTTGTCTCAGGGCGGAATAAAAATTGATAACGAAAAACAAAATCCCCTAACTAGTTTCGCAGACAGACGTGACTGTAAGCTCGTTAACAAAACCCGCCGTTGCTTCCCGTGACGTGTGCAGGGAGATGAAGGCTTGGCTGGACCGGCGATCCCGGTAGGTGCCAACTTGGCAGACGTGAGCGGCGTGCTGCCGTTGCCACCCTCTGCCCTCTGCCTGCATCTGAGCCCACATTAGCGTCTTCCGCTCGTACATGAGTAAATGAGATCCACGCACGTGTGCTCCAGTGGTGGAGCGAGCGGTTCGCAATCTGAAGGTTTGCGAGGATTGATACAATAGGTCAACAGTATGTTGTCCTGTGGGGGAGACTTGCCCTCGGCATAGCAATGTGGAACTTCCACCACTGCCTCCCAATGGCTACAAACAAGAGATCAGCAGTGTCCCGAAGCGCATCTCAACAAGAATTCACTTTGACTTGGAAATAACTTTGGCTTGCCGATGTTATTTATTTATTGAGTAAATTATCCTTTCAAGAGACTACTTGGCACAAGGGGAAATGTCCTGTTTCTGTCGAAGCCCCCAGTCTACCTTTGCTTAGTTGGGGGTGGGAGGGGGGGAGGGTGCGGGTTGCTCTCTCCTCTGGTCTGGAACTCCCTTCCCTCTATTCAGGTCCAGGCTGAAAATCTTCCTCTTCTCCCCTGCCTGATAGCCACTGGGCCAAACCACCAATTGTATTCCTGTTTTTATTCTATCGAGTCTAGCAATTTGACCTTAGGGCCAGTGGGAGTCTGAACTCGTCCTGGGCAAATTTATCTTCATAAACGTGTCCCCAGCGCGTTGCGTCAGCGCGAAAACACGGAGGATGAAGGCACCCAGGTCTGGGCGGTTGCCCGCCACGCTACCGCATCATGAGTCATGCGGCCCTGGTGCCACGGTGGGAGATGTTAACTCCCTCGCCTGATATACAGGAGTTCGTGGGCTCGATCCCGTCCCTGACGATTACTGTATGTCTGGAGCTGGCGTGTTATCCCTGTGGTCGAGGGGGTTTTCTCCGGGTCCTCTGGTTTGTCCTTCCATATTTAGAAATATGCGTTTAGAGTATTTAGCTGCTATAAATGTCCACATGATAAGCCACTTCGTTGAGCTATTATTTGTAGCCAGGTCGCTTCTGAAAAAGAGCTGTATCGTTCAGTGGGCCTTACCTGGTAAAATTAAAAAAAGAGTTTAGTTTAACAGTTGCTTGCTAACAGCACGTGATAACACAATGTGGGCAAGGCTACGTGGGGGGCAGTCTTTTGTGTGGCTTGTGGTGTTGCCGTGGGATAATGGACTGCACTACAAACCGAGTAACATGGTTTTGACCCCGAGGCCAATTTGGCCTTGGTGCAGTGTAAACATCGGCAAGGGAGGGGGGGAGATAAGGGCAACTGGGTGTGATACATTCCACGCCGCGGTGGCGAGATGTTAACTACCTCGCCTGGTGTACAGGAGGTCGTGGGTTCGATCCCAACCCTGACTCCTGCTACTGTATATTTGTAGTTTGCAAGTTCTCCCCGTGGTTGTGTGTATTTTTCTCTGGGTCCTCTGTTTTTTTCCTCCGGCATTTATAAACATGCGTTTAGAGTATTTGGCAGATCATTTGTGGCCAGGTAGCCTCTGAAAAAGAGCTATATAGCTCAGTGGGCCTTACCTGGTAAAAGAAAACAATGTTTCAATTGTTCACATCACCTCCTTCGCGCACTGCACCGCTCGCTAACCCTGGCGGGTGCTCTCTGTGCAAGCGGCGTGCATGGATCCGTTAACGCTTTCTTTTCTCTCCCCTTGGCGGCAGGGCCCTCCTGGGGCCCAGGGACCCAAAGGCCTCCCCGGCGCGGCAGGGATGCTGGGGCAGCCCGTAGGTCCCACACGAGCCACCGCGGCGTCGCCGCCACCGCCGCCACGCGTTCCGTTACTGATCATCGGCGAAAACGCTTCCTTCGTTACATGTTAGCGATGGCGTGGCCTCGCCGCGACACGTATCGGTTTTGTTGTCTTAATTTTGTTTCTCTCTTGCCGCAGGGACCCAGCGGTGAAAGCGGTGCGCCTGGAGCAAAGGTCACTACGAATTTTGCTTTTTGTAAATCTGAGCGGGCTTGTTAGGTCTCTCCTTCCCCTATTCTTGTCATTTTATTCTTTGGCCTCTGATATTATTTTTGTTTTTTGTTGTTGCCTTGTCTGATTATGATGCTTCCTGCCTTCTTTCGCGACTAACAGCCTTCCTTTTGCAACGTCTTGCCTCTAGGCTTTGAATTATGTTGGGACCAAAATATCCACGAGCTATTATAAGAAATATATGTGCCTAGATTTCTTATGATACGTACGTATTTAAACAAAAAAAAAAAGGCCTCTTGGTCACGTGCGATCTGACTTCACCTTGTGCAGCAAAGCACAGCGCTTCGTTGTCCAGCAAAACCTGACAACGCATCGTTGAGCCAACACTTCTGAGGAGCCAACTTTGTCTCACCGGCCAGGCCGCCGTGGCTTTGATGGCGATTGGCCTTTGCGCTCAAATGGGCCTTACCTCGACTCGACCCCCAGGCCTGTTGAACACCCCAACGGAAGGGCGGAGGCTCGCGATGCAAAGATTACCCGTCCGTGCATTGAGCAAAGGTCGGAGGTGACTGAGTTGCTCAAATGACACATATTGGCCATGTTAGAACAATGACCCAGCTCTACTAGGTCAGCGTACGCGCGTGTGTGTGTGTGGATTGCTAGCGGTTAGCGCGCCGCGCAATACTAACCCGGCGACCAACACCGGTGTCGATTATCTGAACCGGTCCAGGGCCTCCCCTAGGTCGATTCAGCCTCAAAATTAGTACTGGATGCGGTGTGTAGTAAACATTGCTGCTGATGATCATGATGCGGTGTGTAGTAAACATTGCTGCTGATGATCATGATGATCATCGTGACGAACCGCTAAGGGGAAAAATATTGTGCTTGGGTGTGACACATCGCGAGGGCGGATGATGGCAGCCAGAATAAGTAACAGGCGCCTGAGATAATGTCCCCGGTGGAGATCGAGTGATGAAATCGGATCATGTGGGAGTACGATAAGTGTCGTAAATTGATGGTCTCACCCTAGTCACCAATGACCGCGTCAAAGGAAATCCCGTTCAGTCGGTTACGCACTTAATTTGGCAGATATACAGCAAATATCAGTTTGGGTGTCATGCAACAACAACAACAACACTACTCTCCAGCGGCCGAGGGAGTTGTAAAAGTGCTGCCGCTGATTGTGTGGATCAGAGGTCACTGCGAGAAGGGATCTCAGAAGTGATTCTGCGATACTCTTTGGTTTTGTCAGTAAAGTCACGTAGGTAAAAAATTTAAATAAATTAAATCACGACGCTTAAGTGTGTCACACTTAGCGGTGTGCTTTCGCTAAATAAATTAAGCGATGTGCTTTCGCTAAGTTGTCCCCACCTGAAGAAGGATGCTTTTGTTGCGCCCGAAACGTCGTGATTTAATTTATTTTAAAAAATGTTACCTACGTGACTTTACCGAAAAAACCAAAGAGTATGAATCCTTGCAGTCACGAAAACTTCAAATCTGATTCTGCGATGTCCGCTTCCGTGGGCCATTCTCCGCCACAAAGGGAGCATTGCACTAACCCATCAAATCAGTCGTTGTACGAGATGACTCGGCAGTGCAAGCGAGATTTAAAAAAGTAAATAAATAAATAAATGCGCGACTAAACAAATATAAGCCGAAGATAGATGACGTTTAAAAGAATCCTCGGCCATCTGATCATCGCGCATGTCTTGTTCCTTCTGGCCTCGCGCCAGCACCGAAGCCGCACACCAGCACGTTGGCGTTGTCGGGAACATCATGAGGCGAGCGCTGGGACGCTAATCCCATCGAAACTCATTCCGCGGTCCGGCCCCGCCGAGTATTTTTCAGGCGGACGGGAGCTTCCTAGGGAACACTTAGGGCGAGCGCTCTTGGCTAAACGAGCGGGAGCAGAGGCCAGACCCAATTACGAGCGGGGCAGATTGAAGGCTGCTTGGGTGTGCGTGTGTGTGTACGTGTGTAAGTGTGCGTGTGTAAGTGTGTGCGTTGTGTGGGGAGCGGTAGTGTAGCGGTTAGCGCTACGCTGTGCTATGAACCTGGCGACCCGGGCTCGATTCCCGCTCACGGCCAACACCGGTGACGATAATCTGAATCGGTCCTGGGCCTCCCCTAGGTCGACTCAGCCTTAAATGAGTACTTGGTGCGGTGTGCAAACATCGCCACTAGAGAGACAAAGGCGGCCGGGCGTGGTGTTGGCCACCCACCCCCTCGTGTGGCGTGCCGGCCTTTATAGGTGCTCACGAAAAGCACTTGCCCCAACAGTCTGTTAAGGCTACATGGGGGATCTTTGTCTTTCTTGAGTGCCATGTGTTTTCCGTGTGTGTTTTTGTGTGTCAGGGGAAACCGGGACAGCCAGGAGTTCCGGGAAGGGATGGCAGCCCCGGACTGAGAGGGTTGGATGGGATACCAGGCCGAATGGTGATGCATGGCGCACACACACACATACACTCTGACACAAACGAAGATGCTCACGCACACATATTCACATATACACTCGCGCACAAGCTCAGATACACTCTCCATGAAGCCTGAACAGACTTTAGGGGTAAGCGCTGTGAACGAGGGAGGTGGTGGCCAGCGGCGATGTTTATACACCGCACCAGGTACACATTTGTGGCTGAGTCGACCTAGGGGAGGCCCAGGACCGGTTCAAATAATCGCCACCGCTGTTGACCGTGAGCAGGAATCGAACTCGAGTCGCCGAGTTCATAGCGCAGTGCGCTCTCCGCGACACTCCCGCTCCCCGCACACTCGTACACGCTCGTATAGAAGCATGCGTATGTGTACATATGGAAAAAAGACATAGATTCTCCAAATAGACTGTCACAAACTATCGGGGGATAGTGCTACTCGTGAGCTCCCATTCTGGCCGGCACATTGTTACAGCCTGACCATATTCATAAAGTAATGATATACTGTGTGCAGCGCTTAATTTCAGCTGGACCTGTCCGGATCAGAGACCCGCAATATATATTTCCGCAATCCGGCACACAACGTCGATTATGCCTCTCTCGCTCTGCATGGCTGTGGCTACGAGTCACTTGCCTGCATCAGTCTACCGGCGAGCCGGAGAGAGCGCAGTGAGAAAGTGCAGCCCTGCGTGTGTGGAATTGCTTCGTGCAGAAATGTCAGCGCCAGCTCCCGACGGTTAACCGGAGCTCAAGTGGGAAATCTACATCGAGTTTCAGCCATGTGTTCCATTCTGTACAACGTAGAGCATTAAGAACACTACGCGGCAATCGCGTTTACTTAATTCGTTGAATGCGTGGACCATTTCCCGTGATTGCAGCTTCAGCTGGCATTCAAATTCGTGGCGCAGATGATGACGGAGAGGCCAAAGCTCAATCTTAGAGGCCCAGATCCCAGTTCAATGAGTTCAGACTTTATTCCCACGCGGAGCAGAGATTGTCCTGCTAATGATCGTAATGCCCTGTAACAGAACGTTCAATACGCAGTCTTTTTACGACCCGACGCCCCCCCCCACCTCCCGGTTCTTTGCCATTTGCGTGACCACACGAGGACCTTTTAAAGATTCTACTTTTGTTTTCACTTGTCACAGAAAGACAGGAGGAATTGTTCTTACGCTGGGGGGCAGATGTTAATGCCGCGTAATTAGCAGTTCTCTCGTATCATCGTGGGGGGGAGGGGGGGGCGGGCGATGGACTCCGAGGTTTTTGTTGGTGTCACCGGACACACCGCCAACCAGCGACATCGGAAGCAGATGTAGATTTATTTGAAAGTAAATTGTCTGTGAATTGTGACATCAACGAAATTGTTTCCCGTCTTTTTTTTTTTACAATTGTGCCACGGGCTTCTTGTGTCAGGATTCGGAAGATGCTTCCATTTGAATATTTTTGGCAGGGCAGCAGCAGCCCTGTGCGGTAGAGAACAGCCCGTGGAAGATGATATCACAGGAGTACTGCTGAGATTCATTTGAGTGTCTTTTTTTCATATCCACACACTAGGGACAATACACTCGCCCACGTGCCCTGCTGTACAAGTGTTTGCCAAACGGCAGCCGAACCACCATTTATATCATTGTATTCTCAGCGTTAGATAATAATTAGTTTGCCAAATTTGGCGAACAAATCAATTTGAGCAACTTCACTTTACATGGTGACCTTTTTGTGTGTATGCAGTCAGTAGTAGTAACCGGGCTAAGACCATCACCTCTGTGGCCTTATTAGTGACAGAGCTGAGACAATCAACTCAATGCACTTGAGAACCCGGTATTATCAGGGGCACAGCCGAACCGCGGATTTGAACCCAACTTCCCAGCGCTGCCAACTCATGGTTCTGACCCCCTAAGCCAGGCGGCCACATTCACGGGAAATACTTGTCGACTTTTATTTGTTTTTGTTGTTTTCACTGTACCGGTCATCTCTCTTTCAGGGCATGCCAGGGCCTACTGGACTACGAGGACCCAAGGGAGACATGGGCCCCATCGGATCACCCGGCGTGGTACGCACATTCCCCGCGCCGTTCCGTTATCTCCCACGCAGAGGGCACAGCCTCACCGTGGAAGCTGTTGGGGGCCCATCTAGCGAATGGTTTGCCACGGTGGCGAAATTCATTCGCTGGGTGGCTTCTGCGGTGGTGAGATGATAACTCTCTCGCTTGGTGTGCAGGAGGTCGTGGATATGATCCAGACCCTGACGCCTGCTGTATATTTGGAATTTGCATGTTCTCCCCGTGGTCGTCTGGATTTTTCTCCGGGTCCTACGGTTTTTCCCTCCGCATTTTAGAGTCGACATCACGCGTTTTAGAGTATTTGGCTGCTGCAAATTTCCACACGATGAGCAACTTATTTTAGCTCTTGTTTGTGGTCAGGTCGCTTCTGAAAAAGAACCAATTAACTCAGTGGGCCCTTACCTGGTAAAATAAAAATAGTTTAGTTTAGATTAGGTTTCCCGGTGGCTATTGGTCAGAATGCAGATAGGATTCGCTTAGTTTGCCTCCCGATTCATCATTAATCAAATAAGCTCTACAGCACTGTGATTATATTAAGTTGCACAATTATTGGCGATGCTGAGCCGCCTGTTAGTGTCCTTCTGTGTAAAGTATTTAAATGTTCCGTCGTCAGCCTAATCGGCACGCGTGTAACCATCTTCAAAGGAAGAAAATTCGGACTCCAATATGCGACGGATTTCGTCCACATTTTAGCGGGTGTCTCTTGGCCTCATAATTATAGTTTTGAAGATGTCCAGATGCCTACCGAGTAACTAGCGACGCCCACAGTGGCTGGAGACTGTGTTGGAAAAACAGCAAAAACTGTTGTGATATTCCCATGAATAAATATTACACTTTTTGTCTATATATTTTATATATCAGTCCCATAAAAAGTTATTGCGAAAAGAAAATTGGAGGCATAAACTTTTTTGGAGCATCCATCAAACATTTAAGGGATGCCAGCAACGTGGCCAACCCTCGCCCAACTGCCTTAATCCCTCTTGAGTGCAAGGGAAGCCGTGACGCTGGCTTTGTGAGTTTCAGTCTTTCGCTGCACGGCAACATAGGCCCACACACCTCATTATCCACAGTGGCCACTCACACCGCAGGGACGTTACATTCCAACGCTGCCAACGCCTTCAAGTGGAGCGTTGGCAAGCGTGCCTCAAGCGAGTTGCCAGGTGGACCTCAAGCCGTCAGTATTACTGCACATCGCAAACTGACGCAGGATGCTGAGTACAAACTTGGAGCTGCTCCTGAAGCTGCACAACATTGTCACCTGTGCTTCTGTTTAGCTCTTGTCCGTGATATTTTCTCACCAATTTAGCATTGGATGCTCCCTCCGAGAAGCATAATAATCTTAAAAATTGCTCTTATACTTTATTCGCTGTCTTGCCCGACCTTCTTGCGGTAGCTAAAATTGACTTTTTTTTAAAAGTCGCAAGATACCGTGACTATAATTACGAAGTTGGCCACCGCTCATTACTTCCGAGTTGTAGTCGTGGCGCATAAAACATTAGAAATAAAAAACACAATTATTTTTCTCTCTAACTTAATCATATGGACACGGTGCAGTTCATTTGCAGAGAAGGCGCCGTGTGTGAGCACGGGCGCGCCGTTCGATCGCGAACTTCGTTAAATTGCCTGCTTTTGTTTGGACGAGTGTGCTCTGGATGGCCGCATTATTGATCGCTCCTTAGCGTACCCTCGGGATCTTGAGGAGGGGGGGGGGGGACTGCACCAACAGGTGACCTCGAGTTAAGCTACCGACCCCCTCGCTGTCTCTTTGACGAAATCTACCGGCGTCTCTAACCGAGTTGGCGGCGGACGGGGGTGGTGGGGGGGGGGTATTGGGCTAACAAACAACAACAAAATCTACAACAATCCCATCGCGTTCCCAGAGGCAGTGCCATGACCTCGCTCCACTCCATTCTCGTCCCACCCGCCCGCTCGCCCGTCCTTCCGTCCGCCCGCCCGCAAAAATTATTTGTAATTAGCGCGATAACATTTGTTAGTCGCTGTCCTCACGTGTGCGATAATGAGGGGCTCATAATTGGATGCGAGTTTTGCACGCACGTAAAAAAAACACGAACCGCCCCAGCATCTGCGTTTTAAAAAAAAGTAATTTTAGTTCAGATGTTTTAAATTATCGTTTTCTTCACGTGGCTTTTTTTTAAATGCTTCTTCTGCACGGTGATTTAATGCACGTGGCATTGTTAGCCAAAGCACGCTGACGTAACGGCGCATGTGCGTGTTCATTGTGAGTTGTAATTATTATATTCACTGTAAGCTGAGCATTTATTTTTGCTTTTACAGTCACAACCTGGAAAAAAAGGCCCCAGGGGTGAGAAGGTAAAAATACAACTTCGCATTTCACATCACACACGTTCGCTTGTGAATTTCATATTTCGTTAATCGCAGTCATCGTGAGTCTACGATTCAACCCCATTCGGAAATCACTCCGCTTTAGTCCAGTTTACGCCAGGGGTGTGGTGCTTGTCACAGGTTGTGCCACCTGATATGACGTGGCTCGGATACACGCAGGGACATTGACAAAGCAAATGGAAAAAACCCCCAACAATCAACGGTGAAAAAGTGCGCAAAGAAGCATGGAGACGGATGCCTACTTGAAATGGCACCAAGTGACGGGAAGAGGAGCCACATTTGACGATGGAACGTGCGCAAGTTTAGAGACATCGTATTGGCCGTTCGTAAAAGTGTGAGTTCAAAGTTCAATTATTAGGTATAGCCCTGTGAGCCAATCGGCTCTTGAATCGGGTGCAACCGCAACAAACAAAAAACAAAAACATGAACAAGAAAACATCTTAAAGTGAATATGTGACTGAGTGCAAACAGAAAATCCAAGAAAAGACAGCAAAATATTGCAGAAAAAATCACCGTACACCAACGCTGTGTGCAAATATCCCAGTGGGATGCAAGTCAAACAACAACAACAACCACAAGACAACTTAGATTAAGGCCATCAGTCTAACTCTCTACTACAACAAACAAACATGGCCAAAGCAAAAAACTTTTCGAAAATCACCAAAATAAAGCCATAAAAGTAATGAAACAGTGGTCATAGGAGCTGTGACCGAATTTTCGCAATAAACGACATAAACAACATGTACTACCAAACTCATGCAGCCATAGCTGGCTGCATGAGTCACTCCACAACAGCAGCAGGAGCATTAGTCGGAGTGTGAGTGGGCTTGGGTCGGGCACTTCACCTGAAGGGTTGATGGCCGGTGGTCGAGACGAACGACGGAGGGAGCAGCCGGCGAGGGACACGGCCCCAAGAGATGGAACGACGACACCAGCTTGTGGCCAGGAGCTGGATGGATTGCTGCGTCTCGATTGAAAACTCACTTTGTGTTTTTGGATGGCCATCGAACAAAAGACAGTCAGCGCATCGCTCGTTCTTTCAGATGCGCTACTGCGGTCGTCTGGAATGCTCTTTCTGTCGATATTAGGAAGTCACTGGAGCTATGCACTTTTAAATGTAGATTGAAAACGGATTTCTTTAGAACTGCTTTTTGCGTGTAGTTTGCTGTCCTTCCCCCACACCTCCTATTAGTACGATTGGCTACATACGATGCGAAAGACCTTCAACACACGGCACATATACATGACACAACGAGAGATGGCGACAGCTCAGAGAGTCCTTCATCCAGCAGGGTACAGATCATGACTGATTTTTAAAAAGACGGTGCTCATCTCTACCGGTGGCCCTGAACCAGTGGTTGTAAATTCCATGTTCCTGTGGCAGAGACCATTCATCTGTAGTACAACCCTCGTTAGCATCGCTCCAAAGTGTCACTCTGACCCCGGCGGGATGGTGATGGGCTAAGGCACAGGTCTAACTGTCATAATGATGCAATGTTGTGCGAGAATGTGGTGACTTAATGTGTCGTGCAATAATAATGTCAATTATAAATGACAGCCTCGTTGAGTTTCTCACTCTTTCAGGTAAGGGACCGTATTGGGATGTTTGGGTAATTCCATTCTAAGGATATGAGAAACTGGAGTAGCTGGAGAAACCTACACATATCGAGGAGGATAACACTCAAAGGTCCACGGAGGTTTATAGACCCACTCGCTGTGAAGTCATCCAGCCTAGCAGGTTCATGGGTTCGTAAAATTTACTAGATCCCACTTTACGAGTGTCCAGATCATTCTGGATCAGAGACGCATGCCTGCACACCTGCTTCAGTTGCGATGTAGCTCAGTGTTGTGGTAGTGGGAATGTGTGGTGCGTGACGTGTGGTGACATAGTGTGCAGTGTGTGATGTACAAGGCTACGTGCGGTGATGTAGTGTGCAATGTTTGTTTTCTTGTTCAGGGAGAGCCGGCTGAGATTGAAGGAGGTGGCACGGGCATCAAGGGGGTGCCAGGGGACAAGGTGAGTCATCGGGGAGTCTTCCTGCCGCAGCAGCATTCTGGGCACGAGCAGAGTCTGGCGAACTTGGCGTTCTCTGCGGAACGTGTTCGCCGCGGTCGATCGGCAGGTTCGCGTACGGTGGGGCAAAGTGTGGCGTCATCTGGTCCAACACCATGTGAGACTGGGCTCTAAGAAAATCTGTCTCGGGTGTGGACCAATCAATTTCAAGGACAGTGCATACATTATCAGAGTTGTGTTTTTTGTTTGCATTCCGGCCGCAGGTATTGTGGTCAATGCAAACATGACTCCTTGTATAAAAAGGTGTCAGTTTTGTTGCCAGATAAAAGGGTAAAAAACAAATATCAATTGTGGATGCTACCACTTGTTAGGTGACATTTGGCCGGCATGGGCAAAGTAGGCTCACATAATCCTCTGGGCGAGCTTGATACCCCCGGTGGAATAGGCTCTTCTGCGAGCTGTGGTGTGAGTGTGAAATGCCGTGGGTTTCCGCTTTATCTGCTAAGCACTCCCGCGATGATTATTCTGATTGTTGCGGCATGGTTTTATTTTTCTAACTTTTCTCCTCCCTCCTCCCTCCTCCTCTCGACAGGGGGAGAGAGGCAGCCGGGGCCCTCCGGGGAAGAAAGGCGAGGAGGTTTGTTCTGAGAATTTGAGGTTTTCTGGATTTCTGGTGCCGTTTTCGTTCGCCCCACTCTCACGTGTATTTGTTGGCACGAGACGCCGCACGCATTCTGATCTTTGTCGTCATCCTCGTCTGTGTCACAGGGCGAGTTTGGAAAACCCGGGCTTACGGGGCCGGTGGTAAGTGCGATATAAATCATTGAGGGTCATTGCCCGACACATTCGTCTGTTACATATCTTTATTACGGAAGGCAGTTTTAATGATGATGATGATGATGTTAGCGTGTGCGTGTTTTTATTTTCTAACGTACATTTTGTTACTATTCTTCTTGTGGTCACTAATTATTGGTTCACGAACTGTGTTTCTGAACCTTTTCAAACTTTGCCTGGAAATACCAACCTCCAGCCTGCGACGATTAAAGATCCCCTGAATATTTTGTCTCTTTCCAGGGCCCCAAAGGAAGCCACGGGGAGAGGGGACAGAGGGTACGTTCACCCACACACAACCACCCCCCTTGCGTTGACTGCTCAACTAACTCCCGAGGCCTACCTTAATCAAAGGCCTCAGCGGCCATCTAGGAAACTCACGGTGCCATCATTAAAGCCGCCCGCAAAGTAAAAATCTAAATTGTGGCAAGAGAGGGGAGAGTTGCAACGGGCCGGACACTTGCGCAAGGGTGGAGGAGAGAGGAGCACGTCAACAAGAGATAGGCACCGTGGGGTGTGGCCACGCCAGAGGTGTGTGACCCCGGGAGGAAGACCTCAATCCGGAAGATGAAGTCGCCCAGGAGATCGAAACGATGCGGCCCTGAGAAGGACGTGTCAGCCACGCATGCAGACGGTGGCACAGCGGAATGAGCACACCTTGGAGGGCAGGAATTGACTCCGCACCCGCGAGATCTTACACAAGGGTGGAAGTGACGCGGCATTGTGGCGGGGGCCGGCGGAGTTGGTCGCGATGACCTTGTTGTTGGTCGCGATGACCTTGGGCGCGACGTCGCAGTCCGCTTTGCGCCGAGCCTGACCGTCTGGGCGCAGGTCCAAGCGGCGAGCAACAATCAGCACTCTTGATGGGATAATTAATCGATACAAGTTTGTTGATTTTTGATTCGGGGGGGAGGGGGGGGAAAAGACGACAGGAGGGAGTTACAAAGTGGAAGGGTGCGAGGTAAGAAGCGCTGGAGTGTTGCGACCTGCAGTGTGGTTGAGCCGTGGTGCTGTTGAGTCTAAACAATTCAGCCTGCATGACCCAAGTCCTCAACAAGGGGTGGAGGCAAGGCTTCATTTCAGCTGGAGATTTTATGGGACTGAGCTCCGGAATATATTCAGGCACTGCGTATATGTCCCTCCAAATGTTGTCACATTTTGCTTGTCGTACAAAATTGTCAAATCGTGCTCACCTTTGATATTGCGGTCCTGCTCATGAACCAAATCAAGTTGGTGCATTTGCCCACGTGACGTGACAACTCGAATTGATTGGTGCCGTCGGGTCGTGGACGGTTACGATCAACAACAACAACAAATAATTGACATTACACCGACGTGACGATGTCACCCAAAAAAAGACACCAGTTATCGATTGCAATACGGGCGGGTTGGGAGCCCGCGTATGGAATGCAACCCGACTCTTTCGCATTCTTTTTTTTTTAAACAGGGCGACGCAACCGTGGGGAAACCTGGGCCGGATGGCCTCCCTGGCCCTGCTGGCTTTAAGGTGAGGTTCACAACAGGGCCCTCAAATTCACGAGACGGGCACGTGTTTGCCCCGGGGATAAGCCTCGACGGATAATGATAATCATTCTAGGCACGTTTGCAGGAGCGATTGACTGAGTGAGTGATGTTTGGTGAGTGAGTGACTGAGTTAACGGGTGGTTGGTGTGATGGTTGGTGAGTGAGTGAGTTCGTGTGGTGAAATGAGTCAACGTGTGAGTGAGTGAAGTAGGCGAATTCGGCGATGGGCAGACAAGTGAATGAGTGAGTGCAGGAATGAGCAAATGAGTAAGCGTGAGAGCTCGCAAGTAAAGCAAGTGAATAATGAGAAAATGTGAGAGTGAATGAGTGAATTGGCCAAGTGAATGGAGGCGGTGAGTGACCATATGAATGAGGAAGTGAGTGAGTAAAGTGGTGAGTGATCTAGCAAGTGAGTGAAGCGGTGAGTGAGTCATGAAGTGATTTAGTGAAGTGGTGAGTGAAGCTAGCAAGCGAGTAAGTGAATGAAGACATTGAGCAGGCGAGTGAGTAAATTAGCGAGTGAGTGCGCAGGCGAGCCGTGCGTTTGTCGCTCTGTGTGCCGCCCCACCGTGACCCCTCGGACAGGGCGGCGCTGGCCTGCCGGGCCCCACCGGCGAGGAGGGGCAGCCGGGCAAGCCGGGCCCCGTGGGGACACCGGGATCGCGAGGTTTCGGCGGAAACCCAGGACCCCGGGGAACCCCGGGCGAGCGGGTGAGGCCCTCTCGGTGACGATGAATCTGAGTTGGTGTGGCGATGGTTGGTGTGGCGATGGTTGGTGTGGCGATGGTTGGTGTGGCGATGGTTGGTGTGGCGATGGTTGGTGTGCGACTGTCATTGATGACCGGGCTGAGACCGTCAGCTCATTACGCTTGGGAACCCGGCTCGATCCGACCGTGTCCGTCCAGTGCTCGCCGAGCTGCATTGGCTGCCGGTTGCCAAACGAACACGTTACAAGGTCGCACTAATTACGCACAAAGTGCTTGCCACAAATGAACCATCATACCTTGCTGTTCTCGTCAGGGAGCATAAACCATGACGCGATCTCTGGTCGTTCTCGCCCCGCTTTTAGATGCGCTTCCGCGGCCGTGTGGAACGCTCTTCCTTCCAATATTAGGATGCCACTGCAGCTACGCACTTTTAAATCATCTCGATTGAAAACTCATTTCTTTAGAACTGCTTTTTGGGTTTAGTTTGTTGTCCTACCCCCGCACAGTTGGCTACATACGGTGCGAAAGAAGTTCAACATACATACATACTATCCAGGATCTCGTCTGTGCCAAGATCCTGGATCCGACCACTGAGCCACCCTGTGATGGTTTTGCCATGCCAGCCATCATCGGTACACACTCACAGCACTTGGCCCAACAACCTGAAAAGACTATATGAGGGATCTTTGTCTTTGTGTGTGTGTGTGACGTTCTTTAGGGTGAGCCAGGACCCCAGGGTAAGAATGGAAGCCCGGGGCAGGCCGGAGTGCGAGGGCAGTCGGGGCGTCCGGTGAGCACCTGCTTTCATTTCAAGAGACTCTGTTTGACGAGGCAACACATCTCGTCAAAAACGTAACAAAATCAATCAGCGGACACATAGACGCCATTTTTCTTACGTTTGGTCTCTCCACGGAGAAAATAAATAATATATCTTTCCGACGTCCAATTGGCCCGCACGGCCTTCTGGGAGTGCGTCTCTGCAACAGCGGCGGTTTAACACGAGCAAAATTCAGGACCGGATTGGAAATTCAGTGGCTCATCATCGGCTTGCTTGAATCAATGCTGGCAAACGGCCCGATGTTTGTAGGCAAGGACACTCTCTGTCCGTCGTGGATCCAAGTTCATCTCACACATCGGGCGCATTACCGCTGATTTTGTCACACAGGCAATCATTGCTATCCGCTCTGTTAACAATGATATTTTTCACAATTACTATCCAAATCCCTACCCCCTACCAAAGTTTTCACACTCTTATTATATTATTGTTATTATATAAAATGATTTACGCTGCATGCTCATCATTATTAGTAGTAATTTGTCTTGTCATTTTAAACGTTAAGGTGAGGTTTATCTTTCTCGTGTGTTTTTTTGTCTTCTGACAGGGCTCAAGGGGAGGCCCTGGGGAGAGAGGTGTCAAGGCAAGTCCCCAGCACGATACTGAAACCATCCAATCAGCTGGGCATGACAGGCCTCTCCAGTCGCGTTCGGGACTTCGTTAGACCCGTGTAGGCTGATGGGATTGTGTGTGTGCGTGCATGTGTGCCTGTGTGCGTGCATTGCACGTGTGTGCGTGTGTGTGACTGGTGCAGTAGTGTAGCGGTTAGCGAGCTACGCTACAAACCTGGCGACACGCGTTCGATTCTAGCTCACGGCCACCACCAGTGACGTTTATCTGAACCTGTCCTGGGCCTTCCCTAGGTCGACTCAGCCTTAAATGAGTACCTGGTGTGGTGTGTAAGACATCGCCATTGGGGAGACAAAGGCGGCCGGGCGTGGTGCTGGCCACCCACCCTCTCGTGTGCCGTGGCGGCCTTCGTAGTTGCTCGCTAACAGCACTTGCCCCAACAGTCTGTTAAGGCTATATACCGGGATCTTTGTCTTTGTCCTGTTGCTCAATGTGTGCGCGTCATCATCGCAGGGCGAGAGTGGAGCAGGTCCCCTGGGACCTCCGGGTGACACGGGTCTGAGCGGAGCTCGGGTAATTCATTATTTAAATCCTGTTATTTTCCTAATTCTGAGCCGAATAACATTCACTTCATTCCAATTAGTACGCACAACATTTCCTAAAGTTTACCTCATTCTGCCCACGCTAATGATGAACTTCACATATCCCGTGAAATCAAAAGAGTGTGAGAGGAAACTTATTTTTTAACCTGTTCAACTCCCCTCGTTTTCTTTTCCCAGGGTGCACCAGGAACGCCCGGGCTGCCTGGGCCAGCGGGAGAGCCGGTGAGTTTCAGCGACGACGTCCGCCGGCTGATCCTTGCTCATACCCTCAACATTTAGTTTCTAGTCGTTGTCATTCCCCCGGGCGTGTGAGCTCGATGAGAGGGCTGTGCTCTTGTGTCGCGTGCAGGGCCTGTCTGGAAGCAAGGGTTACCGGGGAGAGAAGGTGGGTTTCTCATCATCATCATCATCACCACCTCGATCATCACCATCATCATTGTTCTCCTCGTCCCGCATTGAAGACAATCGGAATTCCCGAAGCAACTTCCCGCGCTGCTGTCCGGCTCTCCGGCGTGTGGTCGGGTCGTTTCGTTTTCTCTGCGACTGCTCCTTTGACGTCGTCAAAATTTTTCGATTTAAAGCTTTCGTGACTGCAGAGATTCATCTTCTTGGTTCTTTCGGTAAAGTCACATAGAAGGGAAGTAATAAAATAATAAAAATAAAACATGAAGACCAGGTCTGTCGGGGAGACAGATCTGGTCTTCACCTGAGGACGGCTGCTTGCGTTGTGGCCGAAACGTCATGATAATTATTTTATTATGTTTTATTTTTATAATTGTATTACTTCCCTGGTCGTCAAACATTTCTGTTCCCTCTCCTGGCAGGGCAACTCTGGGAGTCCTGGACCCAAGGGTGACGACGTGAGTCCCTCCTGCACCTCCTCGTTACCACGTCATCTCCGGGTCGTTATCCCGTAGCCACGTCTCTCCGCGCACCCTCTCGATGTTTGCTCGTGCGCGGTGAGCTGGCCACTTACGTGCCGCTCTTCAGTGAGAGGGCGGAAGAAGATGGAGAAGTGTGGCGAGTGAGCGAGTGAGAGGGTGGGTGAGTGAGAGGGTGGGTGAGTGAGAGGGTGGGTGGGTGAGTGAGAGGGTGGGTGGGTGAGTGAGAGGGTGGGTGGGTGAGTGAAAGGGTGAGTGAGTGAGAGGGTGAATGAGTGAGTGAGAGGGTGGGTGGGTGAGTGAGAGGGTGGGTGGGTGAGAGGGTGAGTGAGAGGGTGGGTGGGTGAGTGAGAGGGTGGGTGGGTGGGTGAGTGAGAGGGTGGGTGGGTGAGTGAGAGGGTGGGTGGGTGAGTGAGAGGGTGGGTGAGAGGGTGGGTGGGTGCTTGGGTGAGTGTTGAACTGCAGTGTGCTGATAGAACACAGTGTGATGGCATGGTCTGGTCGGCCCAGTGCACACCATGGGTGGAGGAATCGCTGAGTTAAGTTAACTGGTGCTTATTAATTCCAGTTACATACATCCAATTGGATAAATTGCATATCTAACTTAATTCGCTGTCTTCCACAGCACTTGTTATACCTATTATTGTCCAAGTCAAAACATCATTTTAAGTCTGTTGTTTTCAAAATTTAAATTGAGTAGTCACAATTTACGCTAATTATGGAGGATTCTGGATATAAATTGAAACTATGCAAACGAGATGGCGGTGGGGGTGGATTGATACCCACAGCGAAGAAAGCGCGCACCCCACGGGACAATGCCACGTTGATGGAAGTCGGTGTTAGTCTGGGTTGTGCACAACGCAAAGTAATCCTGCCTGCCTCCCTCCCTCCCTGCCTTCCCATCCCTCCCCCCAACCCCCTCCCTTCACCCCCCCCCACTCTCCCTCCCTGCCTCCCTCCCTGCCATCTCATCCCCCCACCCCCTCTCTTCACCCCTCCCCCCCACTCTCCCTCCCTCCCTGCCTCCCTGCCTCCCTCCCTCCCTGCCATCCCATCCCTCCCCCCACCCCCTCCCTTCACCCCCCCCCACTCCCCCCCCCCCCCGTCTCCGTGTGGACAGGGAGACGGCGTTGGGGTTGGGCCGCCCGGCAGGAGAGGAGCCAAGGGGGACAGGGTCAGCGCCCCCCCCCCACCCCCCCAACTCACCTCACTCACCTCTTTCACTCCCCGCCTGCTCACCTCGTTTCACCTTCACCATTTACCCACCTATCTCACTCGCCTACAATGTTCGCTCATCCATTCGCTCCACTCGGGCTCATTCACTGGACACATCCGTTCAGCTAATTCACTCGGCTCATTCATTGGCTACTCATCTCATTCACTGGATGCATTCGTTCAGCTCATTCGCTCGGCTCATTCATTGTCTACTCATCTCATTCACTGGATGCATTCGTTCAGCTCATTCACTCACCCCAGTCGTTGTCCCCTCGGTTCTGCCTCTAAATGCCGCAGGGCGACCACGGCCCCGAAGGTCTGGACGGGAAGAAGGGAGAGAAGGGCGAGCATGGAGCCATGGCACCGCAGGTGGGTGGGTCGTCGTCCTCTACTTACAAACGAGTTGGGTTCCAGAGGTCTTCTTCTTGGTTCTCGGTAAAGTCACGTAGAAGGGAAGTAATAAAATAATAATAAAAATAAAACATAATAAAATCATTCTCACGACGTTTCGGCTGCTTGTGTTGTGGCCGAAACGTCGTGAGAATTATTTTATTATGTTTTATTTTTATTATTTTATTACTTCCCTTCTACGTGACTTTACCGAAAGAACCAAGAAGATGAATCCCTGCAGTCACGAAAGCTTTAAATTGAAAAATTCCAGAGGTCTGTTCGTAAGTCCGAGTTTACTGCTGTCGATTCCACACGTGTTGTACGGCATGGCTTTAAAGTTGTATCATCTCCTGTAGTTGTAGATGCCACTGGGTTCTTCATTTTTCTGCAGATCTAGATGCCACCACCGCCATTTATTGCGACTGTTCGGACAGGTTTGTTCGTATCTATGAAAGTTTGTGAGTCGAACGTTCGTAAGTAGAGGAGTCCCTGTATAAAAAAAAATTACGTTTGTAGTTGTAAATGCTCAATAGCCGAACTGACGTGAACTTTGCCCACAGGGAAGCAAGGGGCAGGATGGAGACAAGGGAGCACGAGGAATCCCCGGCCTCGCGGGGGTTGGCGGTCCCAAGGTAAACGCCACCTCAAGGACTCGCTTCCGCAGGGCAGCCGGCACTGCTCGGCCTGAGGTGGCCTCACTCGCACCGTCCCAGGGTTGACGGACGACTTGAGGCGGTTTAAGGAGCGGGCCTTTCCGTGGCTTTCCGGGCTTTTGCTCCATTCGTGATGCGGGTCAGGGCAGGCCTTTCTCAGAAATACTTCCGTGTGAGACTGCACCTCAAGTTAGCACGGTTGGCCATGTACGATGCGAATGCTTGTGAGTAATAGACCAAAACTGCATTGTTTGCAAAGGTGCGTGTTACTTTAAATGTACCTGCCGTCCATAACATTTTTTATCGGCCTGTACCGCGGTGACCTGTTTCCACTCGGTCTAGAGAGGTGACATTGACCCAGAGAATTCAGGCGACTGCCTGAAATGACATTGATGCTAATCCGGGTTATTTTGGAAGGAGGATCGACTGCTCACATCCTTCTTCTTGATTTTCGACAGGGTGAACCAGGAGAGCTGGGAATGCCGGGCACTGCTGTGAGTTTTCATATTCACAGTCACGATGTCACCCACCTCGCGCACCGCACGCACCACACGCACCACGTGCACCACACACTCCGTACGTACCACACATCCCTGGGGAAACGTGATGACATTTTTTTGAGAAAAAAAATCACTCTCCGTTGATGCACGTCACCTCCCCTCCTGTGTGCCCTGCTTCCCTCCACTTCGCTCCCCAGGGAACCCCAGGCCTCCGAGGACGAAGCGGATTTAAGGGCATGAAGGGGGAGCGTGGAATGTACAGTGAAAAGGGTGAAAATGTGAGTGGCAAAACGCAAATTCGCACACGAAGACAAAACGCCGCTCGGCACTCCGGCGTGCGTCGTCCGCAAGAAAGCGCGTGTAGTGAAACGTCGCACCTCGTGCCGAGCAACTTGGCAGGATGTGGCGTGGATGCCGTGCAGTACGATTTGTATATTTATTTTATGCACGCAACGGGAAACGTCAAACACGGCACTGCACGGACGCACGACGTGAAACTCACGCCGCCTCGCTCGTGACACCGCGTGGACTGGAGGCGTGGACCTGCGATCTCATTCTGCCGCGTGGCCTTGTCCATACGTACGTGACATACCTACGTCACTCACCCGGTAGGGGGTTGGGTGTTTCTGTGTGTGTCGGTGCGTGTGTGTCTGTCTTAATTGTTGAATGTTGCACGTGCGTACGTTGAACTTCTTTCGCGCCGTCACGTAGCCAACCGCGATAATCGGCGGCGTGGAGGGGGGCGATGGGGAAGGACAACAAACTAAACGCAAAAAAGCAGTTGTAGAAAAATTAGTTTTTTAAATTAAATGGGCCTCGATGACGTTGCCCGTGTTCGTGGGGGCTGGGGTTGTGACCAGTGATCCGCTTGCTGTCATCGTCACACGTGGTGATTTTGTACTCGAGTAATAATCTTGCTGCGGCATACGTTCGGGTCGCCGGCAACGGGAGCTGACCATCTGCGATCTTTGCCGGCAGGGCGACGTGGGCATGAAAGGGCGGTGCGGCGAGGATGGAGCGAAGGGAGCCAAGGTTTGTAGCCGCCTCACTGTCGTGACTGGCACCGGCACCGCACCTCACCGCACAGCCACTGCCGGGCGCACGCTCTCTCCACGGAGGAGCTTCCGGCGAGGTCCGTTAAACCGGCCGTGTCCCCCCCACCCACCCCCCGGTCCCCCCCCACCCCACCCACCCCACCCGGTCCCACCCCACTCACCCCCCTGCCCCCCCACCATCTCGTTCTGCGTGCAGGGAGACCCTGGACTTCCCGGAGGCCGCGGATCGCCGGGGGAGAGAGGAGAGAGGGTGAGGCTTTGGTACTCGCAGGCCAGAGGTGGCCGGTTCGATTTGATCTCCCGGCGCGGCGGTGGAAACAGCGGCGCGAGTCTTTTCCAATCCGCCCCACGTCGCCCCGCGCCCCTGTCCACCCAGCAGTGGTGTAAATTGATTCTCCATGATTAGTCTATTTGTAGGTTGCGCGTGGTGAAGAGGAAGCCAAAATTACTCTCGAGGCTGTAGAGATCCTCTCCAGGGCTCCGTCTAATGGAGCTCTTCTGCCAGGAGTAGCATAGGCAGGCAATTGCCCGGCTGCACCTTCCCATGCGTTCGCAGTTGTTACACACAGAGCGCTTGCCAAAGACAAACCGCAGTACCTTGCTGGTCTCGTCAAGGAGGATAAACCGTCACGCGAACTTCGGTCATCCTCGCGGCAGCAGTTTTAGGCTGGCCCTCGAACAAAGATGGCCACTGCATCGAGCACTTTCAGATGCGCTTCTGCGGCCGTCTGGAACGCTCTTTTTGCTCATATTAGGAAGCCACTGGAGCTTATGCGCATTTAAATCTAGATTGAAAACGAATTTCTTAGATCTGCTTTTTGTTTTGAGTTTGTTGTGCTTCCTCCCGCACCTCCGATGAGCACGGCTGGATACGTACGGCACGAAAGAAGTTCAACACACACGGGTTAAATTTGCTCTTCATGAAAAATAACGGGGGGTTCCGTTGACAGAGCGGATTGTGCCGGGTGGGTGCCCCCCTCGGTGTTTCGGGGGGTACACGGCGTGCATTCTAAATACCAGCTTCGTCGTCTTATCGCGCCTCTTGCCACCAGCCTTGCCGTGCATCCCCCCAGCAGCCGTGGCCACGAGCGATTGCCGTCGCTGCCGGTTAAGCCGCGTGCCAACGGGCATTTCACGGTCTCACGCACGCACGCATGCATGCCGCGTGGAGTCTGACAAATCGTCGTAACGGCCAGATAAACGAACCGTCGCATCAACAGAAGACAATTAAACTGCCAGGCCGATTACGGTGAGTCACCGAAACCCCTCACCCACCCGTACGGCCGAGCCGTGCCGAGCCAAGCCCCTTGCGGCCCAGGAAACATCAACACTGGGGAGACAAAGGCGGCCGGGCGTGGTGCTGGCCGCACTACCCCCTCGGGTGTCGTGACAGCTTGTGATAGGTGCTCACGAACTGCACTTGCCCCAACAGTCAGTATGTGAGAGGCTATATGGGGGATCTTTATGGTTGTGTGTGTGTGTGTGTTTTGGCAGGGTGAGCGAGGCATGCTGGGTACTCCGGGAACACCCGGGCAACAAGGGGCATCAGGACCAAAGGTGAGAGGTCAAGAGGTTCATAGATTGAAGTTGATTTATTTTATTAACACAACTCTGTCAAAACGCTCACCGCATCAACAACAGCTGGAAAGATTAACACAGTTCGAAGCCTGTTCAGATTCAATTGTGCTGGGTTACTCCTATCTGCTGTATGGTTCTGAAACGCGGTTTGCACTGAATGAAAATATTTATAAACAACAAGATGTGATTAACAGCATCGGAGCCTATTGGCTGAATAAGCCAAATAATCAGTTTCTTCGAGTACGTATGTATGTTGAAATTCTTGCACACCGTACGTAGCCAACCATCCTACTCGGATGTGCAAACCATGTTTTGATAAATAGCGTATCGTAAGCTTTCAAGCAACTCCTCATTCATTGCAAATGATTAAGCGGCCTAGAAGGACTTTTCTGGACAAACATACACACACGTACGTGTAAACAGCATTCAGCATAGCCACCTATACAGGGTGGGCCATAAGTAACTGTCTAATTTAAAATAGTCGGATTTTGTGTTAAATAAATAAAAAATGTTGTAACAATTATAAAGTATAAGCCTAGGAGTTTATGACGAACCGGCATACACGTCAGCAGCCTTGCACGAATAGTTTAAATATATTTCAGAAACAATCGTTCAAATATTTCAACACGGGAGGAAATGTTGCAGATATTTTAAGACCCCAACGGCTCCAACTCCGCACCGTATTCGGGCGTTATTGTAGCATAGCACCTCCGATTAGCACGGTTGGCTATGTACAGTGCGAAAGAAGTTAAACATACAAACGTTATTGTTGTTGTTGACAAGATTTTATTTTACTTTATTGACACCGGGCTCAAGTTTCGGTGGTGCGTCTCGCGCTGTCCGGAGCCGCGGGTCGCGCGTGCCGCTCGTCAATTTCCATTTTGTTCATCGGCAGGGAGAGGCGGGCGCCGCGGGAGTGGACGGGAGGAAGGGATCCTTCGGAGACAAGGGGCTGCAGGTGAGAGCTACCTCTCGCACGTCCGCGTGAGCCCCCTCCAACCCTGCCCCCCCCCCCAGATCTCTTTTTCGGTCACCCGCTCAGACGACGGACGCTGCCACGTGGCGGCGGCGACATCGCCGTCGCGGTTCGCTGGGCTTGCAAATCCAGGATTCTGGCCGGTTCAATTTGGACTCGCCGCCACGGCAGTTCAAACGCAGTGGCAGCAGGTTTTGTCTGAAAATCACCCGCGTTGAGTTTGGCTGCCCGTCGCGTTGGCAGAGGGGGTGGCACGGCCACGAATTGTGAGCGCTCGCGTAAGCCCGTCATTCACAAATAGAGTAGTCGTGCACCCGAAGGGCGACTTTTCTGGACAGATAATTGTGGCCATGGAGATCTGATTGCGACCGTGTCGAATGGCGTCACCAAAATTGCACGTGTAGAGGAGTAGTGGAGAGTGGTGGCGTCGTGTGCGCTGTCCGGTGCGGTGACCTCACGGGACGTGGGGTCGCACGCGCTGGGCAGTGCACGTGACATCACCCCTCCGAGGGTATATAAGGGAGACCCCGTAACGTAAGCGGGGTCACTATAGGAACGGGGGAAGTAAACAGGGTGAAGAGGGAACCAGGGATAGTGAGAGGGATCAAATAGGGAGTCTGGGGAGAAGCCGGTGGTAGCCGAAGAGGTGCTTCTCTCTCCGGTCGGTGGAGTCGGCAGACTCCACGATCCGACACGAGAGAGAGAGACCGGAGCTAGCCGGCAGGGACCCAGACTCAGAGTAGGACCCCTAGCCCCTGGGAGTTGTGCACCCTGTGTAGTATTGACCAAGAGTAATAAACCCTGGCGGAAGCCCCTAACCATACCTCCGTCTCCGAGTACGTCCGTCGGTAACCATCTCTACAACTGGTGTCAGAGTGTCTGCACTGCTGCTACAATGTTTACATCGGGAGCGGAGCGCAAGAACCCAGCGACGGGACGATCAGAGGATGAAGACGGCGGGGAGGAGGCTTCGGCAGTGACCCCGGAGTCCGGGGCTCCGGTGACAGGCCCCGAGAAGACGACGGGCGGGGGTGCCAGCTCGCCGCCACCACCGCTGGAGACGGGGAGCACCCCTGCAGACCTGCTGAGGCAGCTCCTGCAGGCGATCGCGCAGCTCTGCGCCCGTCTCGACATCGCGGAGGCGAAGTTGGGTCCTCCCGGTCCGCACTCGGGATGGGAGCAACTGTCAACTGCCGGGACGCCGCGAGAGGCGGCCGCCATCTTCGCCGCGACGCCCCAGCTGGTTATTTTGCCTGCGACGTCGCCAGCGGCGGCCATGTTGGTTGGGGCGCCTCAGGCGGCCGCCATTTTAACTGCGACGCTGCAGGTGGCGGCCATTGTTCATGCGACGCCGCACGTCGGCGCCATGGCTGCCATGGCAACTGCGACGCCGTTGTCCACCGTGGGGGCCGCCGCGACTTCGTGCCACACCGCGCGCGCGGGGTCTGCCAGCGGCGATGCCACAGCTCCGCACCATGCTGCGCCCGCCGGGGGAGCCCCAGGTACGTCCGGGGCTCCACACCTCGCCGCACCACGGGAGTTGCCGAGGGTGCCGCCGTGGTTCCGGCCATCGCCGCGCTGGCGGGGTACGCTGCGGGTGTCGCCGTGGCCCCGTGCATCGCTGCCGCGGCTCCTCACGATGCCGCGCCGCGGAAGTTGCCGCGGTTCCGAGCATCGCCGTGCCTGCGGGGTTTGGCGCGCCCGCCACCGCGGCTGCTATAGTTGCCGCGGCCGCGGGGTGGGCCGAGGGTCACGCCGGGGCACCGCACCTCGCTGTGCATGCGGGTTTTGCCGCCGGCGACGCCGCACCAGGCTGCTATTTTGCCTGCAGCGATCGCGGTGGGGGCCGCCGGCGACGACGCGGCCCCGCACCTCGCGGTGCCTGGGCGTTGCCATGCCGACGCCGCGGCTCTGCATCTTGCCGCGGCATGGGCAGCAGGAGCCGCCGCTCGGGCCGGCGCGCGCCTGGCAGGAGCTGCGTTGGGCTGCTGGGCTGCTGCGGCTCTCCCGGGGCCTGTCACTAGCTGGCACGGTGCCTGCCCTGGCGATTCGTGCCACATGGGGAGGCGTGCGCTCTGTTGATGGCCTGTGGAAACGCTGCCGTCGGCCTCCAGCCCTCATCGCTCAATTGTGTTATGTTGGCGTGTTTTGTCTAAGACTGCCCAATTGTCCGTTTTGGTGTGTTTTGTCTGGGCTGCTCAATTGTTCAATTGTTGTTTGTTGGTGTGTGTTGTCTGGGCCATCGGGATTCCGCCTTTGTATTGATGGCAGCGCGTGATGAGAGTTTCAAAGTTTTGAAATTTGATTGATTGTTGTCATGCTGCCTGGATGTTGTCGGTTGGTTGTGAATATGTTGGTTTGTGGTTCTGGGACTCCTCTACTTTTATATTGTTTACAGCCGAGTCGGCTGAATTTTTTTCACAGGGGGGGGTGATGTAGAGGAGTAGTGGAGAGTGGTGGCGTCGTGTGCGCTGTCCGGTGCGGTGACCTCACGGGACGTGGGGTCGCACGCGCTGGGCAGTGCACGTGACATCACCCCTCCGAGGGTATATAAGGGAGACCCCGTAACGTAAGCGGGGTCACTATAGGAACGGGGGAAGTAAACAGGGTGAAGAGGGAACCAGGGATAGTGAGAGGGATCAAATAGGGAGTCTGGGGAGAAGCCGGTGGTAGCCGAAGAGGTGCTTCTCTCTCCGGTCGGTGGAGTCGGCAGACTCCACGATCCGACACGAGAGAGAGAGACCGGAGCTAGCCGGCAGGGACCCAGACTCAGAGTAGGACCCCTAGCCCCTGGGAGTTGTGCACCCTGTGTAGTATTGACCAAGAGTAATAAACCCTGGCGGAAGCCCCTAACCATACCTCCGTCTCCGAGTACGTCCGTCGGTAACTTCTCTACACACGTATAACCAAGGCTTCATTTTAGTTGGTGCTGTTTGCGCATGAACTCCGGAAAAAAATATCCCGGACCCCCTCCTCTCCTCCTGCTGTCAGAGGGTAGGGATGGGGGGAGGGAGGATCACGATTTGGTGGGTGGGGGGGCAGTGCCTCTGGAGAGAATTCCATGAGGAACTAAGCCCTTTTGTCAAATTGAAATAGTCTGTAAACGCGTCATTACATGTTGTGTTACGTACGTAGCGATTGCCACCCGGGACACACGGCTAAATATAATCATCATTATAATAATGCACGCAGACAATGCTCAAGGCAGACTCGTCTGAAAAGGGTAAGCGTTGTGGTCATATTATTCGAGACAGCGGCCCTTGCACGCACGCTTCTGTCTGAGTTTGCCATCGCAATATGGAAAGTGTTCAAATCGGTTTAATCACGAGCACTGTTTTTAATTAAATAAACGTATAGAATAATGAAAATAAGTGACTGGTGTGCCGCTACGGACCACTAGAATGGCAGGCCATGAAGGTGGCGCTTTTAATAACTGAACTTTAAGTTGGACTCAGTCGTGTCAAAAAAAAAAGATCGGTGGCAATTAAAGGGTAATTAATTAATGACCATCCAGACACTGACAGTTGAATATTTCAACAGTCTCAACCTCACGATCCAAACTCCTCGATTAAGTCAATGAAAGAAGTCTTTTTTTTTAAACGTACAATTTCATCACATTATATTAAAAGCGTTATTTCCGTCCAGCCTCTCGCCATTTCCCCAACCTCGTGTGCGACCCAAACTTCATTAAGCGAATGAAATAACTCTCTCCGCTGTTTAACAAAGGGTAAGTGACACTTGCAGCAGCAGCAGCGGCCCCTTCTGCCATTTCCAGACACGGCTGTGTCCCACGTGCCCCCGCTCCCTCTCGTTAGTGGTGGGGGGAGTCGAGCTCCAGTCATTTCGTCCCATTAATCGCGTTGCGGGACACCGTGGCAAAGCGCGATAATTACGCCGAACGGACAGCCGCCGTAATTTCCCTGGCGTCTCCGATCCAAGACTGGTTTCTTTTTTGTAAGTTTCTTAACCTGCGTTGATGTGGGTGGTCGGCATTCGGGGAAGCGTCGTAGTTGAGAGCGGCTGTTTATTTTCATCCCGCCCCCGCAAACGTTGAATGGAACCCAACTGTTATGTTTCTGGCCCCCCGCGGACCTCGAATTCGAATCAGTTTTGTTGTTGTTGTTTGTTCGTTTTAAATTCAAGAACGGGAGAGCCACAGGTTTCTTTACAAACCGGAAGAGCGCGAGCGTCGCCACTAGGGTTAAGCCGTCCGAGGCGGTGGGGGTCCGCAGCATCGTCGAGATTTAATTTTCGTCATCATTTCTGTCGCCTCTCCTTTGTCGCGCGTGCAAGTCGTGCCCTCCCCCCCACCCTTCATTTGTCACCGTGCACTTATCTTGCCGTAGGGGCTCGCTCGTTCTCGCACTTTCTCGCTCGCTCTCTTTCTCTCTCTCATTTGCTTCCGATCGCCGTTACGCTCAACTCCGATTCGGTTCCACAGCGACAGGCACCGCGTGCCGATAGTTGTTTAAGTCCTCGGTCGTTACGTATCTCGGTGTCCGCGAAAGAATAATGCCGGGTCTGTTGGCCCGCCTGCCGGATAATGAGCTTTAGTTTCAAGGCAGGCAGTGCCGCAAGGAACCGACGACGCCTTGCGGAATGGGCGCAAGAGGCGTGATTATTTTTTCTTTCTCTTATAGACGGTCTCGCCAAAGAAACCTGCACGCAGATCCGCGTCCCTTGTCGTGTGCGCTCATTCTCTCTGCGCTGTGCGCTTCTTTTTTTCGTTTTGTTGTTTTAGCCTGCGCCAGATTTAACTTTTTTTTTCCACGTGTGCTCATTACGTAGCCACGACCGTAAGCCGCAGCCAGGACGGCATACTTAGACCGCGTCGCGGTGTGGCGGAGCGCTGCTTTGACTGCGGAGGGAATCGTGGGGCACACTCAACAGTGAGCCTGTCCGCGTGTGCCGCGTGCATAGCGGGGAGCGGCGGTGCAGCGGTTAGCGCGTTGCCCTACGAACCCATGACCCTGGTTTCATTTCCGCTTCACAGTCAATAACAGTGGAGAACATCTGAACTGGTCCTGGGTCTCCTCTAGGTCGACTCAGCCTTAAATGAGTAGCTGGTGCAGTGTGTAAACATCAGCTCTGGGGAGACAGAGGCGGCCAGGTGTGGTGTTGGTCACCCGCCTACTCATGTCCCGTGCCGGCCATCAGCACTTGTGGCGGTGAGATGTTAACTACTTTGCCTGGTATGCAGGAGGTCGTGGCTTCGATCCCAACACTTGATCCCTGTATATTTGGAGTCCACGCGTTCCCCTCCACGTACTCGCCGACGCCGTTTGCCCTGGGCCAGAGTCTAAGAACAAAAAAAAACACAAAATCTGAACCGGGGAGTGTGAATTGTTCGAGTTTTAATTCGTCCGACGGACAGTGGTCCCGTGTAGCCCTTTGTGGGGCCCTTCTACGCCGGAGATCTGCGGTGCGGTGTGAGCCCCAGCCGCAGCAGCAGCAGCAGCAAGGAGACAGAGATGGACACGACACCGCACGCTCCTTCGCGGAGTAGAAGGCGGCGCACGTGAAGGTCTCCGCCGCCGATATGTTTCCTGTACAGGGGTCCTTGTTAAAAATGTACTTCCTGCCGGCAGCTTGATGGTTAAACACAGCCGCCCGCCCTCACCGACGTACGCAGGTGTCGTTCATTACGAAAAATAGATTCCACCCGGGGGGGGGGGGGTGAGGAGAAGGTGCGTGCGTACGGAGGGGGAATTGTTCATAGATCTCACGCTTCAACATTTTTGCGGGGGTGATAGGGGATCACGGGGGCCGTAATCTACATGCATCATAACTTGGCTCGGTGGGACGACGGGAGCAGGCCGAGGGACTAGCCCCGCTCCGTGGGGGGGGGGGGGGGGGGGGGTCCCGCTCTAACGAGGGGTGCTGCGGTGGCTAGGAGATGTGACCTCCCTCGCCTGGTCCACAGGGCGGTCAAATATTTAGTTTTATCCTAAATTAATTTCAAGAGAGAATTCACGCGCGCGTGAATGTTAATAGTAGTCAGTTTAAACGTTTGTTAAAATATTGATTAAATAACCCTATTTGTGATGTCAAAATATATTGGAACCATGTCTTGACTTTTGGGCCTCCCTGTACATAAGCAATCTGAGCTGCGATGATAACGTTACCAGCCACCCCCGACACAAACGGGGTGCCGCTGTGGCATACAGGTGGCCGTGGGTTTTATCCCGACCCTGGCGATGCCTGCTCTATATTTGGTGTTTGCGTGTCTTTTTCTCTTTCTCCCCGTGGTCACGTTGGATTTGTTTTAATCGGGGTCCTCCGGTTTTTCCGTACACATTTAGAATCAACGTGCGTTCCGAGTATTTGGCTGCGATGAATTTCCACGCGACGATAAGCTGCTTCCCTGTGCTATCATTTGTGATGGCAGCAAGGTCGCTTCTTAAAAAAAGAATATAAGCTAAGAACTCAGTGGGCCTTAACCTGGTTAAATAAATAAAAAAACGTTTAAGTTTTTGTTAATCTACTTGCGGAATAAAGAGCTGGCACCTCGCCCGTCACGACGACGCGGCGGCAGAGGCGGCGACGCCACGGAAGGGAGCGGCGCAGGGCCCGCAAGGACTGCGAGGGCTTCTTTCGCTCAATTCAGGTCATTCGCTTAAATCTCCTGAACTTGTGGTTGAAAGGGGTTGCGTTGAAACGAAATGAAGGCTCGTGGCGATGAGCAATTTGTGGCCGGTGTTCTTTTTCCGGGCACGGGCGGTTGCGGGCTTCGGAGCGCGTTTTCCGGTCGGCAGATGTTCTTTTAATGGTTTTTTCCGTTTTAAACGCGGGCCCCGAGTCTCGCTGCAGTACGAGCAGCGTGCCGGTGCTGCGAGCGTCATCGCCCACCATCGCCACCACCGCTGAGCGCTCATTAAAACGATCCGGACGTTTCTCGCTTCTCTCCCGCCCCCCCCGCCCGCCACCACCCCCCGCCCCACCTCGAGTCCATTTATAGTGCTTAAATATTTACCGGGATTCTTTTTTAATATATATGTCAGCTGCTCTCTGCGGCACTGTGTGCAAAGAAAGTGGCACCAGCAACCTACACCACCCCTTCTTCTTCTTCCTCTGTACCAATATGTGTGTGGCAACTCATCGGTTTCGTGGGTTTTGCTCCGACGGCCAAAAGCACAGCCTCCTCAAGGGGGAAGCTAAACGGATGGCGTCTTAAGTGCCTCCGCTGAACACAACCGAGGTTCCCAATGCCTCACGATGCCGTCCACGGCCTGCTAAATGATTATCCACACAGCCACACGCCACCGTTTGCCCGCTCAAATCGATGGTGGCTGCATCTGCCACGGGTGTTGCGAGTCGCTCGGTTCCGTGGCGTGCACTGTGGTTGGATTTCGAGGCGGGGGGTCTATGCGGTGCAGGGCGGTGGCGATTGGCTGCGGTTTGCCCATGAGGCACATAACACATTCCTGCGGAGGGAGCTGGTAGGAACGTTGGGTTGCTCGGTCAATGGCCAGGGTCAACGGCGGCGTGGTGCATTCCGCAAATATGCCCGACTGTGAGGGCGGGCACAAGCCGGCGTGAGTAGGTTAAACGTTGAGTTTTATAAAGGCACCACGGGGTGACCAGCCCCTCCCCACCCAGCCCCACCCCTCCCCCACCCTCCCCACCCAGCCCCTCCGCACCCTCCCCTTCCCACTCGCCCACTCGAAAGCGGTCACATTTACACTTCCGCGGTGTAACCCCCAGTATAACCCCTTATGGATAATATTGGCCGCGAAAGCCTACTTGTTAAACTAAGGTGGCATTCTCGTATGCCTTACGCCACAAGCAACCAGTGCGCTAAATGTTAGGCATCCAACGATTTCTCCATGCCACAGTTCGATGAAATGCCATGAATCTGTGAGGTTTTTGTTTTCTTGAACGTGATGCGTTGTAGTGCATCTCTTGACTGCTATTGCCACATGAAACTAATTCCATGCGACGTGCACAAACCATAACAAAAAAAGACTCGAATCTCACGTGCGTGCGTGGTTTGATTCGTGTATCACGTGGGAGATCGGTTTTAAAGGTGGCTGGGTGACTCGGAGGTGAGAGCTCCGAGGTGACAGCGCAGATTAGAATCCAGGTTTCGGCCGTCTCTGATTAAACCGGGTTCTCCAGTGTTGTGAGTTGATGGACTTCAGCTGCGTCGCTGAATGAGTGCTCACAAGAAAAGACGATCGGAGAAAGTGCGTGGCTCTGTGGGAGTCACAACCGTTTGACTGTGCACGTGCCACGAATATCACTGTTTGTAGCTGGGTGGGCCGTGAAAAGTCCTGGGTGCAAAAGGGATATCAGGTGGTAGCTCTGTGATGCCCTACTTTGTTTTAGGGAATTATCTTCACACAAAGCGTCGCAACTAAATCTCCGCTATAGATCCGAATGGAAAAGTCATCGCTATGACGCCATTAGCACAATCGCGGTGAATGTGGGACAAAGGCAATAAAAAAAAATCCCCCCCTTTGTACCCCCCCCCCGCCCGCTCTTTCCCATCCCCCTTCTCCACTTGCAAGTTAATTACCTTCCCCCTTACCGATCCGATCCCCCCCCCCCCCCCCCCCCCATATAAACTTTCACTTCTCCGCTGGAGCCTCTCCACCTGGTTGGTAGCAGTGAGGCCCAACCCACCCCCTTCGTCACCACAAGCCCTGCCTGCGGCGTCGATCTCGCCTTTGCTTGCGGAATTTTTGCCCCCCCCCCCTTCCCCCACCCCCCCTCCCCCCCATTCTTGTTTTGTGATCGACGCTCCGTGCCGGGGCACACGTTGAGTAGAACATATTTGTCTTATGTTTTATTTTCACCGATTAACCGATGATGCATAATTACATTGCTAATTACGAGCAGCCCGGCTACCTCCTGGCTTAGAAGCATGGAGAGATGCATGGCTTATGCTTGGAATTACTACATCGAGAGACATGGTTCAGAACTCTTGAGAAAGGGCGAGTGGGCTTGGACAGGGCACATCACTACGAGGGCACGACGGCAGATGGTGGTCAAGAATAAATTATTACGGAGCAATGAAAGTCAGCTCAGGTGCAACGTGAATTGCTATTACATCGTGGGGCCGTGATAGGTGGCACAGTGGCGGCTGGACGGGGCCTTCATCCAGCAGTGGATCGATGAATACGGAGAACGGAGGACGCAACAAAAGTGTTCCCCCGAGTCTAATGTGTGCTACGGTCCGGCCCTCACCGGCCTTCTCTGTTGCAGGGCCACCCGGGCTTGCCAGGCCCTCCGGGGCCATCAGGGCCAGTCGGAGAGGTCGGCCGCGTCGGAGAGAGGGGGCTCGAGGGGCCGCCCGGGAAGGAAGGCCCCAAGGGCAAGAAGGTGAGGGCCTCTACACGGCCGCTTGGAGGGGCACAGCTCCCGCGATAAGTTGTGCAACCGGGTTGCATGCAACTTACACGTGGGGACGTCTCTGCGCGTTGAGAAACACGCATAGAGATTGGATTTTTTTTATTTTGGCTGCGATAAATGTCGTTTTGCCATCCTGTTTGTTGTTATAACGTTCTTCATAGCTCATCGGATTCCTCCGGCGACCCGAGTTCGATTCCCGTTCACGGCCAACGCCAGTGGCGATGATCTAAACCGGTCCTGGGCCTCCCCTAGGTCGACTCAGGCTCGAATGAGTATCTGGTGCGGTGTGTAAAAACTTTGTCACCGTGAAGACAGAGGCGGTAGGGCGTGGTGCTGACCACACCCACCCCTCCGTGTGCCGTGCCGGCCTTCGTAGGTGCTCGCTAACAGCACTTGCCCCAACAGTCCGTTAAGGCTATACGATCTTTGTCTTTGTGCTTATTTTGTTTGCTGGTTTCGTGCTGCGCACGGTGGTGTCAATCCTGATGTACGTCGCTGCCTGCAGGGCAAAGTGGGGCCCCCCGGGATGGACGTGACCGGAGCTAGCGGCCTTCCGGGTGAACCTGGCAGCAAGGGAGAACAGGTGAGCACGAGGTCCACTCCTGTCGTCGTCATCACCGTTGTAGTCATCAGCCGTCTACAATCAACAGAATGATCATCAGTCATCATTGTGATCATTGTCGTCGTCGTCATCACCATCGTCATCAGCCGTCAAGAATCAACAGAATGGTCATCAGTTATCATCGTAATCATCAAACTGGTCAACACACTTTTCTGGCATAAGGTTTTCCAACGGTTTTAATGCAATTTTGGGGTGCTGATTCCAAATCTGGCATCAGTTTTTGTCTATCAGATATCAAATATTGCATTTTCAATAAAAACTGCTGAAGAAAAATATTAAATAAATGTGGATATCTATAAAAAATGATATTATAAACACACTATCCTAAAAATAAAGCACCATATTTTAACACTAAAGCAGTCACTGACTCGCAACAACTTTCAATCATGAATGACAGAGTTAATTTCGGGTAAAATCAATGAAAATGTGGTATGCCGATAGCATAAAAATGATGTGATAGAGCAAATCTGAGATCAGATTTGGAATCAGCACCCTGAAATTAGTCTAAAACAGCTGCTAAAGTCCAGGCCAGAATTTTTTTTTTGTTGACCAGTGTCATCATCGTTGTCATCATAATCATCATCGTCGTCGTCATCATCGTTATTGTGAACATCACTCTCTTGTATATAAGAATAGGTTTTACCCTTTCTGGCAATAAAACAGTTGTGTTAAGATGTTAAAACTCCAAATTGAAACCTTTTGCAAGGAATCATGTCTGCATTAACCACATATACTTGTGGTGATCATGTAAACAAAAAACATTCTTTGGTAGTATATGCATTGTCTCATGATGATGGTGAGGATGAGAATTGGTATGATTACGAATTTTGACATTGCTGCTGTTAATTATTCATCATAATCAATTGCCATTATCTTCAATCAACAATAATTGATCACCCATGAATAACCATTAATTATCATGTCTTCATTCATCAGTGAGCTTTCTCGTGAGCGTTAATTTATTCCCGTTTGTCGTGTATATCATCTACGGCGCATTTGTCGGACATTCATATTCGTTCTGCAATCGCTTCCTGACTGAGTAATTATCTTGAACACCCTTTTGTCACGGTGGCTAGACATCCGCTACAGGGGAGGTGAGGTATGAATAAATACAAATAAATAAACACGTAGGCTTTCGCGACCAATATTATTCATAATAAGCGTTTTTGGGTTAGATTGCGTTATTTATAAATGTGTCGTAACCCTCCACCACCCGACACGGCCAATCAGTAAAACAAGTGTCACCTTAAAAAAAGACAAATAGTTCACTACTTTAGCCCACCGGTGTGTTGAAGCGTGAAACCACAACATTTAAAATGTTTGAGTACGACGTTTCGCTGGTAATTACATCCAGCATCATCGGGCAATTCGCCATTCTGACCATTCTGGCGAATTGCCCGATGATGCTGGATGTAATTACCAGCGAAACATCGTACTCAAAAATTTTAAATGTTGTGGTTTCACGCTTCAACACACCGGTTGGCTAAAGTAGTGAACTATTTGTCTTTTGTCATCGTGACACTTTTTTGCTGATTGGCCGTGTCGGGTGGTGGAGGGTTAAGACACATTTATAAATAACGCGGTCTAACCCAAAAACGTTTATAATAAATAAATAAACAGCTGCAGATTCGTGTCGAAAAAAACTTCCCGCTTGGTCGTCGTGTGGGAAGACCGACCGACCCCCCCCCACCCGCCATAGGAATGTGGAATTCCCATTCGCCGGTCCCAGGGTCGCCGTACAACCGCCCGTTTGAGCCGGGAGGCGATTTGCCTTCGACTCGTAACGAGCACAGCTGCCGATTGCTTGTCGCCTCTCTCTCCCTCTCCCTTCTTCCCTCGTTGCAAATGCAAGGGGAGCTCGGGCAAGGTGGGAAATCGCGGCTACAAAGGAGAAGTGGGGATCACGGTGAGTGCGCGCGCGCGATCGGTGTCCGCGAGACGGCCTCGCTCGTCAACGCGGCATTCGTCGCGTGTCCAATGTGAAACATTCAACGGCCGTCGGACCGAGAGTTCTGCGGGTGTGGTGCAAAAAGCTCCCCGGGGTTTTGTCCCGGTGCCGACACAAATGATGCCATGAGCCACGATGAGGTCGAGGTGCCGTTTGGCGCCCACCTCTCGAGCCCTCTGCTGCCGGTTAGTGCCGCTCACGTCGCGCTCTTACGCCCGCCCACTCGACTCCCTCGGCTCTGACCTCCAACAAATCCCTAAGATTTGTAGTTGTTGTGATGCGGGATTCAATTTGCTCGCCGTGTTTATTTTGCCCGCTTTGAGAATCCCCCCGTGTGTGATGCTGCTGCTGCTGCTCTTTGCTTTGGCTCTTTGCAGAAGGAGGCGATTCGCTCCATTCTCCGTGAAGAGATGAGCGGACGCTGCAGTACGTACGCGAGCTCGCGCACACCCCCTGCATACACCCTGGCAACATGCAGCACACACACACACCGTTCACAAGCACACTGGCATGTACACGTACGGGCACCTACACAAAGAGCTCCTCTATAGACTGTTGGGGCAAGTGCTGTTCGCGAGTTCCTATGAAGGCCGACACGGCACAAGAGGCGGTGGATGGCCAGGACCACACGCCTTTGTCTCCGTAGTGGGACTCATTTGAGGCTGAGTTGACCTCGGAGAGCCCCAGGACCAGTTTATATATTTTTCACGAGTGTTGGCCGTGAGCGGGAATCGAACTCGGGTGACGGGTGTAGGTTGATAGCGCGCTGCGCTATGAACCTACACTCCCACCCCCCACATACCCACACACAGCTGAACTCACGCACACATACCTGAGCACACATACCCAAACACACACCCACATATCCCCACACACACGCACAGGTATACACAGACACATAGCACGGACATACATCACAAAGACAAAGATCCCCATATAGCCTTTAACAGACTGTCAGGGCAAGTGCTGCGAGCGAGCACCTGTGAAGGCCGGCACGACACGCGGGGGGGTGGGTAGGCCAGCCCCACACCCCGGCCGCCTTTGTCTCCCTAGTGGCTCATTTTTGAGGCCGAGTCAACCTCGAGCGCACACACCCCCACACACAAACATACATACACCCCCACACACGCGCGCACACACACACGTACACACAGACACATAGCACGCACGTGCATCACGCGTGATGCACGCGTGATGCACGTGCTCACGCGCGCGCGCAGGCAGCAGCCCCCCCCCTTCCGCCGCTCCCCCCCCCCCACCTTGACGCGCACGGGCACGTGCGTGTCGCGGCGCGTGGCCCGGGCTCGTGGGCCACAGGGGCGCGTGCCCCTAATTGTTTTGGCTTTTAGACATCGGCTCTCCCCGCTGGGGGGGGGGGGGGCGCGGGGGTTGGGGGTTAATTTGCGCGGCTGTTTGAGATGCTCGCGGGGACCGAGACGCGAGAGGCGCCCGCCCCGCTCTGGCACCATTAGCGACTGATGCGTGAGTGCCGCTCGCTAAATATCATCCAATTAGCGCCCTAATGTGTCCGGAGGGGGAGACCCTGACTAATGACTTCTATTGCACGCCGATTACAGGGCCCCGGTTTTCGTTCACGGCCAAAGTTAATGCCGCGCGTGGGGGGGGGGGAAGGAAGGCCGGGGGGTGAAGAGGGGTAGGTGAAGGGTTCTCACTCTGCAGTGGCCGGGCGTGCGACGCACGGGAGAAGCGCGATATCGGCGTTGAGCGCGAGCTTCAACGTGGTCGACATGTCACTGCTGCTGCTGCTGCGAGGGTTAGTGTCCGTGCATTATATGAGCGTTTCACTTGTTAGCACCAAATGAATTGGCGAAACGAGATTTTTGTTTGTTTGTTTTTATTATTTTATTATTTCCCTTCTACGTGACTTTACCGAAAGAACCAAGAATATGAATCCCTGCAGTCACGAAAGCTTTACATCGAAATGCTTTAAATCGAAATATCTGTATTTGTAAAAGGTTTGAAATTGTAGAGAGATGGATCACGTTTTTTTTTTTAAAGCAAGTGGCAGCCAATCGGGACCACGAGTGTATTTTTCTAGAGAGTCATGTGTCTATGTGTACGTGTGTGTGGCCTCAACGTGCACATATCCTGGCACAAGCGTCGTGGTGACGTCACCACCACTTAGTGGCGAATGGCGGTTGTTGTTATTGTTGTGTGGGGAGCGATCGTGTAGCGGCTAGCACATTACGCTACGAACCCGGCAAACTCGAGTTCAATTCCCACTCATGGCCAACACCAGTGATAATTATCTGAATCGATCTAGGGCCTCCCATAGGTCGATTCAGCCTCAAATGAGTACCTGGTGTGGTGTGTAAACATCGGCACTAGGAAGACAAAGGTGGCTGGGCGTGGTGCTGGCCACCAGCCCCTTCGTGCCATGCCGGCCTTCATAGGTGCTCGCTAACAGCACTTGCCCCTACAGTCTGTTAAGGCTATACGGGGGATCTTTATCTTTGTCATAGTTTTGGGGCATTGAATTGTTGGGGCTTGCCACTTTTGATTGGGGACTGTTGGCATCTGCTGGTAGTGGTGTTAATATGAATGCTTAGTATCAAGGCTTCCAGAATTGGGATGTTTGGCTAAATCCATGGACAACATCACCATCATTACCATCGACGTCACCGCGATCAACAATTTACTCGCGCAACAGATGCACACGGACCGCTCACGGGAATCGCAGCATTGAAAAATTATCTCAGCCGTGCGCTTGTGTGAGGAGATTTTTTCTTATTCACAGTTTTGTAAATTAACAGAAAAAATAAACTGATAGAAAAAAAGACCTTTACCCCTTTCTGAGGTAATTACGGGCGATGTTTTATGCCAAATAGACACCAATTACAAAGGTTGTCCCATCTGCGCAACCTTGCATACTTGTGGTAAAAAAAAGCCAACAAATATGCTTCGAGGCTAAAGCCTTGTTTTTCATCATTCAATATCTTGATACGGACGAAAGGGTCCCATAGTTATTTATAGAACTAACGCTTTCGGAACATTCAGGTTGCATAAATACCCTTTATTCCATTTTAAAATGTAAGTGACGGGCTGCGATGGTATTTTTAAAACTGTGTACGCCATTCCCGTTGAATGAAACGATTGAGATGAATGAGGCGGACGTAAATATCGCCGCTGGGGTTGAGTCACGGCCGTTGTTGCGTTTCTCTGCCTGCGTGTCTTGCAGCTTGCGGAGGTACGGGGAGTGCGGCGCTGCCGTTACGTTCAGCGCACCGGCCTCTGCTCGTGGCGACGGCACACCGCGACAGCCACGGAGATAATGAACCATGACTCACCGCAGCCAGAGACGGACTTAAGACTCCGGGGGAGTGGGCAGGAGAAGGAGGGGACGGGAGGGGGGGAAATGGGACGCGTGTCCAGAAGCTACAATTCCTGACGGAATAAAATGTACATTCGAAAAATGTATTTAATGAACGTCGGACCTTTTCATCACGTCATTGATTTAACGTGAACGGTATACGCGATAGTAAAACGTTCAAGGTGCAGCCGCTGCGGCCGTTTGCCGATGCCTGGCGGAAGAGGGGCTTCACTAGAGGGGTCGATAAAATAAAAAAACGCTTTTCGGCGGTAAGTCACCACTGCTCGTCCCACGGATTAACAGGCCACCGCCATAGGAATGTGGAGTTTCCACCACCGGCTTCGGGCCGCGATTGGATAATGAGCGTCGCCTCTTGCTCGTTAATCGTTGAGAAAACTCCAAGTTGACTCTTTGAGTATCGTTCCTGCGGTCACGAGAAGTACGATCAAACCACGCCCATGCCCGTCATGGCGTGGAGAGACCTTCATCCGGCAGCGGAGAGACCAGGGACTGTAGCTTATTATTATTTTCATCATTATTATGACAAATGTAATTGTTGCTAGAGTCTCCGCTGTGGAAGCAGCTTGCTCTGTGGTGGTCAGGGCACCGGGAGAGTGCGCCAAGAACTTCCCGTTGACATCGGCTCCCTTCACCAGGAGAAGACGGCGGAGGAGGCGGCTGGCGTCTTGGCGCGCGTGACCAGGACGGGGACTACCGGCGCGGGCGGGTGATGGGCATGGGCGGCGGCAACGACGACGGCGCTGGCAGCGAGGGCGGCGCGCACTTCCGAACCGAGGTGGTGGCGCACAGGGGCGGGGCGGAGGCCCAGCCGGCGCTGGGAGCCCACCGGCCGCAAGGTGTTTGAACGCGGAGGGCCGCACGACGGCTCTGGCGTTGCCGTCAACTCGGCCGTCTTGAATCCGATGAGCTATGAGCCTCTTTTTTTTCTCTCACAGATGTCCAGTTGGAGCAGGTCAAGAACGTTACAACAGCAAACAATACAACAACACAATAGGAGTGAAAAGTATAGGAAAGATAAGCAACTAACTAACAAAAGAAATATCTACAGTATTTTTATCTTATCAGGTAAAGCCTACTGAGTGACAAGCTTCTTTTCATATCACAGTGCCATCGCTCTCTGGCGCGTATTCAGGTTTATAAGTCAGCCCACTGGCTGTGCTTTCCCTCTGCTGCATGTACTTACCTTGGGCTCCATTCGCACCACCGTACGTAGCCAACCATGCTCATCGGAGGTGCGTGGGAAGGACAACAAGAATGATTGTCATGCATTGAAACAAAATGACTGAGCCCATAATATGCTTCCTTCACATGTCTGTCCCTCCAAACATTTATATTTTGGACATCCCAATCAGCCTTCTGGGGATTCATCATTCCATCAACGTTGGGTCAATGCAAGCGAGCTCTGGAATGGTTTTTGAACCTTCAGTGTCTAATCAGCCGAGTGAGACTTGAACCATGGCTGGTCATTCTGCCATGTGCTTCAAATCAAGGACGATCCTCTCTGTGAGATACGAGCCCTTGCCCTGCATCCGTGCCCCACGCTGCTTTAAATCTTGTGAGATTTTGACGAGTTCTTGCCTGCATACCAGGCGAGGTAGTTAACATCCGGTCGTGGCTTCAATCCCAACCCTGACATCTGTATATTTGGAGTTTGCGTGTCTCTCTTCTCGTGGTCGCGTGAATGTTTTCTCCTGCTCCTCCAGTTTCTCCCTCCACATTTAGAAACGTGCGTTTAAGAGTATTTGGCTGCGAAACTTTTCCACGTGATAAGCCACTTCGTTCAGCTATCACTTGTGGCCTGGTTACTTCTGATTGTTTTACATCTCTATATATCTCTATATATAAAGCTCAGTATGCCTTACCTGGTAGTTTTTTTGTGTGATCATGCCGCCACAATCCTGGACGTAGGGAGTGCGATCCGATTGTCGTTTCAGCGGACACCGAGGTCACGTGGAACAGCACGGAGATTTCCCAGAAGCTGCAGTTCCTGCGCGAGCGAGGTGAGATGCAATCGCGGTTGCCGGCACTTGCTTCCCCCCCCCCCAAACCATCCTCCTTCCGCGTCTTTCCTCTCTCTCGTTAAATTTTGTTGTCCTCTCGTCGCGCCCGCGTTTGACGATCTCTGTCCATCCACGGTTGTCGTCGTCATAGGGCGACTAAGGCGGATGGCTATGAGATGTTAACTACCTCGCTTAGTATGCAGGAGGTCGTGGGTTCGATCCCGACCCTGACGCCTGTTGTATATTTCGAGTTTGCGTGTCTCTCTCTCTCCCCGTGTTCACGCGGATCAACGTGACGCGCTCAGAGTATTTGGCTGCTACACATTGCCACGTCATGATATCGGCCACTTCCTCGAGCTATCATTCGTTGCCAGCTCACTTCTCAAAGAGCTGTACAGCTCAGTGGGCATTACTTGGTAAAATAAAAAAAAATTGTTGAATGAAAGAAGAAGAAAAAAAAACGCTTTCGCCGACAAATGCGTCTGCCGCCAATTCCCGTTAACTCGTTAACAACATCGCCGGGGCCATCCCCACCCCACCACCACCCTCCCCCCCCCCCCCCCGGCCCGCGCATCCCCGCAGACGCATGCCGCCTGCCCATGTCGGAGGGCGATTGCGACGAGCACGCGGTGCGGTGGTTCTACCACCTTGGCGAGGACGAGTGCCAGCCGTTCATCTACGGCGGCTGCGGAGGCAACGAGAACCGCTTCGACAGTGAGGAGCGCTGCGTCCGGGCGTGCCGCTTCACCCCGCCAGGTGCGGGAGGGGGGGGGATCGAACCGTCGAGTTTGTTCCATTCCGTTGCGCGGGATGGTGGTTCCCGGTCAGCCGGTTTTGCCCGGTTATCTCAACGTAGAACTCTGCATAGAGATGCGTAGAGACTCATAGAGATACGTAGGGACACAATAGTTGTAGTGTCGAGTTTGTTTGAAGATTTTCATGGATGATGGTCCCGTTAAGCTGGTTGGGTGGTTATTTTTCGTGGGATGATCCAGTGTTGCGTGAGCACCAGCAGCAGCAAGAGAAACATCGTTGGAAAGACGGTCCTTGGCTACTATCTTAATTGCATGGTTTTAAGGCCTTAATGGAGGTTACTAATTTATGTACAGGCGCTTTGGTTTCAAAAGAGGTGACTTAAAGAAACAAAGTTTGATTTATTTGTTTGGAGATGGCCCGGTTCGTAGCGCAGTGAGCTAACCGCTGCACCACCGCTCTACATTACACAATATCCCCTGTGTAGCCTTAACAGACTATTTGGGCAAGTGCTGTTAGCGAGCAACTATGAAGACCGTCACGACACACGAGGGGGTGGGTGGCCAGCACCATGCATGGCTGCCTTTGTCTCCCCAGTGGCGATGTTTACACACCGCACCAGGTACTCTTTTGAGGCTGAGTCGACCTAGGGGGAGGCCCAGGACCGGTTCAGATCAAATATAATTGTTGCCGGTGTAGGCCGTGAGTGGGAATCGAACTCGGGCCGCCGGGTTTCGTAGCGCAGCGCTAACCAAGACACCACCGCTCCCAGCTACACACACACATTCACAATACCATCACTCCCCACACATCAATATGCAATATCTTGCAGTGTGGAGTTACGTAGCGTCTAAATGCGACTGCATCTCAAGAAGCCGTTCGGAAGCGCTGGGAATATTTCTTTTCTCAGAGTTATGCAGTCGGTCACAGGCAGAGCAATAAAGGGGACGGTCTTGGGCCTGGACCTGAGTCGGGGGGAGATGGGAGTACACGGCGCAGATCGGTGGGTGAAGGGGGCTCCAGACGATGGCGGTAGCGGAAGAGACTACGCACGTGCACACGTGCACAGACAAAATAACAAGGGCAAAGATCCCCCCACCCCCTGTGTAGCTTTAACAGACTGTCGGGGCAAGCGCTGTTAGAGAGCAGCACCTAAGAAGGCCTTCACGGTACACGAGGTGGTGGGTGGCCAGCATGATGCCCGGGCCGCCTTTGTCTCCCCTGTGGGGATTTTTTTAGGCTGAGCTGACCTAGAGCTCACATACCCAAACACACACACACGTACCCCCACACACGCACGCAGGTACGCACAGGTACTCATTTGAGGCTGAATCGAAACTAGCGGAGGCCCAGGACCGGTTCGGATAATCGTCGCTGGTGTTGGCCGTGAGCGGGAATCGAACTCGGGTCGCCGGGTTCATGGCGCAGCGCACCACCGCTCCCCACACTATAACACACAGGTGCACACACACACACACATTAAACGTTTGAAAATTGTTGGGAAGAACTTTTCCATCGGTTAACATTGAAACTGCATGAATAAAACAATAGCGTTTCCAAGTGGCAGTTTTAAAAGTTCGGGGCTCCTGTAGCGATATATATATTTTAAAAAACCTAAAAAATAAACAAACCCACTGCGGGAGATAATTCTCCGCAGCGGGACGAATCCGTTTGTGAGCGCGCCCGGAGTCGGCCATGTGCGCTGCCCGAGCCGATGCCCGCCCCTCCACCCCGAGGCAGGTGCCGCGAGCAGCCGCCACGGGCTCGGTGCGGCGCTGCCCGCAACAGCTGGTGCGGCGTGCCGGCACCGAGGCTCCGGCTGTTGCTCCCCGTAACCGCGATCGCTCATCCGGCCGGTCAGCCGCCAGGTTGCTTAGCCGTGCCGCTCGGTTAATTAAGGGAGGAGGCAACGCTGCAAATTCAACGGTCCTAGATCCTGTAGCTCCAAAATACGTTTTTTCTTCTTCGGGCCCTCCGGTTTTCCCCTCCGCATTTCCCCTCCGCAGTTAGAATCAGTATTTTGGCTGCTATAAATTTCCACGTGATAAGCGACTTCGTTGAGCAATCATTGGCGATGGCCAGGTCGCTCCTGAAAAAGAGCTGTATAGCTCAGTGGGGACTTACCTGGTAAAGTAAAAACATTTAAAAGATTTAGAATAGAAGTGTTTTTGATCCTCACCTTGAAGTCGCACTGCACTCCGCTGCTCCTGACGCAATCGTCCGGCTCAACTGCCGCAATGGAAAGCCACGGTGGTTGGTCTACACCAACGTCAGCCGTACGGAGAACCAGGAGACCGGAGCCAGCGACCTGGGTTTGATTCCCGGCCATAACTCAAACTGATGGAGGCACGTGATATCTGAACCAGAACTGCCTCTCCCCCCCAGCTTTCACCAAACCCACGCTTACCCTTGAACTGCACGGTGTGGGGCTAGCTTCACCCAGCAGCGCATTTACAAAGGGGGGTTCCATAATTATTGTTTACAGCTTCAGCAAACACAACTTAGAAGCCGGGAGCAAGCGGGCATGTTCACATCTGGCACGGGTACGGAAAACGAAAAAAGGGATGTTTACAGAGACAGACATCAGGCGATTGTCATCACAGCTGTGATTACGAGTCTTTGCCAAGAAATAATGAGTTCACAGCATTAAATATGGCCTTGCCCTTCCTCTGTACACATCGACTCGCTCGTGGCAACCATGAGCTTCATGCCGTGGTTTGTGCTATAACCTCAAATGTTCTCCTTCCAGGTGCTGCTCCTGCCTCGTAAACTTCTTCATCCCTTCATCATCGTCGTCGCCGTCATTGTAAGAACTATGGTGCTTTCGTCTACTATTAAGAGTGATTGTAACGGCCTATACTCTGGTGCTAATTTCAACCGCGTTTGCAAGGGGAGACCTGCACTTTGTTGCTGAAGTCAGCGCACGTCCAACAACCGTGAGGCGTGCCAACAGGTTCAAGGCGTGGCTTCAAAAAGACCTACTCGTTTCAGGAGTTACGTGGAAGCGCGTGTGCTGGGCTCAGGTGTTGCACGGGCACAGACACAATGTTTATTTAAACGCCCAGCCAGTTTAGGAGATGACCAGGTGGCTCACAGGTCGGTCAGAGGTCGGAGTTGACGGACAGCTCGGTCACCAGTGACTGCACACAAAGCTCTCTCATGTCAAACTTGCTTCCGCGCCATGATTCGGTGAAATGCCAGCTCTGAAAAATTAACAAATAAGAAAATGGCTTGGCACCTCTGCAACAAACGCGACTCTTTAGCTGGGCAGATGGTGTGTGTGTGTGCGTGTGTCAAGCGGTCACCTTCAGGGATTTCAGAAGGAGTTCTTTGATATCCACTTCTGTGGATCGTTTCTCTCACATGGCAGGTTGCATCTCCCTGTGAGAGTTCACAATTGACTCCTCCTCCTCTACTGGCAGGGCACCGACAGCACGGCCACTCTAGAATGGCAACGTAGACAAGAAATTGTTTTAACAACTGAGCAGTTTCAGTCCCGATCTGACCAATACCAACCCTGCGGACCTTCGTCAGCCGTAGAGTCGACCCGTGCCCAGCTGCTCTTAAGGCCAGTGATGTCATCGCTTGTTGTGTCTCTATCGCCGAGCAGTGACCACGCCTCGTGACGATTCCCCACGCCCGTGAGAATCGGTCTGAGCTCCAGATCGGCAGCCCTTACGGCCCGCGTGGCACTCGTCATTCAGGAATAGCGGAGCGTTGCGAAGGCGCCTTTAAGATTTGGATCGCTCGCCGAGCCTCTATGCTGTTGCGCACACGTTGAGCTTTTGCCACGGTGTTTTTTATTCTTATTTTGATTTGCTGTGCTGTGGTTTACATTTTGCAGGAAGCCTTATTTGCAATAAATGCACTAAGTTATTCTTTTTTTCCTCCCGGTTCCAAGCGCCAAGATGCGCAGAGTGGATTTTATTATTCTGGTATGAAGGGAGACTCAAAGAGCACACGTTTGGCAAAACGCATCAATAACGTTCACAGTTTTTATGGAAAGTATATTGCAACGCTCCAAGTTCACTGCGAACAGCACGGTACGGTTTATGAAGTATTTTTAACACGTAACTTTTATACGGCAACTTGCATCTATATTCTTAAGACGGGAAGTTCTCCCATGATTGCCAATGATTCCCCAATGAGGTTTCAAAATATATAAAAATTCTCAACCCAGTTAAGGCTCTGCAAACAGAGATTACTTTCGCGAGTCTGGGTCAACAGCTTGGGATTAAACTTCATTGCTGCCTCAGTGGGGTGGAGTGGCGGTGCAGCGGTAGGCGCACTGCACCAGGAACCCTGTCCGGAGCTAATATCAGCTGTGTGCAACATTCGAACCAGTCCTGATCACCCCCCCCACCCCATCTCCTTCACCAATGTGGCATAGTATGAACCAGCGTGTTGAAGCACAGTCATACGCTCCAGCGTGATCGGAATGGTGTGTTGTTAAGCGGATTGCCAAAGGGCTGCTAGTGGCAAATAAAATCGCTGATGCAGTCACGGTGACCGCGACGCATCCATCCTTCCCGCATCGCCAAAGCGACGCGGCCGCCGTTGGGATAGGAGCCTGGTGGTACACGGGGCGCGTGCGGCTTGGGGTCATTGCCGGGTCACGTTGGGGGCGTTTCAAGAATTCGCCTGGTTCCTGTTCGGCGCGAAACACCCGAGCAGAGGCGCCACCGCAGAAATTTGGACCGTCGGCCCACGAGGATGCGGGCAAAAGAGTTTGCGGCCACGAGTCGCCGCTCGCCTTGCGCCCAGCCCCGAGTCATACGGCAAGAGGCCAAATTTGGGGGGCGGGGGGGGGAGTTGTGAAATTGTCCACGGAACAGTTTCACACGTATCATCCATAATAACGTTTTTTTTTGGGGTAGATCGCGTACACATATATGAATGTGTCGTTAAAACCCGCCACCGCCCGACACAGCAAACTAGTGAGTAATTAAAATAAGAGTTACTATTTGGCTGTGTCGGGTGGTGGCGGGTTTTAACGACACATTTATATATTTATGCAATCTAATCCAACAAACCTCTATTATGGATGTACACGAATCTTTTTCATTTCGTATTTTTTCGTGTGTTTTTATACGTAAATGTACATATATATTTTAATTTCATGAAAAACCCGTTTGAACGTGTTCACCGCGTACCGAATAAACGACGCATTTACCTGAAAACTCTCTTGCGAACGTTCTCAAAAATGCAAGCGATGATGATGACGACAATGTGTCTTCGGGTTTTAACTCGCGGGGCCAATGTGTTCGCTCTTCCGATGCCTCTTCACGCAGTGCCAAGACCGACCACCCGTGGGTGGGGGGGGGCGGGGGAGCGAGTTAGGGGGGTTGCCTGGGGGGGTGCGATGCAGATGGTGATGGTGCTGATGGTGATGGCGCTGATGGTGCTGATGGTGATTCAGATGGTCGATGCAGATAACTGTGCAAGATGATGACGTGTGTGTGTGTGTGTTGAACTTTCGCACCGTACGAAGCCGACCGTGCTAATTGGAGGTAAATCAGGTGATGATGAAACAGCTCACGATGGTGCAGATTCAGTTGGCTGATGGTGCAGATGATGAATAATCGGGTGACGATGCCGATTCTGGTCATGATTGTGATGATGCACATAATTGATGATCCAGATTATGACGATGTAAATAATGATGTTGATGTTGTTTATACTGCTACTGATGATGATGACTGCTGCTGCTTTTGCCGATGCTGCTGTTGCTGCTGTTGATGATGCTAATCATCATCATCATCCTCACGATTAGCATCATCAATAATGGGGGTGATGATTTAGGTTGGCAATGACAATGTTGAGCTCTGCTCAACCAAGTGAGCTACGGGCCAGGCACCGAATCTCAGTTGGATCGTGAGGCACAGGGTGGTGCACTGGCAGCTCGTGGTGCAGACGCCCTACCGCTCATCTCTCTCTTTGTATTTTTGTCGTTGCAAATTTCTATTTCTGGGATGGTAAATAATTACATCCCGAATGTCCAGCCAGACGGGCGAAAAAGCTTAAATTGACCGTGCACATTTGAGAAAATTGCTCGTCCATTTTTTGAGAGTGCCCGTAATTATGACACATCGCATTTCGGCAGGATGCAAAAATAAAAACTTTGCAACGTCGCCCGCTGCCGGGTGGCTTGGCTTTGTTAATTGCCATAAAATATCGGGCGTCCCGTCGGCACGATTCAAGTTCCGCGCAAAACATTCCGCGGCTCCGTGCTGGCGCGAGTTGCAACTTTGAAATGTGAACTCTGGATGCAAAGGGGTTGCTCCAAATGACGGTCGCAACCTCTGAGCCCGCGTCTGTCGGCAGAGAGAGGGAGGATTTTGCCCGGACGCTCTTTCGCACTTGCGATGGTCAAAGGCGCAGCCCTGCAATTGCTCAGCTCGCGTCACTGCTCGCGGAAGAGGCCTCCGCTGGAGGGCGCTCTGTGACAGTCCTTCGAGAGCAGTGGCTCTGAACCTTTTTACTGCAGCCTGTACCCCTATGCGTCTCAATGGTTAAAATGTGGTATAATGTAAATACAGACATAGGTTTGATGAAACAAAGTCGTTGTACGTTCGTGTCCATGCATAATTTGTGTTGAGGTGATTTACCTTCCAAAAATAATCTGGCATTTCTCGCACCCCCCAGAAAGGGCATCTCACACCCCCAGAGGGTGCGTGCACCTCAGGTTAAGAACCACTGCTCTAGAGGGTGTTTGGCCTACTCTTCCACGCCGTCTGTACATTTTGGAAGAGGTGGGAGCGCCGACAATTTACACCACCACCACACACGCGACCTGCCGATCGGACTCGCTGTGATGGGAACCCATTCACGTTGCTGGGTGGAGGGGGGCAGGGAGGGGGGGGGATTCAACTGCCGCCCCGGGAGGTCGAATGCAACCTTCGACGTTTGTGCATTTGCGAGTCCAGCGTGCTCACCGTGACACCGCGGCAGAATGATCTTTTTTTTCATATTTAATATTCATTATTATTGTATTATTATCCCCCCACCCACCTAGCCCATTAGCGAGCGGCTCTCATCATCGTCTTCGTCGCATCGCAAGAATAGCAGCGAGGCACAGCGCTAAACCGCCACCAGCCCCCACCACCACGACCCCCACCACCCCCACCACCCCCACCACCACGACCCCCACCACCCCCACCACCACGACCCCCACTACCCCCACCACCACGACCCCCACCCTCACCACCACGACCCCCACCACCCCCAAACGGCGCAGACGCCGTCTGAGCGATGCCGCGGCGCTGCCCTCGGCAGTGTCCCCAGGAACGGACTCCACGGCCACGTGGCCCCCGTCAATTGCCCGTTCATCCGCGAGCCGCCCGGGGCTTGTGAGCAGTCCTCGCGCGATGTATCATAATCATCATTCTTCTCCTGTGCCGTACGCGGAGACTAAGCGACGGGGTTTAGCAAAGGGGGGTTGTTGCTTGGCCCCAGTTTTCCGGCGGATTCAGTGGCACGCTGCCCTAGCAGGCGAACTACTTGGTTCACCGATGATGGGAATTGCCACTTTGTTTTTTAAAGTGATGGAGAAGTTTAGAGGCTTTTGGCGGTCGTGGCGTGTGTCTGTGTCGTACATCGGCGACCCGAGTTCGATTCCTGCTCACGGCCAACACCGGTGACGATTATCTGAACCGGTCCTTGGCCTTCCCTGGGTCGACTCAGCCTCAAATGAATACCTGGTGCGATGTGTAAACATCGCCACTAGGGAGACAAAAGCGGCCGGGCGTGGTGCTGGCCACCCACCCCCTCGCGTGCCGGCCTTTATAGGTGCTCGCTAACAGCACTTGCCCCAACAGTCTGTTAATGCGAAACGGGGAATCTTTGAATGTTGAACTTTTTTCGCACCGTACGTAAGCAATCAACCTGATATCAAAAAGCAAGCAACACTTTTTGTGCATATAAGTATATACTTTTTTTCGGGGTGGGGGGGGGGCGGCAAGAATATATTTGTTATTTATATGGTGGCGACAGAGATCAAAGTTCTGCTTACACACGCGCCCATTCTCGTGCACAATCGCAAAAGTATCATCGGAACTCGGCTGCTCGAACGATTGACTGATAGCTTTTGCCGGGCTCAGGCGGCTGGCCGCTGGCCGGCAGACCTCCGCTGCGAGGGGGGCCACCCACGGGGCTAAATTGAATTTCTTCTCCGGCGCCCTCGGAGGTCGCGGGCTTGAGTTGAGAGGCACCGCACGACTCCACGCATCCCGGCCACCAAATTGGATAACAATCAAGAAACGGCGCCTTGACGTCAGGCAGCCGGCCTCTCCGCGTGGCCCGGGGGGGGGGGGGGGGGTGACGCGGAGGGGAAAGTGGCAGAGCAATCAGTCCTGACAATTCGCTCTTGTCCAGAGACCTTTTCGCGGCCACGGACACTGATTAAATGGCAAATAAAATTCCAGCGAGTGGGGGGGGGGGGCTGCCGTTGGCAGCAGTGAGGGCACTAGGAATAATTTATCGCCGGCGTCGTTAACAGCCGTGGCCCACGAAGAGGCTCGTGATGTGCCACGATCTGGGGAAGGAAGACCAACTTCTGCAGCGGGGGGAGGGGAGGGGGAGTCGAAATTTGAGTTTTGGAGATTTGCGACAAAAACGCGTTTCTCGAATGTAGCCACAGTTTTATGGTCGCAAGCCCGGTAGATAATGACTGCACAAAGACAAAGATCCCCGTATAGCAATAACAAACTGTAGGGGCAAGTGCTGTTAGCGAGCACCTACACGAGGGGGTGGGTGGCCAGCACCACGTCCGGCTGCTTTTGTCTCCCTAGTGGCGATGTTTCAACATCGCACCAGGTATTCATTTGAGGCTGAGTCGACCCAGGGGAGGCCCAGGACCGGTTCAGATAATCTTCACACTGGTGTTGGCTGTGAGTGGGAATCGAACCTGGGTCGTCGGGTTCATAGTGCAGCGCGCTAACCTCTACACTATCGCTCCGCACATACAGACACACAAACAACATCCATCACATTAAGTTTGGAGATGTGTTGTTAATTTAATGGGTTGACTCCATAAGTAGTTCCTACGTCATCATCATCATCGCCTAGGGCCGACCCCACAGGTCTCTGCTCACAGTGACGCAGAGTTCGTCCTCTTTTCTTCATTACGACTCCTTTCAAATGATTGCAATGTAATTGGATGCACTTCATCAACAACCAGACATGACCTTATACATATATATATATTTCAAAACATCCAATACTCTGATAACATTTAAAACAGCCGTCTACTGGAAGCTCACGAACACAACTTTCCCAGTTTCTTTTTGCTTTACGGAGGCGAATATGTCTGCTACGTATGGACATGATGCGCGCGTGAGCAAGTTTGGCACACACGTCCTGGTTTGTAAATTTCCAGACAGAAGTCACGCGCCACTCCGCGCAGCCACTCTGCGTGAAGCGGCCGTTCTTCATTGCAAGACCCCGTGTGCAACTGGCGGGTCCCTGGTGTTCGACCCCCCCCCCCCCCACCTGCTCGTTGTGAAAACACCACCACCCCATCATCGTCATGCTGCTGCTGTCAAACCCCAATGGTCACAAATGCGAAAGTGCCACCCCACCCACACCACGCCCTCCTCTGAAAAGTAGTGAAGAACACTGCTCTCAAGCACTGATGTCAACGGTTACCACGCCGGGCTATGAACACAGAACTCACCGGTTCATTTTCCCAGGTGATACATTGAGTAAGTTGCATTCCATCCCCCCCCCCCCACCACCGCGTCTCTGTTCAACCCGCAGTGTCCATGGCTACACCACAGTCGATCGACAGATCGCGTGCGGTGGGGTCAAGTGTGGGTGCACCCACCCCTCTTCCGAGGCGTTTGGACAGCGTGCGTGGAAGCGTGGGCCAAGTGCCCTTTTAGTTAGGGAGGCCCTGTGGAGTTCATTCTCGTGCAGAGCCGGGGGAGGCCCTTCCTACAATCAGTGGCGTGAGCGTGGCAATTGCAGGGGCTGCGCCTTGATCTTTCACCACAAAGTCACCAGGGCGTCTCGACCCGACGTTGGGAAGCGATCGTCTCCGTGGCTCTGAGCCTGGGGGTGGAAGTTCCAACATTTTATCGACCCCCAGAGAGAAGTGATGATGATGGGTCGGCCTCTTAAGTGATGTCTGTGCTCGCTATATCTTCCAATTGTGCTGTGACCAAATCCCTAACCCTGCATCCCCGAC